ATCAGTTTCAGCCGGAGTTGAGGTTAAACTCACCAAGACCTGCTACAGCCATTTATTGTGGTTGTTTTTGCCAGAAAGCTTACACGTTCCTGATTCCTCTCACCTGTCTTCATTCCTCAGATTGTTAGAATAAAGTCATGTCTTGATGCAGTTCCAAGCCTAAGATAGCCATGGAGGGCCTACAAGTATAAAGGATCCACCTGATGCAGTAAAGTGATTGCTTTTCAGTACACTCATCGTCCATTATTTCTCTTGCATTTTAACCTACGAATTCACAATTTTTAATGCCCTCTTAAGTGATGATTAATAGATACTAAAGTCTTCTAACCAGACTAGGATTTTCGATTTACAACTATTTCTGTTTAGTTATTTGTTTTAATTCATTTCTGCCACCGTCGGCGCATGTTCGTGAATTTTTATTTATGGACGTAACTTTGTAATTATCATCTGATACCTATTGATTTAGACAAATACTGGACATTGCTTTCCTTGTGTGTATCGACAACTTATAGGTAGCCTTAATACTACGCACATCGCAATTTGATTGAGCTACCTAGTAGAGGATCGGAGCCCATTTTCTTAGGAAATCTATGTTTCGTACTTAGTCCTCAATTTCGCTTTCTTCGAATTGAAATCGAATCCTTCACACACAAGGCAATCGCACTCATAGATAAAGATGTACCTAGCTGGTAAAGCTATCAAGATATAAATTCCTGTTTGCCAATCGAATTAAGCTAGCCAAGCTCTTTTGAGTAAACAAGCTCATACATGAGTCGAATAAACGCGAAGTCAATTATGATGCTGAAGACCCAAGCTAGCCATTCGTCACCAGTTACTTAAGGAAGGAACAAACACTTCTGTTTTAATCGTGGATCTCAATGAGGAATGATATTCCACATAAAATATAAAGCCAAAAATTAGTTGGTGCTCAATAGAAGACACTTTTCTGCGCTGGTGAAACTGAAATTTAGACAAGTATTAGGAAATATATCCATAATTGCAAAGGTGAAATACATAGCATAACAGAAGACTGACATAGACCCTTTCAATCACAAAATATCGAATTTGGGTTAAAAACGAGATATTGCTTCACCTGCTTCATGCAAGATTTATCAAACACAATCATCATCTTCGGTATTAACTTGGTTTTACGATAATTCAGACTACAACAAATTGGACTGATAAGCCATTATTAGCCAGCTAAGAGCACCTCAACTTATGGGATCCCTTAACTTACATTCTAGAAAACGACTTTTCTTCTCATTTACCCAAAATGGGTTAGAATCATACAAAGAATGGTATTTTGATGGCCTTTTAAAACTGCTCACCGGCATGTTCTTGTGTATTGGTGTAACTTAAAGCAGCCTAGTTACGTGATTAATTAAATATGTATAAAGTTAGCCAAGATTCCTGGTTTGTCTGTGGATGAATTATGTGAAACCATGTTGGCACTCTTCGCGTATGTTGTTTGGAATGATGACGACAAGCTGATTACAGTCGAGGCCGAGCAATTTAAATTTATTTGTGCGAATGAATGTGAGCTTGGCGGCGTGCCAGTTGTGTACGCGTGCACACACACACCCACGCACGCACACACGCACACACACACACACGTGTGCCTTGCTGCTGTTCATGCGGAAGGCGGCCGTCCGATTGGCGAGCACACACAGCAAACAGACCACGGCCTGGACGATGGCTTTAAAAGGGCCGCTGTAAGGGCTGTCACAGGCCGTTATCGCTGGGGCATATCTGATAGCGTCTCAATTTCATGGGAAGTAATGCTTCGTGGGATCATTCCAGTTTGGGAATTATGGGAGGTCTTCCATTCATCCATTGTCATGCAGGGTCTAACGAGTTTTGCTTCTGCTTTTCCTTTTTGACTACTCTCCTGTCTTTCTCAAAAACGCTGGGTTAAATTTTCGGGAGGCGAGCAGTTTTTGCTCGAGAGACAATTCCTCTCTGCCCATTCACGGTAAGGAAGTAACCTGACTGATTGGCCATTTCTGACTGATGCAGAATATTTTTAGATTCTGTCAAATACGCATTTTTATTGGGCTTTTACAAAGGATTTCTGAAAGTGGTGTCAAGCAGAACCTACATACGTTAAAGTTCCCATCGCAGGTCACTTTGGTGATCTTGTAAGGATCAAAAACAAATTTTGATATCTGCAGTCATTCTAGCAAAAAAATTTCCAAGACTCGAGCAGTTGATGTTGATGATAATACCCACTGTGCATGTCAGCCCACTTGTGCACAACTTGTGTGCACGACTGCAACTCAAGAGTGTGCACAACGTTGTGCGTGCAGATACCCAACAACACAACTGAGCCACCCAACTAACGGTTGTGTCGCCACCGCTGCTTTTACTGGCATTCTTAAACATCTCGGCCATCCGCGTCGCATGATCGAACTCCAACAAATGCCGGCTATAGTGCATCTAGCATTCATTACCTTGTGGTTGGCCCCAGCATGTGGTGTTGAACCACGCCTGGGCCACGGAAGTAACCCTGGCCCGATTACGCTTCCCTGATAACCGCAATGAAGAAAGGGATCGAAGAGGACGCGGACACAACCGTTTACTTCAGAGCTCAACCACGCTGGTGTCGTTGTGTCGTGTGTATTTACACCTCGGATATGAGTCATACACGCGCTAACATCGCTACCTATGTGTGAGGATAATCCAAGATAAATATCAATGTGAATGAGGGGGGAGTTGAGGATCCGCGTGGCTGACGACACGCCGCGAAAAGGGGAACCCTGTGTCGAAAGTGGAGCGACCGGATTAAGGGGTGTGAATAAACACGAATCACAAGAAATTAATTAGAGAGTTTAAGCAAACCCTCGTTAGCGCTGAATACTTACTAGCATAAAGCACTTTGCTTATGACGTTAGAATTCAAGAAATGGAATTTTGAGAATGGGTTTATAAAATGTCAAAAGTAAAATCCGTTCTACTAATTTATGTGCAAGTTTACTAAGCTCTAGCAGCCTTACTGAAATAGGCAAGATTAATTAGCACCTGACTGTTGCAGGCCACAGCACACTTTCCCTGCAACTTCACAAGGCTTTTGTTGTGTGTGTGTGTGTGTACGTGATGCAGAAGGTGTCATTAAATTGTAAGGATGTTCCTGTACAGGCCTCACAAATAAGCATACACAGCTCTAGACTGTTGCCAAGTAATCGGACAGATTAATCTGTCATTCGCGACGTAGAACTACAAAGAATATCTAACAATGGCAATAAGAATGTATCATTCAATATTGAATTACCTGAATCAATATTTGATAGCACTGGCTCGAAAATGGTTGAAATGAGTCATTTTCATCCAAATCCATTAGAATTACTCTAATAAATGATATTCCAATTATCATTTTTCTTTTGGCACTTGAAGCGTAAGTTGACGCAAGAAGAATGTCTTTCGGTTCACTTTCGAATGAGTGAAGACTAATGCCTTCTCGATTATCATGTAATAGTCAGAAAAGCCAAATTAAGAACCTGATCAAGTGTAAACAAAGTCTAAATGCCAAGATGATCTTGAATTATAAAGCATTAATCGTAGTAAGTAGTGCATTTTGCACGGGGTTGCTTGAATTCACCAATCAGTGGTTACCATTTCCTTGACCGTCAAAAGGAGAAGTAACTTTGTCCAGGTACTAATCCTGAATGCAGGAATTTTGTAGATGACCAGAAAGTAAATCAATAGAATGCTGCAAATATTTGTATTAGTTGCGGTCCAGGGTACAAACACCTTTCCATTGGTTCACGTTGTGTACAGTGGCTGACTTTGTTGCTACTATTAACATTTCAGTACAAAATTATTTAAAACAGCAGTGAAACACCACGATGGAATAAATAACAGCACCAAAACAAGCGCACCTAAGTGTTAGCACCAATACAAGTCTGTCAGCATAGCGCATTCTTGCATCACTAGCACTTTTAAGACTATTCAGTATAATTGTCCATTAGACCATTGTCATTACGAAAAAAGTGCACAAGTTTAAGGTGATCAATAATGTCAGGCATGATTTGGAACTCTGTAAATCCTTCAAAAAAGTGGTATTATTCTACTACCAGGTTTTAAGTAACGAATTTAATTGACGTGCATTTAATTAGGCGCTCAAAACACAGTGGCTTTATTCTAATAAAGGTGAGATGTACATTTGTGCTTTATCTTTTAAGTAAGGTTGTTTTAATTTCCGGTGATACCTATTGTTCATAGAGTTGGAAAGATGATCAACTGAGATTGGAGAAGTACCGTTTACCTAAAGATCGGTCACATTTCGACTTTCAACGTTTAGGCCCATTAATGAGGTAAATTTTGCTGCCTTGAACTCCGTGGGCTTAATTCAGCTAGTCTAGAACCCCTTCGGGTGTATATTGAGGTTAAAATTACTTTGACTCTTCAAACCCTAACGCTGTACAACCTACTCTCTAGAATTGAAATTCAGAAATGCCACTTTGTGTTTCCAGCCTTAAACTATTTCCACCGGATTTTTAAGCAGTTGGTACTGCCGACATACGTCATCTTCAGGAGCCCAATGTCTTGGTTTCGAAATAGCGCTATGTGAAATTATTGTAGGTCAAAACATGGACATTTGGTGTGTTATACTGGATTGGGAGGTCGAGTTTACGATAAAGCCGAGAGAGCAAACTAGCCCGAATTAGAAATAATTGTTAAGCCACGTCAAGGTGTTCAGCACGGAGACGCAGTTTCACAGTAAGCAAAGTGAAACCCTATTGTCGGCGTAGAGACTGACTCCTGCTCATCAAGGATATCTCAAAGCAACACCGTTAAAAGCTATTATGATAATTTTTACCCTACTACCTGCACGTGGAAAGTGTACACAGACATTTCAGACATTGTGATTTATGATTTTCCTCCTGTAAGAACAAAGTACATCAAGGTTTGTATCATTTAGCAGAAATTAGAAGAGAACAAGAGCGGTTTTATTGGTAACTGCTACTCTCAGTGGCCTCGAACGAGCGTTCATTTGGAGTGGACCTATCGGTGATCAGCAGCCTTGAAGACCATGAAGGACATTCCATCAACCATGAAGAAGGCGAAGTGGTCTTTTACATAGGCGATTTCACTAAAACGTCAAAGACAACACTCAGTACCTCAGTAATACCTGAGCATCTTTTTTCGAGTAGCCCCAATAACTGGAGAAAATAGTTCGTTTTTATAAAGTGAGAAAAGATACCAAATCGCCCTACACTTGCTATGCGCGTGTCTTCAGCCGTCTTCCGAGGAGTTCTGTTTGGGTGACTCAATTCAGTTTTAGTTCATAAAAAAAACAGCAAATGTGCACGCGTGTATATGCATCATGCCTTCGCTGACCGTTATGCAAATACCTGCCATGCCTAATTAATGCGTGGGTAAGACGCCTGTGCGATTTTGGCAGCAGGATGCATGCGTTCTATGCGTGTGTGTGTGTGTGTACCAATGCTTGTTGGAGTCAAAACCACGCCATGATGATTCAGGCACAGTATGGTAGAATAGGACCAATAACTGAGTGGAATTTGTGGTCTCTTGTATTGTCCTAAGTATTCCGCGACTATCAAGGATGTGTAAAGGTTATTTGTGTTTAAGAACACGAAATACTAATTTAAATTTCAACTCAAATACCCTTTTTAAATTTTATTTAGCGAAAAAAAATAATTTGCCTAAAATAGTTGGGATAAATGCAAGCTCCGGATGGAAAACGTCTTAGCAATCGAAATAAATTATTGTTGATGGGCTGGGAAGGTCACCAGAATTCACGCCCTTTTGGTCAAATGATAAACAGGACCTGAGTGACAATGCACCCAATTTTTCCACAAATGACTTCCCATGCAAACATGTGGGCTCACTTCGATTCTTCGGTTCAATAGGAAATTCCTCATTGGGCAGTCTTTGATTTGAAGTTTTAGAGGTAAGTGGTGATTTTGAGTAGAGAGACATGAAGTTTTTCTAGTGACTTATTTGTTTAAAAGGTCCTTTTTACTCTATACATCATTGTTTCGATGGCCCAGACTGCACTTTGCTTGGCAGTAACCTAAAAGCACTAGTGAATTCAAAAATGAGGTCAGATGATGGGGTAACTAATCGCAAGTTGTGTGAAATACAATGAAAAACATCATTTGTATAGAAAGCAAGACAAAACCACCAAATCAAAAGGCCTGAGTGCCTAGATGACAACGGTAACACAGACAGCGTTAAGTATAACATTGCTGTGGAGAGAGGAGATAGATCATTACTCGTTAATTTCAACCGCTTTCTTTCAGCGCTGATTGGACCGCACTTAGGCGAACTGCATCAGCGTGCTTCCCAAATATGATGAAGAGTAAGTTGGCCACGCAACAGTATTCGTTAAATAAATTACACTTATTAAAAGTCTTCATGAGTTTTAAGGGTATCACAGAAGTTATGCGGACCAAAATAATTTTTTCATTGTTAACTTAATATTTGCTAAATCTGAGGAGACAATAATATTGATGGGTATTTTCTAACCTTGTGGTATTGTGTGCAATTTATTAAGCATAATCACGTACAAAAAGATGAGTTGTAGGTACTTGCATTTCTAATATCGTTCCTCGCGGACTAAACACCTGATAATAGTTCATATTTACAATTGAAAACACAAATAGCCGGCCAATGCCTACCTGCCAAATCGCTGACCACAAACACAGCTCCATGTGCCAGGGAACTGTTTTTCCATTGCTTTTCTTACGGAAGAAGCAAGACTCTGCTCCTTGTTATTCTGGCTGCCGTAGCCGCTTTGTTCATTGAGGGCCTGGCGGGCAGCTCGTTGGCAGGCCATGAGCATGTCGTTGCTCATGTCCTGTTTGAAGACCTCGTCCTTGGCTGTGCTGGTGTTCATTTTGCCTCGCGCTCACTACTACTACCTTACGCACTGACGCGCGCGTCGATACCGCCTGCCTTATATATGAGGGCTGTGGTGTGTGCTCATCTGTGTGCACAGATGCGTTGGAAAGGACTAAAATGATTGGCCGCTGGTGAATCACGCTAGCAACTGGGAGCGGGCTCAACGACTAACAACGCAGGTGGAGATCAACTCGAGTAAACATGACTCGACTTGCAATAAAAGTGTTCAGCCCGGTAGCGGTACAGAAATTAAGTAACTGCACGACCTATGTTGACGTAAAGAAACCAAGTAAATTTGCCTCCTAGAGATATGGTGTGCAAATCCTAATGCTCAATACAGACGGTAGTATCATAATAAGTTAGAAGGAGCTTAATAAATAACCAAAATGCTTAATTGTAGGTGCATTTTAAAGTGTATACAGGGAATCTCTATAATACTTAGGTATCGATTTGTTTATCGTGGACTTTGGCCAACATTTTGACTCAAATAATAAGTTAGGTTGCAAGCCATCCAACCACTAAAGGGTTTGCAGTCTAGGGTTCCATCACCCACACCAACAAAATCCAACTCTTTTGAAGTGTGTACATTATCAGTAACTTAAAACCGGACTTTTGTGTTCGCATACTTGCGAATGTGCATAAACAGCACGCTCATATATATGCGGGAATATCAAACGGAGAGGCGAATCAAGTTTGGTTTACAGCCCTTTGTCACCCTTTGGCTACCAAAATTTCTCCAGTGCACACCGAAAAACCGAGGTTAGATTACCACGAAAGGCGATGAATCGATGACAAACTTTGAAGTTTGCTGTCCAACGACACACGACTAACAACATCAAAAGATACCTGGAAGTGTCTTTTGACGTCTAACCTTATCTCAATGCTGCCGTTGAAGTTGACTGTTGTTAATCCCACGGGCTTCTGAAGCTACAGTTCACTGCTGCCGAATAGGGTAGTCAGTTTTTGCGGGTGTAATTCGTAAGGGCTCTTTCGTATCAGCAAATGCGACGTCAGCTAGTGGACAGTGGCTTCTGACGTCAATCGAGACCTTTCTTTTCTACTTTTCAAAGGAAATTGCATATAAAATCAGACTATAGTGCAACAAGGTATTACTGAAATTTATTCAAATTTAACCAATCCAGTCTACACTGATAAGTTGGAGTTATTTCTTATTCTGAACGTGCTCAAAAATCGATGACTGTGCTAAGACTGTTAGAAGAATTGTTTTTAAAGCACATGTGGAGCTATGCCTAAAATTAAGAAATGAAACTCAAGTGGTTTTGAATTTAAAGAGGTGGCTAAGTATACAAAAACTAAAGTGCATGCTGTTGATTCATTTGGCCTGGGTGAACTAAGTATGCGGCAACATTTGTGTTTTGCGAGTCTTAAGCTATCCTGTCCTAAAAAATCACGTTTATTAAAAAAATAACATTCACAGCCCACGCAGCATTGTTTCCTGAATTCGAGTAGCACACTATCGGATTATGGTTTTTAGGGCAAGCCCAAAAGTGTTGCGCCTCAGTTGTGCTGATTCTTCGTGTGAAATTAAAAGAAGCACGAAAGAACGACACATTATGCAAGTTTAGATCAGTGCAATACCCCATTGTAACCATTGGTGAACCTTCGAGAGTTAAAACTTTGCGGATTTAGACAGCGACATTTTGCCATCAGGCTCTCTGTTAGGCAAACATTGTTTGCTTCTCGTCTTCTTATATTTGGATATGTTAACCTGTTAAATGTGATATTTAGATCCTATGCTAAATACTTGTACTTCGTTCATCAAAATTTAGCACACAATAATTCCTGCGACGTTCTTTTCCTCTGAGTGGCTTTTAACACGTTTTTCTAATGTTTTTAAGAACCATTACGTCACGTGTTTCCTGCTGTGACAGTGCATTAGCTCAGGTTCTGCAGGGCATATTTACGGTCAAATTCTGCCTTGAAATTTGTTTTAAACAAACGTGACCTGCCGACTGAGTGAGGTGGTCTAGTAAAACAAATGCTTCTAACAGCTGCTCTAGCAAACCTACAAATAAGTCCGTTCATTGGGTCTGCCAACATCCGGATCTTGTGCTGATATAATCAGGTTAAAACTTGCTTCATAATTGAACGACACACACCCAAATCGCCTGCTTTGGCGAGCTTCTTCGGCGAATCTGGCACCAAAGCAACATCAGGAACACTTCATAATATCCCATCTCCACTCGAATTAAACAGTAATCTGATTTTGGTAGTAGAAACCACTTTTCCCGCAGGCGAAATTCTGTGAATTCTAGTGGGAATGGGTTGCTTCAAGCGTGGTTAAAAGCTTCCCAAGTACCGCAAAACCTCTACTTATGCACCCCACCCATAATTTTCCATGTAAACCTGTCTAGATCTCACCCAAACCAAGGCGAATTAATGCAAATATTCGCAATCACAAAAGTTTATTGGATAAAATGGTGTTTTGGTAAGGGAAAGTATTAGAGTTAAGCATAGTACTTTGCTCAGTCAACTGGCATGGTTATTTGAGTGGACAATCTTTACTCAAGTGCATGATTCAAGTAATTCTCATAATATTGTGCAGCCAAAATTTTAGTCATTTTTAGCAAGAATTCACGACGCTGCTTTGAGCAACGTGATTCTCACTTTTGAGGATCTGAATTATTACTCAAATTACGTCTCAATCCACCAAAACTTTGTGAACTCCCGTGGAGCTAGGCTTTAAAATTTACGTCACAATCGTTTTTATTTAAAAATTTGAAACGAATGCCAAAAACAATGCGATTTGAATAAGCTAATGACACCACCAACTAGCCTTCTGAAGGCAACCAAACGCGCTGTTATCCAAAGACTTTGTTGGTCGTCTCGGGTTCCTAAACCTAGAAAACTTAACAGGTTTTTTTAAGTAAAAGGCATGCGAATCTGTAAATAAGAAAAAATCACCATACCATCTTCACTAATGAATAAACAGATTCGACAAATGAGGTTAAGGATGCGAGTTGTAAGATTTAATAAAAAGTTGAGAAGCAAGATGGCGTCTTCTTATATTTAGGTCAAATTGCAGGTTCACATTGGACTACCGCATGCCTACCCTAGGCGATAATTCTCCAAAAGTGAGTTGCAGGTTAGTGAATTCGGCAATCCTTTTGCCTTTCTTGATGTCTTCCATTCAAACTCAACCAGGTTTGCGGGGTGTTAAGGACCTTACGGACCTTGTTGAACATCAGCATAAAATCAAGCGCAAAAGAAGCCATCCTGCTCCAGTAATACCGTTTTCGATTTTGTGGAACCTTCCGAGATGGGTCTCAACTTGTTTAATCGGATGGTGGAAAGGTTTCTGCAGGCGCGAATCTTTTGAGCCTGCCAGTGCCAACTTATGGAAAAGTTCCTCGCGGATTCAGACTTGATCTCATTGGGCAGATGTTGAGCTGAGTTGCTCCAGTTTGAATTCTACTAAAAAGACAATTGGGTGTTTAATAAGGCAAAATATTTTCATGCAGACATCATTTGAATGCAGGGGCATTCACTTTCTCCTGTCAGGACCCAAATATTCTCCAACTTTATCCAAACTACCCAACTTTATTTTGCACTAATACAATATATATATACAGTATTTTGATTACCGTGAGTTAGAATGCACCAAAATAAGTTTGCGTGCCAAATTTCAATTAGTGATTCTATATTACATGAATAGTTGGTTTCGGTTCTTTCCAAAATTTAGCCCGGTTTCTATATTACTTAATTAACTTAACCTTTGGCAAACATTACTGCACAAGGAACAAAAGTCCGCAGGTCGAGATCAAAAAATCACAGAGAAGCAAATTTACCAGAGCACAAACTCAATTATGCGTACGGATTTCACTTAAAATGTGGTCTTTTGTAGGCGATAAAGTGGAGTCGTGATCTTGGCAGGGCTTATGTCAACGCCTAACGATAAGAATTGGTACACACTATTGTCTGTGCATGTGTTTTGCACATGCCTTCTGGTTACTTTGATCAAAAACTTGCAGAACCAAACCTTGAAATTTATTAATTTAATAACCTGTAAATGCTTATTTGGAGGAAATAATATGTTGGGAGGAATTGAGCTATGTCGAACTCGGAATGCTCCTAGTGGTAATTGGTAGTTAGGTACGACAAATTCATTTCTGGTAATTTTTATTGCATTGGGTTTTGTTCTAAAAAAACAATTCATCACCGGTTGTGGGACTATTTCCACACCTTTCCAGTGAATAATTTCCCAGCCAATCATGTCATCGATGAGAGATTCTTTTACAATCCGTTACAAAATAGTAAAATATGGTTTAACTCAGATCAAAATGTGTATTTCAGGCTCAAATTATAAGAAACAAGTTCTTAAACATTTTCTTTAGTCATTGCGAGAAGGATTTCATAATTTTTCCGATATTTCCTTCCTTGAGAAGTTCCCGGTACCAGTCCTAGTTAAACCCTACACTCTTTAGCCTGTTTGCAAATCTTAAAATTCAATTTTGACTGTTCATGTCATTGCACAATTTTTTACAAACCTCACAAGTGAAATCAATTTTATTCAATGTAGAACAATCATGGTTTTGTTAAGGAAAAATCGAAGTATCAAAAGCCTAAAGCGAATTTGTTAAAGGTCAAGAAGGCGGTGTAAACTGGGGTTAAAGTAGTTCCCCATAGTAGCCTGTAAAATAATTTTAGGAACTCTCTAATTGGGGAAATAGCTAATATTGGACAGGATGGCTTTGTCACAAACAATTCTTATATTTGTATGTCACCGAGGCGAAAGCACAGGCGATGTAACGACTGGTAGCACCAAACCACACACACTTGCACTGTAGGACGCATTTCTTACTGTTAGGTGACACACGCACACCCAAGCACACATTCGTGCTCAGCGCGTACGGCAAACCCTGTGCCAGTCACTTTATCGATTCGAGTTGCAGTACGAAGGCCCCTTGTGCGTGTGTGCGTGCACGCGCGTGTGTGCGCCTGGAGTCTGCCAAAGCAGCCTCGGTAACCTGGTGGATGAGCGTGGGAAATGGTACACACACGCTTGTTTAAATTTTACGTTGCAGAGGGTTCTGCGCATTTTTGTGATGTGCTGCAAACTAGCAATCGCTGGCCTTACACGCCTTCTAACAAGTTCCTGAATTTACACGTGGTTATTAATTGTGGGGTATTCTTCGACATGAATTCTGTAGCTCTTGTGCTTTCATTAACCACTTAAATGTTACTCCAAAACTGTAAGTGTACAACTATCAACTACGTCGGCTTTTGGTAATAACATCGCTTGCCCAATGATGCAAATCCGAATCAAAGGGATGAAAAAAACAATGACTGATTCGCATCCGAATTAATTTACCAGTGTAGTTTAAGAAGGTGTGAGACTGAATGCATGCCAATACCTATTATTAAAGGTCTCATTCTGTGCTCTTAAGAAAACACAAGGTAGGTAATTAAGGTAAATCTAGTGAACAGCAACTGCTATAAATCAGATTTTAGAAACTTAACGTGGTTTATGATAGGGGGGGGGGTAAGTGCATGCCTTTACTTATCGATGCATTGACCGTTTTTTGACATATATTTCTTTTCTATTCTAGCTTTCAAATCAGAGCGCTGATAAGTTTCAAAATAAATCATCGATGAGTCCTGCTGCTGCAAATCCTAATCGTGTGCATAACCCGAGTGGCTGCTAAGAAGAATCGTTGACAATGTCTTTGCTTCGACTTCATTGGACTAGGAGTGCAAACCCTTTTCGTACAAAACATAAAACGAAAATAAAACAAGACATTTTAGATGAAAGCGGTTCATTGTGTCCGTTTTTTCAAATAAGCTGACTAGGTCAGAACTTGAAAGCACTATTTTAAATTTGGGTTTTGAAATTTTGAGCTCCTCTACGTCGTTTACTGACCGAAACAAAATTCTTCAGTGCTGTGCATGTCTTTTTCAGCTGTCAGTCATTAGGATCTGTGGAGAGGTCCTACTTTCAATGTAAGATAACCTCGTGTCATTGTAGATGAGAAGTTAATGCCACCTTAAATGTCCACGAGCCACTCACAGACTTGCTATGCAGTCAGTCTGTTCTTAAGGCAGTGTAAGTAATATGTGCTTAAATTATGCAATTAAAATGTTTCTAGGCAAGTAAACTTTACATTTGGTGAAAACAAAAGTAAGTTGCGTGACTTAATTAACTGGTTGTGCTTTGAGGCATTTCATAAGTTGTTTGTCTGAATTCCATGCTAATGTTTATCAAAATTAAAGCCGATGAAATGAAGACTTGAGTTTAACTTTAAAAATCCCATCTTTTCCTGTTACAGAAATCCTGAGAACACTGCGATTTTCCTCCGAGAACTATGGTCTCCTAGGTGTAACATTACACCAATTCTAAGTGGATTACAAAAACCGAATAGTTGAATAGTGAAAAGAGCAGATTTGACTCAGTCTTTGGTTTGTCTTAAGAATAACCTTTTTAATCACTAGAAAGGTAAGAGAACAAACGAGTGTGCAAATCAAACTCCAATTCTGTGGATATTTAAATATTATGAAAGCCGTGGATGATTTTCAAATAATTTAAGACTAGAAGGCAGTGCAGTCCTGAGATAAGGATGCCAGAAAAAACTATTTCTCCCACACACTGTGGTGTTGTTAATTACTGACGTTACCACATGATCAATAAAAACACTATACGAGCTTACTTTGGGTAAAAAAAAGACTACAAACCACTATACTTTCGGTATTTCGGCGAAAAAAGTTCATCGATAGCTGGCCGCTTCATGAAACAAAAACGCATCGGCACTTGTTTTGGCAGAAAATAAATGCTGGAATGCACGCCTCGATGTCCACATGGCACGTTTAATGAGATGAGTAGATGAAAGAAATCGCATTACATGTCGAGACATTATCTCATGTACCTGTTTTCCATTTCCGGAACAAATGGCATTGATTTAAAAAAAAATTATTTGACCTTTTAGTCTATGAATTCCCCTCGAACGTCCTTACCCCCAAAATAAGTGAAATAGTTCGAGAGCAAAACGTGGAATTCGGGAGGGCAAATATTCTCAAATCAGGGAATTATTATATCCATCATTTTTTGGTATATATTTATTTCTAGAGACACATCTGGAGGATTTTATGGGATGCTTCGATTAGGGTGAGTAATAATTACAAGATGTTTTGTTGACTGTTAGCATAAACGCCTGAGCCATGAATTGGCATTAATTAGCATTTAAACGAAAATCAATTCGGATCACACCCCTGAAACACGTGGAGAGGATGCAGTCAAATGATCTGGTAAATCTCGCGTTTGGCATATTGGATCACGAACAATATCCTTTGTCCCATTTTGATTACCATCAACACTAGGGGCGTTGTTTTATCTTTTAAAGGATTTTAAAGACATTCCCTGGTCTTTTCAGGGGGCTGCTTGACCTAGTTAGTAGTTTAGTGAATTTGCGCTAAAAAGGCCAAAATTTGAGCATTTACCTAAATGAATGCACTCAAGTACACAGAACGTGGCTGGTGAGGATTGTAGCGACTCGCTGCTTGTTGGATGGGCGATTTTGTTGAGGCTCAGACTGGTAGCCCCGTAGGAGTGCCTATGATGCTTCGTGAATTAGGAAAAGTGCTGACGCATTAATGTACCACCTAACATATTTTATGCATGGCAGAAAAGCTTCCTGAAATGCCGTCCCAATTCTGCGTCAACTGACGAAAGTGATCCATGTGAGTTCTTTTTTCGTGAAATTAAAAAATTTTTTTGAGTTTCAAGAAATATGAACAGGGGAGTAATTCGACATTTGCCTATTTAACTGCCAAAGGTTGCAGCATATATTCTAAAGACTTATTGAAGCAGAAATTTAAATTATGAGCTCATCCTAGTCTAGTGTCTATTAGAATTCTTCTGTGAACGGAATAAGTTTCATGGCCGGAAAAATTTCTTGAATAGACAACTCACTAGAGCTCTGACGATGCTTCTGCTTTACGCTCCAATTAGAAAAATTATGGAATAATAAACAGAAGTGCATTTCTAATTATTCTAGCAGTTACTTCCATGTTTACCGTTGACCGAAGAAAAATGCCAGCAAGTTAAGTGAAATACCAATGGCTTAAACGACTTTTTAGTATTCATTCACATCACATGCAAAATAGGCATTTGTGTTCTATCCATGGCAGCATAAAGAGTTTCTGTAAGTATCCTTCTTATTTAAACAAAAAACGGCTATTGGGTTCTGTCTACCACCATTTTCTACTTTGGAAATAGATAAAATCGGCCAATATGAGAGATACTCTGGAAGTAAATCATGGAGAGCCATGTTTATCTTTGGTTGTTCTAATTTTTCAAACAACCTTTGCAAATGAAAGTCTAATTTAAAAACAATGATGTTAATTAACACCGAGATACCCCAAAACCTGCTTGAGATCGTTTCATGTATGTCAGTTTTGCACTAATTGTTTTCAAGCCAAGCCAATGCGATTAACTGTTCTAGAATTTGAACGCATCTGCTCGTGGTTGCTCACTAACTTGCCTTAAAAGTCACTTCGGGTACGGCTGTTGATAAAATGAAACCATGAGGCCCACAGAGAATATAAATGCCACCGTTTAGTACAAAAAATTTTGCAAAATAATTAGGGTGTTCTCGTGGAAGTCTTGCCAAACAATAATACCCGCCTATCATGCAGTATTTCGCTGCACTTAAACGTTTTTCCCTTTAGATTACCTACCCATCGACCCATGGAACAGAAGTATTACGCAGCCAATTCGACTCCTAACAAAGGTCAGTGCTTCCTGAATGCCAATATGGAAACAATTTAAAGTTTTTTTCCTGCACCATGGTTTTTTGACTGGTTATAATTTTGCTACTGACACAGTGACAGTAATATAGAAAAACAGCAGCTGTTAAGCAGAGACTAATTGTTAATTTCAAGGTAATATTTAATAAAAAAGACACTGTTGGAACCAGATAATTATAACCATTCTGCCTAAACTCATGCATGACACAGTAAATAAGTGTCCAAGAAAACTTCTATAGAACATAAACAGCGATGTTATCCAATTAGATGGCTCTGCGTGTATTCACTGCACTTTTGTCAATTTCTACTACTGCTTTCACGGTGAAATGCGCAAACGATTCGCTTCATTGAAATCTTGCCTAACCGGAAGCCGGTAGCTATTCAATATAGCCACGCATTTAGTTAAGACTTGATTATTGCCTAGATGTCCTGAGTTGGATGTTGTTCAATCGATATTTACTTCCAGTCCTTTCGTAGGGCTAACGATTCCGTCAGCAAGCCAGTCTAACCCATTGAACCAACCGAACAAGTACCTCTCACGGTGTGTGCAATTACTTCAACGAAATTGACTGATTTGGGCCCTTTAAGCACACTGCCACGTAGTCAGCTAACTGCGCACAAGAAACTCTCTGTGTAATTCAACCGTAGTAAAACCACACAGACTCCTTGAACTACATTGTGCTCGTACAATTCAGCCTTGTCAATAATTAAGTCTTCGTTGCATGTCTTATTACATTAGGCTTCATTGAGTTACTGACTAGGGTCTTCATTCATTTCCTTACATAATCATAGTGTCAGTTGGTCATGTTGTCGATTGCGGATGATGAAGTATCGGAGTTCAATCACAATATTTTTGCAGGTTCATCAACTTAAACGTAAGCTGTTAATGGCAGATGACAAAAATTCTATGACCCTCTCCATGTGCAGTTAAATAATTAAGTTCTACTATGCGGGTCACAAACTTTCGTGTGAAACCAGACTCACATTAATGTAGACACGGCAGCAATTCTTCCAGTCAGTCAAATTGGAACAATATAATTGGCTCAGAAACAAATCATTGCTCTTCATTGTTAATGAAATAATGGAACTGAGGAGGGGAGTAAATAGTATGCCAAGAGTCGTAATATGAATACCAGTGCAGTGTTTTTGGAAATGCGTGAAGAACGTGCAGTGTAAATTAGTACAGTTTCTGGTAAAAGCAAATATTCGTTTCCCTCAAACAAAGTTATTTCCTACCGTGGAGACACGAGGTACAATAAATATTTATTGTTTTTTTTCAATTCCAAAATAAAATAATTATCATTTTTAAACCCAACTGTGATGTCTCAGCACTTTATGCGTAATTTTTTGGACGAATACTATTGACACCTTCGTTCTTTGAAATCTCCTCGAGTCCCCTTTTTAAGGAACCTGGAAACTTGGCCCTACGATTGCATAATTACTCGTCAATGCACAAAATCACAGTCTGTTTCTATTGTTTTGCCAAAAACACACTGATGGGAGCGTTCCTTTGTCTTGCTGAAAGGCGAACCGGCGAATCCAGCGGCTGCGTTTCTTTCCAGGAAAGTATATCGGCGACCCCAAGGCGATTATGAACCCGCATCAGGACATCCGACTCCCCGAGTCACCAATGTATCCCTCTGTGGTTCCGAAAGGTAAATGCGAAATTGTGCACCCTGGTCTTTTATACTTACCACTCATGGTCTTGCAAGTATATCGGCCACCTAATGCAACCTATTGATTATAAGTGAAACTTTCATTCTGCTGAATAAGCTAAATTGAAATGATGTGCTATTGTTCCACTTGCAGAAGCCCAAACACCGTTCTTTTCCGATCACAGCTAATCAAAATATGCAGCAAAGTGGTAAAATTGGCTCTTACGTTGCAAATAGCATGATTATCTAGATACTACATAAAAACCGGATCGAATTTCCAGGAATGCTGTCTTAATTGGGCTGTCACCACGGTAAAGTAGGTAAATTGGAGGGTTTGCAGACGCTAGATGTGTTCGCATATCAAAGGGCCAAATGTGGCAGAATTTGGACATGGTGTGTCATGATGCACTAAAGAAGCTAGCATCTCACATTGAGTTGTCGTAATATTGTGGTGCTCATTCAAGTCCAGCTTGCATTTCCGAAGGCACCCTGTCTACAGCGTACTGAAGCATGGCGATTAGATATATTCGCATGATACACAATCGTCTGATAACTGGCAAGTCTTATTAGTCTTCAGCTGCCGAAAGTTTGGAAGCTGTTGACTGTTCACGAGTGCCATTTTTGTAAGATCTTAAAACTACTAACTGGAATGTGTCAAAAACGTTTGGCAAGCAAATATTGCTGCGTGTGGCGGCTACTTAAAATTGTGGCCTAGTTATGAAGCACAAGACTTTTCTGACACCAACGAACTGGATGAAGGAAGAAAGCAAAGACGGTCAAAGTAGTGTTTAGTGCAGACTAGAGGCAATCAAGCGAAGACACTCGTTGCAGACCACTTCTTACGTTTTGCCAAGTTAACAACTGTTTGTTTAAATTTTGGCTTTGGCTACCATGCATAAAAGATGTCATGTTTTGAACCTTCCGGATGCCTTGAGATTGGCCCCAAACAGAATAAAATCAACTTCTTATGCAGCAGTTGCAATTTCGAAAGCTTCTACTTATTTTTTAAAACAGCTATTCCACCAGATGTCATTGAATCCAGAATGAGAATTGCAGCCCAAGATATAGCGGTAGCCTCCGTCGTGAATCCGCTATCGAAAGTTATGGTGGAAGACGTGCTGCCGCCTATCTACGACGACGCTGGCAACTGCAACAAGTACTCCGGTATACCTCGAAATATTCACCTCAAATTCTCTTATGAGGACGAACGATGGCTGCAGCATGTGGCGAAAGTGATGGCCAGTCAGGCCATTAAAAAGGCCATTCATCGTCTTAGATTGGAGGGCACTATTGTTTGTCCGTGGAAGGGCAATACGAGACCCACGTTCGAAACTTGAAACGTGTGTGGAAAAAAATTAAATATTTTTAATTGTACTCAGGTCTATTTATATTAAGCCATCCTGTCGTAAAATACAGGCATCTGGCCACACCCAAATAGCTTTTTTTGAAATCTATCATAAAAGATTTCAGTTAAATTGACAAAATGGCATTCTAGAAAGGTCGATTTGCGTGAGAACAGTTTTACGTATCAACGCATTGAAACTTCATTCACTGAGAATACAGCTTTTGCGCCCTCGCTGGATGGCCTGTGCCACTAGGTGCTGGCGTTACCAGCAACAAGTCGAAAACTTCAAATAATTGAACTAAAGTAGCTGTGAGTTTAAGGATAATTGTCCAATAACGTCTGAATTCCTGAAACCTTCGTAAAGTGCTCTTTCTCACAACAACACCGAACTAGATTTGTAAACCAACTTGTTTGTCTGAGCTGCGTACCTGGATAAAAGGTGACCTGTAACTAGGCTTTCACCACAAACAACGTTGTTTGTAACTCAAGAATGAAGTGTGATGGTTTCGGAAGTAAACCAAAATGTAGGCTTCTTCTTGTTTTTCTTGTAGAACCACCTTGGGCTTAAAGTGAATGCTGGTTGTAAATTTTAGTATTACCGAAGGCCAGGAAAGTGTAGGTTAAAAGCACTGTTTCCTAAATTTTAAGTGTCGTTAATTCAAACAAGAAGTTGATGATGCTAAAACTTTGGCTGTCTGCATATTAAAAACCTAGATTTTGGGGCTCAAACGGTACTTGACTTGCTGACTGCCTGATGTAACACGAGAAGGCGCTGCATCATTTCGCAAGCTACTTTTCACTTTCAGCCTTCGAGTACAAGGGCAAAATGGCAGTTTTAGCCCGTCAAGTCAATGCACAGCAAGCACCATCACCAGGCGGGTATTTTTCGTAAAACTATTGGTCACCAATATCTTTGTCCTAGAACACAAGGAAGTGTAACGTGAATCACCTCACTTGGGCGTCGGTAGAAGTTCCTTTTCAGAAAGAATGCCTTTTTCTGGTTATATGTGCAGCTTCTCAAATCTGATTACCAGCTTCCTACAAATTGTTCGCCTTTCACAGAGTTGATCTTAATTTTGTAAGTATGATGACAGGAGAAGAGTAAGGCACAAGAAGTTGAGGGATATATTTAAAACAATATTATTTCCTTTTTCATGAAATTCGTAGAGGTTTTCCGAAAGTTTTCACATAACTTTAACATTGTCCGTAGACTTACAAACTAGGAAGGAGACGTCATCGACAGTAAAGAAAGCAAAGTGATCCGGTAGGTAAGGGATTTCGCTAAAACACACAAAAATTCACGATTTGGACTCTATTAAATAGAATGTTTAGTCGGAAAGTATTCTGATCCTTACAAATGCAAAGCAAAAAACGTATTCGCATTTCGTGCTTTTAGTTTTTCAGACGTTACCATATAAAAGAGCTTATTTCTGTTCGATGCTAATATGGACATTAAAAATAATGATGTGCAAATGACGTTGGGAACATTAGAATGAGTTTATTCGCTATAAATTTAGGAGCCACAAAACCAGGTTGGCTTGCGATATGAAAGCAAAGTTCAAGTAGGTGAAGAAGATGTTCAAATCATGTTTTGAACGAAAACGATGTTAATAACTTAATGGATATCTATAATGCACATTTGTTCTTAATAAACTCCTTGTCGAAGAATTTTCTAGAAATTTTTTGAAAAGCTATTGGTCTTTGCTCAGGTTTTGAAAAATAGCAGAAAGAGTGAATACCTTCCGAAGTCTTGGCCCGTGATGCAGCTCCATGCGGGTCCATATTTGTCATCCATAATTTGGCGGACGTAGGTGGCCCTTTCCTGATTTGACCTGGTCTTATTCAGAGCCTCCTGAGCTGCTTGAATTGCAGTATTCACTTGGTTCTCTTTGCACTCAATTTTGAGTCGCTGAACGCTCATGGTAACCTTACGCGTCTGAGTGAGTGACAGGACGTGGCGTAGGCGTTTGCATTTAATACCACCAGGTCGCATGGCACTCAACCAATCGAGGGCCACGGCATCTCGAAAGGTCTAACCAGTGTCCTACACACACACACACACACACACACATGCACACACATGAGTTCGCACCTCAGCCTGGGGCCTCTCAACTCAACGGTCTTGTGGTTGTCTGGTTTCGCTACACCTACGGAGGACTCTAAAGTGTATCTTCGGGCTGACTGTGGAGTTAAACGAACCTAATAACTAAACGTACTTAGCCAACTTTCGTTTATTTACCCCGGCCACTAAGGCTTCGATTTAAGACGGCTTCAAAAATCTGCACACATAGCGACAAAAATACTTCACAGTGGCAAATTAAATTAACACGTCATTGGAGTTTACCCGAAACTTTAGTGGAATATTTTGCAGCTCAAAACAAGTAAATTTGAATCGTAATGCATGATCGGTTTATGAATCCGCTATCTAATGTTAATATAGTTACAGATTATAATATATCAAAGTAGGAAAAAACACACGTCTTCACTTTCTAAATGACTGCTTTGATAAGGTCATTCAGTGTTATGTTGGACAGTCCAATGCCATTAGAAGTCAAAGGTTTGAACATTTGCACCGTTAAATCAGAAGATAATATTGGCGGGTCATATTGTCCGTTGTTGTAGTACTATAAATCACGTAATGCAACCAGCAGTACATGTCAGTCCTTGCCTGAAACCAGCCCTCTAACCATCCCTATCTACCTACCCTGTTTAGTTTAATTTGAATTTATTTATCGTCTTCTTTTCCGCTTAAACGATGGTGTTTAATTCTTCCTCAACCCATTCAGCTATGGGTTTCTGCGAGCTCATGGCAACCTCATGGCACATTTGTGTGTTTTTCATAAACGAAGGCTCTGCAACGCACCAGGTGCGGTGAAAGCCTTTGATGTAGATTGGTCTGTAACTAAGCCATCATGTTTGAGATCGTGTGATTAATTAGTAGAAGTTCTCGCGTTATGGATTTCTTTCTGAGCATTGCATTTGTCAAAGTAGATTTTTTGAGGCTACGTAACCGAAATTGCTTAAACAAAAGGTCCGAACGTTTTTTGCTGTCGTACAAATCTTTCTACAAGTGGTAGTGGCCGTTTTATTGTACGATCTGGTATAAAATCCGCTTTTAATGCCACGGAATTGGCACCCTGTGCAGTGGTCGTGTTTTTACAAGCAGGGTTCCTGGTTTTGACGTCGTTTTATCAAATATGTATGCGCTAGGTGGCAGTAGAATATATATTAGTGTATTATAAACGGCGCTTGTTTTAAATTCACATTTAGACCAGACGAAGGAGGCTGTTATAATAAGTAAGTTTCCAAACCATCAGATTTTCCACCACTGTCTGGATGCTTCTTTATAATGTTCAGAGAATGCATTTGTTTGTGAATTCGATTTCACTGTGCGCATTTTTTCCAGGTTGATTGATGCTCATCTATCTAGTTGTGAAGTTGAGGGATTTTCTGCGCATTTGTTTTCAACTGTAGCTATTTCAAACAGAGGATTGTGAACGTTTCATTGAAAAGAGGTAGTTTCATGTGGTAGTTATGAGATGAATGCTATTTGGTAAGATGACCACGAGGTCAGATATTGTTTCTATGATGGCATCGTGTATAAAACGAATGGGTCACTGACGTTACCTGCGGTTTTAGGTTCAAGAAGTCACAAATTCACTGAGATAACGATGGTTTAGCTGACAAGTCAATCAGTTCTCGATATGTGCACAGAAGTGGCAGCAGGCTGTCAGTTATCTGGTTAAAATAGCATTCGGGTAGAAAATTATTGCCATATTCCGTTTTTTTAGATCTTCGTGCTTAATTATCAATGGATCCGATATGCTGATTTCGACATCCATGTATATTCTTGTGTTTCATTTAATAACTCACCTGGTCTAAATGGACCGGTTACGTTAGCTCTCATGGAAGATCTCACAACACACGAAGAAGCATTTAGCCCTGTGAATCGGAGGCAGAGCATTTTGTCTGCACAAATGTTGTCAGTGATTTATACCATTTCCAATATTTCAAGAAATTTACACAAACGACTCAACATGCACAGTGAACACCTACATTGTTCGCAATCTGGCCGTCGAAGATCTCGACAAACACCTTTTTGCTGTTTGTCAACTTTAGTGATTTCAGATTACACTAGGTTTTCGATTTACTCAGGTGAGGACTGGCTATCGGTGACTCACTGTAGGCTTCTGTGCGAGTGCTGTTTTGAAATCGGGGCTTCGTGTTGCGTTCGTGCATGCCGACGCACCCACACCCACAGTGTGTGGTGCCAAACAGCGCTGTCTAGGTCCGTGCGCTGGCACGCGAATCGCCATTCTGTCGCTTAGTGATGCAAATGTGCAGGTGGGCTCTACCATTAACGCATTGCACCCAGAGCCATTTGCATTGACACAAATTCACGCCTGAATTCATTTCAACTTTGGGTTAAATTCGTGAAAACCGCAGCAGCCGTCAAATTGCGCGATCCGTTGCACGCTAAAGCTCTGATGGACTAGGTTATCTAGTCACACAATCTTTCATTGCATGTGTGTAACAAAGAGGTCCCAAGTACTACGTGAATTGTCGTTTCTAAAATTGCACTAATTCTTATTCCCAAAATAAGTGATGCTTTCTGTCCACGCACATAATAATGCGTACCTGCAAACTTAACTGGGTACCTTACGGGTTACCGAGGCTAGACAATCAACAACAGACTTGAAATCAGTAGCTTTATTGGAACATAAAGCCTGACCCATTATGACCAGGTGTTATATGCCACACCATAAATGAAAAACTTGCCACTACGCCGTGGCTCAAATTCCCTCTCACTTTTGTGCTCGGTAGTGCTGGTCGGGTATCCTGTAGGTTGGTACGGCCAGCTTCATGCCCGCTACAGCATAGTCCTGCTCCGAACCAGAGACCACCTCAAATATAGCATGCAGCTCTTCAACTAGATCGCTAATGGGAGTCCGCTTTTTCTGTTCGTAGGTAATGCGGTCACCGACCTCATTGGCCTTCAGCACATATTGGTAACAGAGGACGAAAAAGTCGTGCGCATAAAATGCCAACTCTGGACCAATACTTGTCGCGACAAGAGCAAGTTCCTTTAGCATCTTTAGAACCCGACGCGTGGTTTCGTCGTTATCTACAAAGGGTGCAGAAATAGACGAATAATTCCATACAATAACTCTAAGTACTAAAATCATTTGATGCCTATCTAATTCCCTGTCAACATTCGCCGAAGATTGTTGAAACCCAAAAAAAAAAATAAATATCGCATAACCTATGCATCATGGGAGTCACCTGTCACTAATATTTCGCAACTTCTTTGTTCTGCTTCCCTTAGTTCTACGGTTTCAAAGGTCGTCTGCGTTCTAGAATGAGTATATGTAGCAACTGGTTGATATAAAATATAAAATTTTTAACAGAGAAACCATGATTCCTGGACACATTTCACTCAAACCTAAGAATCTGCGTTACTCAACGACTATATTTTCCCATATTCTACAAGTGGTTGAAAACTAACTCGCAGTTAATCATTGAATTGGAGGTAGGCTGGCTTATTTGCACTTCATAATTAGTCGAAAACGTGTTACTGCTCACACGCTGCCATGGCACAATTCTTCAGCTTAAAATAATAACGGGCAAAATGCTACTTCGATCAAATCCATGCAAGTCTATGCAATACTAATTACGACCATGGCTATGACAATTCCATGGAAACCATGTATGCTACCCTATTTTCCACCAACAATAACAGCATACTGCTCCAATAAGCCTTAATGAAACAGTCTTCTGAGCCAGATGTGCGATAATTTAACAAAACAACTAGACAGGTTGATGTGTGAGGTGGCATCTTTTTCTCAAAGCAGTTAATTTCAATCCAAATGTAAAACCCTGAATGGTGAAATATCGACTATCGAATATCGACTATTGTACATTATTCACTAGTGTTTTAAATGATTATGGCTTAGTCATGCCTTATTTGCTGTTTTTGTAAAACGCTGGATTGAAACTACATGGCGAAAAGTGTTTTTTTTTCAACATTGATGGCATAATAATTAAGACACGTCGCGTCATTAAAGCACACAAGTCAGGTCGTCAGCTGAGATTTTTTGAAAGAAATTGCTACTCTAGATAGATATCGTGTGCAAATTTTATTTCTGCCTAACTAATTCTGTAAGAGGTATGAAACTGCCCCAGTAAACTGGCTACCTGAGCTTTAGTAAGACGCTGAACACGTCGGTAAAATCTTACTTACTCCTATGGATCATTATCCTGAACTCCACTGAAAATGCAGGCAAAGCGGCCGCTAACTTCACAGGAGGCACATGCTTCAACACATCCATATACACAAGATGTGCGATGGTTGCCCAATACCAATTATCCGACTGTCCCTCCAGCGAGTCCCTTATTAAGTCAACGACATCACACTGCTCGACTTCCATGCACCAGGCGATTTTATAGCACGTCACGTCGCCCGAGTGGTTTAGCTTAAATGGATACAAGCCTCTTTCGTACTTTGTACGAAATCGTGATCGCTTGAGCGGCAGTTTATGCCGTGTTACGTAAGGTACGCCAATGTCCCAAATCCCTTGCTCTGATTTAACCTGAAACGCACGCTTGCATTTCTCCGACTGTGGATCTGCTTCTCCCAATAATGGAACACGTCGAGGCAACCGACCACACCAGTCCACCTTGCAATCGCAAATCTCCGCTTTATATTTGGGATTTTGTTCGTTCTTTAATGCCTCGCATAGTGAAGTGCGTGGGGGCTTGGGAGAGCACGGTGCTCGTCGGTGGCACGAGCCACTGGAACATCGACGACTCATTTTCCCCCAATCTCAATTCGTGTCCTGGTGCTCAAAGACCAAATCAACCAGCGTTTGGTCTTGTTCAAAGAATTAATCGATACAAGCTTTGCACGTGCTTGCTAAGCGCACGTGTGACACCAAGAGGTAGCAGCTGTTTCACCAGTCAATTAGTTCGGGACGCTAACCTAAAATTCCCGTCTAGGGAATATACCCTGTACAACTAACCCGTGAGTTGACCTTTAAACAATACAAGTTAAATGCGCAGAGTTTGAACGCAAAAAAGTAACAGGCATTCGTCTGTATCACAGATGAATGTCATGCTTATAAAAGCATAAAAGAATTGCTGTAGTTGGGATCCGCACATTCCAACTTAGTTTCATTTAAATTCAACAGAGCCTGCTTGTTGCAATATGTAAGGTTATGTACACATAAATGTAACCAAAGTGTCACAGTATAGTGGTGTGATTTTACGTAAAGAAATCGAAGCTGATCACTTCTGTGACCAACTCAACAAGCACTTTGGCTCAGGTGGAATGTTAATTCAGTGGTGTGTGCAGTTGTGTTGCTCTATGTGTGATTTATTAATATCCAGTCAAACATTTTAATGTAGGATAGGTCCAGCTAGCAGGTACCAAAACAGAGAATTCGTAGCTTTGGTGTTTCAGGTCTCTGGATTGTGAAGGAGATTCTGTGAGTATAGTTTAGCTTGGGAATAGTGAGGCCGACAGATGGACCCCAAGTAAAATGTGGTGACACCGCAGAAGTGGCCAGCTACGGTTGTCCGACCCTCAAAATTGACAAAAACGTGCATTAAATCGGGGCTGTTAAATATTTATGTTATAGGCTGGGCCTGAAAACCAAGAAATCACTCGAAATAATTTAGACATTGCCAGCACCTGATTACAGAACTTATTTTTTTGCGTAGCAATTAAATACATAGGGCCTAGTTTTCATCCAAGACATTTGTTGAACTATGGACGTATTTACCTGCCCTTGGATTTTTTCCATCATACGACTGATTAAATGTGATTTTGTTTTAGTCTTGGAGTTCGCGTTGCATTGACATTGTGGACAAATAAATCTTGCGTCTCTGACTGCTTAATCAACCTTGAAAACAAGTAGGCGATGTACTAAAAAGGAGTTATTTATCAAAAGTAGTATAGCCGAAAACTTTAAATTATACAACTTTAGATTAAAAAAAACTAAAGAATAACATTGAAATAGAGCAGTACTTTTTTTCCCAATCTGGTTCCACCTCTTAAACCTAAATTATCATTTTGGGTCAAGATTGCAAATTGTAAGATCCATTGTTATATCTGACATTGAAAAGTCAGGATACTAAAAAGTTGTGGCGAATTTTAAAAAAACAGGCAGTTATTAGCGTGAATTAATGAAATAGCAACATTGACGAGAAAAGCCTATTTAGAACAACTGTGGTTTCTGCAATGGCAAATGTATGCTATCATCTGAGGTTAATTTTGCGTTAGTATTTGAAACGGCTGTCCACAAATTAAACAAAAAAATGACTCCTTTGCTTCAAAAAAGAAATTAGGACAATTAAACACACAGTTGGCAGTCAAACTTCATCACGAGAGACTTGTAATGCATGAACATATCAGAGAACATGTCCCATTAAATCCCAATTTATACTTCAGATTTTATGAACATGGTTCATTTATGTTGAATAAGCACAATGTAGGTGCCTCCAGTCTGACATTTTCAATTTTCGGTGGTGAAATGATTTGTTCTGCTCGAGGTGGATATCGACTGTAGAATTACCACAGCACAAAGCATGTGTTTCGCACGTGAGTTAGTCACCAACAAGACCTTTTCAATCGCATTCCGTGTACCATCTTGTGCAGTAATGATTAAACTTACTTCGACCCAAAGGTATCGAGATGGAACGGATAGCCAATGTTAATCATTATAAGTATCGATGAGAAGATTTGAATGACTGCTTAAAATCGGTAAAGCTTTTGTCCGAAAAGAGTTATATAATTGTAATGAGTGTCAGTAGTTTCACACCTATTTTTAAAATTATAAAAACATTCTAGGAGCTCTTTTAATCTAGATTGACCAGCGTATGAGATGATTTGTTTTAAACCTGCTAATCGACAGCAACATGTGTACAGCAGGTCAGGTAAGAAATTATGATAAAGCAAATGACAAACAAAAATTCTGTAGATAACACGAAATTTATCAGGAATAATGTACAAGATTATCCAAAACTATATTCTTCATCGAATGCTTGCATTTAATGCCAAAAATTGTTTTAAAGTGAATTGCAGGTGATTGGTGGAACGGTGAATGTGTGTATTCTAGGCGGGTCTTTTAAAACGGTTGCCCGCAGGTTTCTCGCAAAGAATGCCGTCACCTCCCTACTGCAATCCTATTTCCAGGACACAAGTTTCAAAATTTGGAGAGTTCCTAAAGTGGGTCCAGAGCCTTAACCACTTATCTGAGGATCCTGGAACCTCTGCCCTTGAGATTTCAGATGATGTTACCATTGGCGGTCGAGGCGTCGTGGCACGATCTTCAATCCCCGCTAGTGACAGTTGCCTTTTATCAGTTGATGTAAATGATCCACGTCTAGTTATTACGCCCGCTCGAGCTCTTCGTCTTCTTAATCAATGTTCTTGTACTTCCAGAAAGCTTTGGGCGACACCATTTACTACCTCTTTAGAACCCCAAGATGTCCTTGTGGTGTTCTTTCTACATATCAAATTAGCAGCCTCTAGTGGGAAATGTGATTTGTGGCGGATCTGGCGAACTTATTTCGACATGTTGCCTGAGACATTCTCTGATGTCGCTTATATATCATCTCACGAACCTGCGATGTTCGCCAAAATTTTACCTCTCTTGCCCATGTCGATGAAATACGCCTTTTCTTTGCAGGTTCAGAAAATGAAGAATTCATACAAACGTATTTTTGGAAATTCAGGCTCTGAAACGTCAGAATTAGACTTTTCGTGGGCTTGGTCGGTTGTTAATTCACGGTGTGTTTACGTCAATCTTGGTCGATGGGCCGAAGGTAAAGACTTATTCCCATTGAGTTCTGCTCCCGTTCTACGATTTCGGTCTGGTTGTAATGCTAACATTGCTATTGTTCCATTCTTTGATTTCTTCAACCACTCTCCCCATGTGTCTGTCTCAATCGAGGTCACGGATGGAATTTTACGGTTGAAAACAAATACGCATTATCAACCAGGCGAGCAGGTAGGTAGAAGTTGCCGAATATGTTCATTATGTACTTGGTTTCATCGCTTATTGGGTTGTACTTTGCTTACAGGTTTTTATTAATTATGGCAGCCACGACAACCTCTTTCTACTTTGCGAATACGGCTTTTGCATTCCTGGGGAAATGAATCCCTGCGAGTCCATTTACCCCACTTATCGGAACTTATTGTCTATAACTCAGTCTCCAAAAAAGTTACAATACGCAATCGCTAACTTACAGCTAGACGTTCCCGCCGAGAAAACCGAGGATACAGTATGGAAATCTGTTTATATAGCTTCTGGTAACGGTCCGTCTTACTACCTCGTTCTAATTCTTTTTGCTGTTTTTTCTGATGGTGAAGAGATACCGTCATTGGATGCACTTTTTCGTCTTGACGAAAGTGATCGTTCTCCTCCAGTAAGCCAGGGATTTCGTCGTCTTGTATGCACTCTCATCCAGGAACATGGTGCCGCTCTTCAAGCCTTAATTGCTCTGAACAGCCCCGGTCTGTTTATGGAGCAACTCGTTACAATAATAAGTTCGCGATGTGATTTACTTTCTTCCTTAGTGTGACCCCATATTGGCCAAGCCCATGACGGGAACTCCTGCTTGGTTAGTGTCAGCAGCATACAACTGCAGCAATGATAATCTGGTTTGGTCAAACGATCGCAGTAGACCGCTTAAGGGCGGTGACCACCTGAAAGACTCGTATCGAGGTGACCTAAAGTGATATCTTCGACACATTTTTCTGTTGGAGATCCACGATTCCCCAAGACTGATTTCTAATGCTATTTACATTAATTCACTAACATGTGTTTTGTAATGCCTTTTGTCAACTCAAGGTCAACCCTGACTTGAATTAGTTTCAGTTTTGACACTCCTCTCTGCACGTTGCTGACGTGAATAAAGTTCTCTACACGAGCTCTGGTCTTGTTCTTGTATTAGCCTGGGAAGGTCGTTCCTAGCTTCAGCAAGGGATCCGGTAATGTTATTTGAGTGGTCTCCTCTTTTATTGCTGGTAAACGTAAAAATAAGACAGCGCGGCATCCGGCGATAGCTCAGTTGGTAGAGCGGAGGGCTGTAATTGTGGGCAGAAATCCTTGGGTCGGTGATTCGAATCCGCCTCGCCGGAGACCTGACTTTTGTGCTGGCCACTGCAACGCCTCGGATTCAATCATGCTTGGCGGCGCGGTTTGCGTGAATTGCGAGGAATTGAACACGGTCATGGAGGGATCGACGAGGCTGAACATGGCAAAAACCATCACACGCTTCACCAGGCCCATTTCACCCCGCACCAATTGCACACCAGTGAGCCAACTTCTGGGTGTCCAGCGTGACTGCACCACAGTAAGTGGGTTGGGTGGGTGTGGAGCGAATGGTCAATTGTGTGTGCTTGCGGGTGTTGACTGGTGAGGCTGATGAGTAGTGTCTTCGAGGGTGACGATGCTGACAGGTGGATTACGTGGGTATTGATCACTCTACCTCTGGCGGGCCAATCGACACCTCTGCCAGGTGAGTTGGAAGGCTCTGGCACCACAAGGTACCGCCGTCTGACGGCCACCGGACACCCAGTCGTCGTGGAGACAAGGCACAGCAGCTTTGGATACGTACAGGTGGCCAGTGGGGTAACTAGTGCAAAGCACGCGACAGACACCGACACGACGACCACGAGGCTGAATAGTGCACAACTGCTGACCTCGAGAGAGGTGGTTGCGCCGACGCAGTGATGTGGGCGCGTATTGGAGGTAACATTGATGGGGCCGTTTTGGGCAGGCGATGCTGACGATGATGCGGACTAAGTGGAGAGAGGTGTGCTGTAGGTGAGTGTTGGGGATACACGATTCCCTAAGATTGGTTTCTGGTTCTATTTACATTAATCTATTAACATTTGTTTTGTTACGCTTTTATAAAGTCAAGGTTGACCTTGACTTGAATCATTTTCGTTTTCACTTTCGATTTCACTTCCCTGGACGTGGCTGACGTGAATAAAGCTCTCTACACGAGCTCAGGTCTTGTTCTTGTATTAGCCTGGGAAGGTCGGTTCTAGCTTCAACAAGGGATCTGGTACCTCTATTTGAGTGGTTTCCTCTTTGTTACGAGCAAACGTAACATTTTCACATCTGAATAAACTTCAGCATAAATATGGAGCCATTTACTTTCGGTTTCATTTGCCTATTGCCCAAGATGAGTTAGTTAATGAAAGAAAATTCCCCGACAGTTTACGCACCTTTAATCGGCGCACGTAGGATGAGTAGAAATCTAGTGGGTTGGAATAATATTTTGCTTTAACTATCTTTAGAGGCGTGTTATAATCAAGAGAGTCGAAAATATCCTCGAGTTCTTGAGCGCATGGCTTGAATAATTACTGAACATTGTGGAGTTATAAGTCAGATGGACGAAAGGAGCTTGCATAAGGGCTAAGAAATCACGCAAAAATCAGCTCGAGGAGTCTTCGTCGCTAGCGTCGACGGGGCAGACTGTCGAGAACTGTTGAAAGGCCAGGTTTGAGTGGCTGGGACGCTGTCTGCGCGTCTTTTCGCCGCCTGAGGTAGTGATGCCACTTTTAGAGCTTCGACGAATATGATTGCCGGAGGCCTCTGGTGGCGAAGGGGGTGTCGTCACCTCGGCAGGTGTCATCTCCAGCTGCACAAATTCCTCACTGCCCGGGCGAAAGTCGTGTCCACGGTCGACCAGACGGGCGATCGCATTCACGTAGGCGTTGAATTCATCTGCGTACTGGGCGTATGCGTGGTGCCCGCCCCCTTCAATTACCTGTAAAGAAACAAGCTCCAATTTAGATATGTGCTTTACTCAAAAGTAGAAACTGCTGAGATCTCGTCATTCAGCTTACGTTTGTTAACCCAACAAGGATTGAGGCCAACTAGATAGGTTAACATAGAACCACTCATTTCAAAGTTGAGGACCCACGACCTATCATGAGTGACTAACTCTTGTGAGATGTGTCTGGAGAGCGATAACAACTGGGTCAAGCACATTATTTGAACGGGTTCTTAACTCAGTTTTCGGGCGCCCACATTTAGTGTTGAAGGGTCACAATTCGCGCAAAGTAATTTCGCACAATTTTCAGTGGAGCAGATGGTGTACCAGGGGAGATGTACACCATGGTTACAGCAGTTTGGTCACGATCCAGTCAATTTTCCCACGAATGACTTGACACGGTATTTATCGCTAGTAAAATCCTCATTTTCATGGATAAATCCGTCTGCGTATGAATACTAGTGTTGCGAGGCGCCTCAACACCTATGAAGCATCTTTAATCCTCTCTGTAAAGGGTCAGTCTAGTTTTTAAATACAAGAGCATACCTCGTCGATAAACATAACATTACGAAGTACGTATTATTTAATGGGGAATCGTTTATACCATCGTCCATCAGAGATAAGAAACCGGCATTGAAGCAATCAGACGGGAGACTTAGGCTTTGAAGTCTGAGTGCAGGCGCACGCAAAAAATCGAGTTAGGTTTTTGGGTGGAACACATGACCATTATTCGGTCGTTTTCGGACAGCATGACCAATTGAGATTACGCGTATTTTTTTTTGTAATGCATTAACTGATAGACGTGTTTATGGTTTATTGGTACTACACTATTTGGCTCATGGGAACAGAGTAAGACATACAAGCGTAACGCATCGACTTTTGAAGGGAAACACTGGAGTTTAAAATACGCTAGTTATATCTTGGCGAACAAATCTAATATTACTGGAAGTCAATACTACCTGAGTGGACAGTAAGACGATTTTCAAGAAAAGCCAAAACCATAGATGGGATTGCTTTTGAAACAACATGTTTTTATGACATAAACACAAATATAATAAGGCGCTGATGCAAATCAACAAATGACATGACATCTAATTAGCAAAATTGACAGATTCATCATTCATTTGTGGAATTTTAGCATTACGCAACAGGGTCAAAGAGCACAACTTACGAGCGTGTAAATGGAGCAACTGCTTAATTCATAAGCACGTCTTATCTCCTACAGGCGTTTAGAATTGGCACACGAATGCATCAACCATCGCCTCTACAGACTAGTACGCTGATCAGATGCACTTGCAAACACTTAGATTTGATGCCCTAGGAGATGGTCAAAAGGACTTACCATGACATCAACGTATGAATTGGGTCGAAGAGAGCGCACCCTGAGGCCGGATGACATATCAACCCACGAGCGTCCGCCGTAAATAAATGTAATGGGGACGTCGGAGTCCAGGAGGGGGATTCTGTGTAGCATGGGACGAGCTGCCCACCCAAGCACCTGCGACATGCTTCTAAAGGCATCCTCACCGCTAAAAGGCCCAGACGAGAACAATGACAATCGTCACGCCACGACTCTACTAAAACGTATAATTTTAACTCAACCAGTGACGATTAGGAATTGAAGATTCATGGGATTGTACTTGAATGCTTCTTTAATTTAAACAAACGTACTTTATCATCGTACTTTAAAACATCAGTTTTGAAAAGAATGGTTTACATCAAGTGGCGGAAATGTGAAAGCATGTCCCATATAACATAATGGGTTACTAGGTGACGCGAAAATAGTGCTTGATGCGTATTAAGCATTTAATTCCGTAAATCGAAACTGGTGGATGCGGTAAATGGCTAACCTGCCAACATGAATTAAACGAAGAATACTATTCTGCTGATGAAATAAAGGCCAAATGTGAGTGCCATGGGCGTATTCGATCGGTACGTGCCTCACATAAACAATGAGACTGGCCATACAGTCAACACGTTTACCTAGGGTGCCGAACATTTATGTGATATATATAATTGTAGACTACAGCTGGATCAAATGGAGAAATGGAGTCGAAATCGGTATTGTTCTTTGTTTGTTTATGAATTGAGGTTTGGGTGGTTTCAACAGAGGAGGCTTTGAGTGGCAATTCCGAACGTCGCTCAGTAGGCTCACTGATATCCGACTGGATCTCCCCCAACTGAGGTAACATTTCTACCTCCTAAAGCATAAAGGTAATACTTTACTGACAGAACCTGTAGCACAGCTTCTTGGAATACAAACGCTATTTCAAACCTTCGTGCACGATTGACCTTGGAGTGTGAGTTACAAAAAACATTGATCTGTGATTCTAACGGCTGACGTCATAGCATTCACATTTACGTTGCGACACAAATTGGGTAGATTGAATGATGATGGAAGAAGGAAGAGTGACAAATATAAATAGCTGTCAAAGTAGTCAAGAATTCAATCTTTTACCTCCAAAACCGATATTCCGCGTGTGCTTTTTCGTCTACGAATGGCTAAAGTGCACCCTCACCAACAACAATATTTTGGTTAATAAGCGACAAGGTTTCAGAAATAATTGCAGGGTATTGCGAGTAGCACCACAATTCATAAAGGCCATATTTGATGAAAGGACTTACATCTAATGGCCATGGCTGCTGATAGAAAACCTGTTCGAAATCCTGCCTGACTTTGCGCATAGCATTTAGACCGAAAGGTCCAACCATGCGCATTGTTGCCAATGCACGAAACGAACTAAGCTTCCTGAGAAGCCAGGCACGAAATCCAGAAACTGGAATGGTCGTACTTTCTTGCTGTCCAATAAATCCCCATGGATCAATGAGAACAAGATGAACAACCCTAAAGAGGTTGCGCGACCAGTTAAGTGGTTATAAAAATTAAAGATTATAATTATGCTATAAATGACCCAAGTTAGTGAACTACAAACACACCACAGAAATTCACACATTAGTTAGGCATGTAGGGAAGCTAAATATGTACTAACTGGTTTACAGGACATACGCAGAAATAACTATACTGCATCACTTAAAAAAGCAAAAAAAATATTCTGAAAATTTAATTTACACATAAAATCTATTGTAATTACCTTTCTGGATGGCTAAGTGCATAGGACGAAGCAAGGAATCCACCCATGCTATGACCAAGCAGAATGAATTTGTCCAAGTTCATGGTTTTGCGCCACTCCTCAATGACTTCGACAAATTTATTTTCAACTTCTTCAGCGGTGTTCGGAAAGGGAGGTCGAGAGCTGCGACCGAACCCAAGCATGTCAAACGCGTAAACAGTGCGGGATGCAGAGAGACTATCAAGGTTCTTGCACCATAACCCAACACCCGAAGCAAAACCATGAATAAGAACAAGAGGCACACGAGACTCAAATTCGGTGCAATCATCTGAGTACCAATTCCTCGCGATAATGGTTCTTAGGAATAGAGTTGAGTTAAAAATCGGAAGGAAAAATTTTTCAAGCTTGCATTTACATCCTATTACATTAATGCAATATTTTTACATACTTTGTAAAATTTTGTCCTCAGCTTGTACCAATTTTTCATTCGATGTGGGAATCCACTTGATCCAATGCCACCATGAATCCTCAGATTTGTCATAAAGGTCACTACAAACTGTGTTATAAAATTCAAACTAACCTGTCACTGGGAGAAACGGTAAGGGTCATACTGTTATTAGGCAAACAAAATCTAAAATATTAAAAACTCAAAAGTTAAATGTGCACACTGATACAAAAATCAGACGTCCTTGAACATTAAGCAGTTGTGCACTAAGAAAGCAATTAAACAATGACAAACAATTTTTTTACTCATGGAAGTCACAAATATTATTGACATTGTTAAATAATTTTTATTGTGGTTTGTGACTATATCTGTATGCAAAGGGCAATTTCAAGGCGATAGTTTGCATCAAAATTATGTTGAGCCAATTATATTAAAATAAAATCAATGAGCTTACTTTATGTATTATCTTCCATATTTAGACATTGTTTTCCTAATGCGACTGTATTTAGATTAATTTCATTAAATAGCCTTGTTTTGCAGATTAATAGATTCAATAGTTGAATACCTTCTCACTTGAATCTAATGCGCGAGCTCGGATTTAAAAAGTTAATTACTATAACAGTTGCCTTGTTAGATTTGTTTCATTATTTTGTACAAAGAAGCCAATGGATCACCATTACAAAGAAGGTCTTGAAAAGCAAAATTTTAATGCATAATGAGTTACAAGAATTCCAGTCACTTTTTCACGTAAATATGTGATTCGTTGATATTGATTTCCGTTAATCTTTTAATATTTGAGTTTTCACTTACTGTAGTATACCAGCCTTATAAAAGTCTACTACTGATAATAATTTTAAGAAAGTTTTGTGACTTAAACGAAAGAGCATTTTATTTGCTTGCTTTTAAACTTTGCTCTTTGATATAACTTGGGTTTTCCCATTTCACTGCAGAGATTTTAAAACTTTGACTTTGTGCTCAACTAAGATGTTAATATATGCAGATGTCTGACATTTGCTACAACTCTTTTCGGTCCATTTCTACAACTTGAAAAAGCATTAAATAATATTTGGTTTTCGTTGTTATACTGTTTTTTTTGCTTTTGCATTTTGAATTGTGGTAGACAGCACATGTGACCATGATGTAAGAGTAAAGCATTTCATTGATTTTCACGTTTCATTATTACAAGTGTTTAATGGCTAAATAGGGTAGGATAATCATTTGTGACTAGTACAGTTTCGAGCTGGCAATAGATCCTTTTGAATGTCTGATTCTATAGCGAAATTTATTAGATGATCATTAATTGGACATTTCTGCTTGCAAACGCTAACATCTTAAAACTAGCGTGCTTTACTCTCCCTTTTGATTTTTATGTGCCACTCAGAAACACCAGGCTGCCTAGTCTTTTCATATAAAAATGCGAAAACAATTCAACCAAGCATTTCACACTTAAATATGCATGGCAAAGGTTACAATTTGGTAAATTGTTGGCTTTCGTTTTACTTCTTATGTAGTTCATTAAAACATTTGATTAACATGCCTCACAGTTCGTCTGGCTGTTCACTCGTTGGTATTCCTGTCAATTCAAAATATTTTTTAATTAAATTTCCATAGTTCCTAGCTCTAAAATATGGAAATGAAGGCATGTCCTTTTCTTTTGTTAAAATGATGTGAGTACTGGCGTGTGATTTGCTAGCAAGCACTCTTTGTATCCCATTTTACAATCATGAGGTTTGCTAGAGTGCCATACCAGATGACGGGCGGAAAATTTATTTGTGTGAAATCTTTAACGAAGATAATTATGCATCACTTGAGAACCTGTTTATCAATGCTCTTAAATTTTGAAAGGCGATATTTTTTAACAATTACAAGAGCCAACTACTTAATAGAGGATTTATCGTTCGATATAATCCTCTCTATTCACCTCCAAAATTGATTTATTTTGCTTACGGATTAACTATAAGATTGGAATGTGTTGATACAGCCAGATACTAGCTTACCAACTCTATTCAAGCGCATTCTCCACGTAGTGTTCTGTTCTTTAAGAAAAACTATGTGAAAAAAACAGAGAACATACAACGGGAAAGCTGCAACAATTTTGGCAATAATTCCCGGGACGTCCCTTTTAGATGAAAATTATCTTTAGCTTTTCAACTTGGATTCCTCAAGCTTATATTCAGCCAACGCAATTTCTATCAAACAGTGACTAATCTTGGTAAATATTTTAACAGATGCGAATCTAGTTATTCAAGTTAACGTACGGCCTTTAAATAACTTAATTTTATTTCTGACCTAATTTTGTGTGGAGAGCAGCCAGTATAAGTAGTGTTATGAATCTCTGTTGTGGGTCCCAACATGTGGCCTTGAACAACGCCTGGGCCACTGAGTTGGATCTGGTCCGATTACGCTACTCTGAAACCCGCGATTATTAAGAAGACCGGAGAGGACGTGGACACAACCGTTTATTTCAGAGCTCAACCAAGTTAGTGTCGTTTGGCTTTTGCGCGTGTTTATTTCTACCTCAGATATTTGAAACAGTATGAGTCATAAACGTGCTAACATCCAGACGTAGGTGTGAGGATAACTCAGGATAATCACTCGCGCTAATGAGAGGGGAGTTGAGGATCCGCGCAGCTGATGTGCTGTAAAAAGGGGGACATTGTGTTGGAGGCTAGAGTGACCGGGCTAACGAGTGTGAACGCGATTCACGACATTTATGTTCACTTCCAGGAAAGCAGGTTATTGTTCATTGTTCACTAGTGATTGAAAAAGAGCAGATAATTGTGAACACACCTGTCTGTTTAAAAATGTCACTTCAAAGCCTGTTGAAGCTAATACTTTAATCCCCTTTCACGTACAACTAAAGGAAATACACGAAAAAATGATTTGATAGGGTAATCGAGCCACGACTAGCACTTTGTTAATTTACTGCTCAGTCGAGACCATTTGAGCCATAAAAACAAGAGATCAAATTTATGGTGGGTGATGACACTAGGAGAAGTGAAATGTATGGCTTGATTAAGATAATGAAAGGTGTGCTAATTTTGTTGTATCGCTTGTTAAGTAAGAGGTTTTGCATCGTTATTTGATGTGATTTTTAAGATTATGCTCGGATATTGGTAATAGAAAACGTTTACATTTCAAGTCCAAGTCCTAAACAATGAGAATTTGTCCAACCGGGATGGGCCAGTTCTTACAAGATCAGAACCAACAAGCTGACTTTATAAGGTTAACATTATTAAGAATTGAGAAGGGTTCGAACCATTGAAAATCTCAAAATTACCCCAAAGTATTTAACTGCAAAATGAAGGCTAATTACATCCAAAAAGCCGTTTCCTTTTCAATAAATTAACCTAGTTCTTGAAAGGCTTTACTCAAAGCGTATTTGGGCCACACAACTATGATTTGCAAGTTTTACTATCTGATTTAATGTCCCCACTTAATGCTCTTCAAGTGATATTTAATGGGACTGCCAATATGAAGGTGGTGTGATACTAAAGGAATCAGCATTATGTTTCCTAAGCACTGAATTAAATTTAGTATCATCTGAGTTGGACGTAGCTGCCAAAGCAAGCACAAATTAACCTTATTCTGGGACCTTTTGAGCAAACCTGAAAACAACTACATTGGGTTGTATCACGACCGAACGCATTATTATTCCCTGTGGAGATCCGTATTTTTGTTAGCCTGCGTCGTTTCCATTTAATTACCTTATGCTGCATTGTCTAAGCCAGTCTTGCTTGAAACCCAATGAAAACTTAAGTGTTGAGTATTTAACTTCTGTGGAATCGCTGTATTTTCATTATTTCACTAGATCAACAACATACGCATGCGCACACACACACGGTAACGCCTTAACATGTCCTCACACAACATACGGCGCATTGCTGAGTCCCTCAAGTCTGTTTATGTTCCAAACCAGTGATGTGCGATTCGGTGGGGCCGATCGCATCGGTGTTTGTGTATATATAAATAACCGCCTTTCCACATTCTTATGAACTGTATGCAATCGGTCCTCGTGACAGCTTCTAATTTTGTCCAACATTCGCGGGAAGTTAAAACCATCATAAAATACTGCAGATTGAATTGCGTGCTTGAAAAATGAGGCTGCTCTCATTTGTGGCCTTGGTTCTCCTGGTTCCTCTCAATGTGAAATCGGGTAAGTCTGCGCAAGAAATTGGTTAGAAATAGTTCACGTGATCACTGATAGGTTTATTTGACATGCATTAAGTTCAACTCTTTTGGTTTTGCAGAAAACAAAGAGTGAATCCTATAAATTGGTTTTTAGTAGGTGTCAGCATTTGTGAAAGTAGGAAGTTCGCCACAGGAAATACATCATGCATGATTACTTGAACGAAATCAGTTTGTGAGTATAAATTACTTTCAGCGTGAATTTTGGACCTCTTTCAATAAACAGGAATCACCAGTCCTGTTTGGCGATGAATATGTAGAGTCTTAGGTGCATTAGGTTTAGCAGCGTTTTGTTAAAAAAAGTAGGTGACAGTTTTGATGGTAAAAAAGACAAGAAGGCTTCTAGTGACGCATGTAAACCTCAAATAAGTCGACAGCATGTGTCTGACATCCACCTCCCTCATTGTGGCTAGTGACTGACTTTATTGTTTACACGTTCGAGAATTTGTGGTGATTTAAAGGCTGAAACTGAGATTTGCACTATGGCTTATAGAATGGTTTTAAACTTGTAGTACCAGCTTCAAAGTCGAATGAACAGTTCCAGTGCCCTCTCGTTTGTGCTGGTAAGTTTCATCAGAAATCTTCTCTACAGGGATTACGAAGGAACGACGTTTCTAAAATTTTCTAATTGTTTTTTTTGTGTTAAATAGGTCAAAACGAGAATACTAATAGGCTAACTCTAAACTGACTTGTTGCCAGTTGTGAAGCTAATTCGTGTTAATTTGCATAGCCAATGTTTTGATGTAATAATTTTTAAACACAACTCTTTTTCTTGTGATTGAACAAAACAAAGGGAAATCCTTTATTTTAGGGATATTTTTTTTATTAAAATCTAAAGTAATTAGCTACTACAAACTGAAAAATGTCAATTCCAAATAGCTTTGGTAGAAATCAGCTTAATGTCTGGTGATTCAAACAAGGGCTAGCAGCTGTTTGAGATTTAGAATAATCCCACACACTTTCCAGTTAAGTCATTAACCATCAGGCGTCCAAGTACCTTTCATTTCAAAAGGTTCCGTGTCAACTTCATGCGAGTGCTGCCTTTATCAGGGATTGTTTAACAGTCTGTAAACACAATTTCACACGATTTGACAGCATTAGCAAGATACACAAATAGCATTAATCACCTCGCAGTGCACACACGATGCTTCAATCTGTTTATCTTACTCCAGGTGATAGCGAGTTGGCTGACATGGGTGTTCTTCGAAGTCACCGATACGAGTTCAAGATAACGCACCGCATCACCAGTCCAGTTGATGAGAAGTCACAATCGGGACATGTAATTCAAGGAAAAGCCATCATCTCTGGTGGGACAGAATGCACTTATGTTCTCAAGGTCGGTAGATATCTTGGTCTTTAAAGGACAGGCAAAGGATTTAAATAAGTCTTCGAACGTCTATTTAAAACAAGTCCTAAGTGTTTCATTGGATATCAACAGAAAACTTGTAAATATGGGAAAAAAACTATACAAAAATTTAAAAAGACCTTTAATGAAGAACTTTATTGGACAAATTCATTCTATTAGGTTATGTTGCTGTGACGCTTAAAGTGTCTTTGAGGACTTTTAATTCTATCAAAACCACAAGTTTCTGGTCTTCCCACAAGACCTACTAAACAAAGATTCGTTTATCTACTTCAGTGCATGCGTCTAGAATGCGTAGTACTTTGTGTTATTCGGACATTGTATAGTGTTTACCTATAAGGTCTATTTTACAATAGTGTGTGGCATTTAAAACGCAGTTTTTTAGTTCTGAAGAAACTCATATTAAACCGCAACCACCAAACCTCACTCCTTATTCGACAAAGCTCGCTTGCATAACCGGTAGATCTGTTTAGTTCGTAAAACGTCTAACTTTCATAATCATACCAGCCTTTACAAAATCCAGGTATTTAAGTGTCTAATAGGTTTCCTTTGATATTTTGAATAGCTTGAAGATGTAGAGGCCGTGGAGTTGAAATCGGACGGATCCCAGGTCCTCCAAGAAGAAACTGCACGTATTCTTCAAGAAAGAGTTGCCTTTTTCGGTTACGACAACGGGAAAGTAACCGGCTATTGCCCCTCAGAAAACGAAGATCCGTTTGCATGGAACGTGAAGGCAGCCATACTTTCCCACCTCCAACTAGGTTTCGAGTCGACTAATCTGCCTTCTGAGACCATTGAGGTAAGGTCGTTGAATTTGCTACTCTTATGCATCCAAACGTTAACGTTGAGACACGCATTTTAAGATTTTCTCCAGACCTTCTTTTCAACACCAAAAACCCAACTCCAACTTCAAAACCTACCAACTGGTAGAGCAAGGTGTCGGTCCCAATATCAAGTTTTTCTATTTGTCAAGACTAATCAAATGTATCAGTCCTAGGGCGTCTGTATCAGGGGGCCTGTTTTACTCCTACTTGGGCTAATATGAATGGATTCAAACAGTGTATTGAATAAGGCACATGGGAACAGGTAGAGCCATCACAAAAGACAACTAACGATTTTTTTGAGAATGCATCAGCATAGGGGAATAAAGTCAAAAATTTATATCTTATCTGTTTAACATTATATGAAATTTCATCAGAATTTCTTTTAAATTTATTTAAAAGGGTGTCTAGTCAGGCGTCGAGCAGTCTACGAAGGTGTTTACTGTTTCGTTCGTTTTATGTAACCGGAGGATGTGAATGGAAATTATTTCTGTTTGTTTAGCCTATGTTAATTCACAGGAGCTTTCTGAATAAACTCTAAGTAGGCCAAAATACCTGACTATTCCTGACGAAAATTATGCAAGCCCACCTCAACAAGTATTTTTCGTTAAGGAGGACGTTTCAGGGAAGTGCATAACCCGGTTTGAAGTAACGGAGGCAACTAACGAAGCAATTTCATTCAGAAAACGCAAACCTACAGCCGGCTGCTCCAATAAATACGACTACATCACACGTTTTGATGGTGTTGCAGATGACATACCATTGGTAAGAGGTTATTATTTTTATTACTTTATCTTTCAGGAAGGAAATATTAACAATTGTAGCTAGTATTTACTAGGAAAAATTAACTTATTAACTGAATCTAACTGACCCCGGAGGAAATCTCAAAGATTTCAGTCAATTCGCATGTTTTTTTTTGTTTTTGGTTTTTTATTAGACATCATCAAGGAATAAAATGGTGGACGGTCAGCAGGAATGTGAAGTTCGATTTAGGTTTAAAAAACCAATTTCCAAAGTCACCTGCAACGAGACAATTTTAATAAAAAGCTTTGTGGATCAACGCTGGGAGAAACTCAATACAATCGAAGTGAAAACAAAGTTGACACTCATTTCTTCTGCGTCAGGAGGAACCCCTTCATTCGGTAAATATTTGGTTTTAATGAGAAGATTTATATGGTCGATATTTCAAAATCCGCGCACATTTTAAGCTGTGTGGCTGGGTGTGATTGCAGTGTTTTGCATGAGAGCCACTTAGACCTAAAAGGCTTGAATCGTTTGAAACTAACAGTGCCCTACGTTTGACGTTGATAATAAACAATTCCAAGAAATCTAACATGCCCTAATTGTAGCATTAGCAGAATGGCAATAAATGGAAAAAAATAATCTTTTGACGTTTTTGAGTGTCTATATGGGACGCAAGGATCCTATGCCACTGGTACGCGGGAAAAGAGCGTAATTGATAAGTTGTGTATGTAAGAAAAACGAAAGTTTTTGCATGTTTTCAAAAGGAATTAGTTTTAACCTAGTCACTTGTTGACAAAACCATTATAACTTTAAAAAACGGTTAGAATTCCAGCATTTCATGCATACAGTGACTCAGGCCTAGGCTTTCTATCAGACAAATGTATTCTTGCTAGTATTTTTTTAGAACTTTAAATCCAAATTAGCATTTTTTTAAATGAAGGTCCATGATGACCAAGAGACGTGTTTTGTTTTGCATCACAGAATGGACACAGCCAAGTGTAATTTGCAAAAGGGGTAAAACCATTTCTAGGAATTATGGAAATAAACTACCAAATTCGATCTGAACTACTAAATTTCTGTCTCTTTACCAGCAAGGAATTGAGCCTAATAAAGGGCTAGTTGTGCAATTTGAGCAGCACAACCTTGGGTTTAAAAAAGTCATAGGGGTTGAGGCACTTAATTCACACCAGAAAAGCAGAATTTTTGTTTATTCAGTAGGGTTGTCGGCTTGCAATTTAATGAATGTGTACTAAAATTTATCAAACCACAAATGTAAATAAGTCGTGGGGACTGAAATGGATATGTTGAGTCTTCACGTTGACTAATTTGAACGAGCGTAAATATGCTACAAATATTATACAGGAGGAATGTAATAGTATTTTTCAGCATAAGTCAGATTTGCATCATATTAATTCATGCATTGGCTGCTCAAGCAAATTTATTGCATTATAGTTTCGGCGAATTACAAACTGCATTTAGCTTATTACTGTTACATGAAAGCTAAATCGGCTCACGCCATACATGAGCTTTGCAAATTTTGCCATTTTTGGGTATTACATTGACCACGATTGCTCTAAATCAGATGCCTTTTCAAAATTCCCTACACAACTTCCAACAATTTAGTGAGAGGCATTATCCTTTCCTTAAAATTGAATAACCCACCCTCAGGCAGCTTTTCACGATTTTCTATCACTTTGCTCATTTTTATAGAAGGAACCGACACCTTCCTCCGTACCACCCTCCGCCATCGCGAGAACTACGCGTTGGAAGTTCCGGACAAGACGGTGACCAAAGAGAGAGCCATGAACCTACTCAACGCAGTGTCCTCGGAAAAGCACATTCCCAGTACCCAAGATTTTCTCATGCTAGTCAACCTAATGCAAAAACTGTCACAAGATTACGAAGCGTTCAAAGAATTTTCCTACAGTGAACAGGCCATGTATGTCCCCCTCAAAATTTTCCTCATGTTTAGAGCATGCTAGGTGGCATTTTCCATGACTTCGCGCTGTCATATTAGGCAAGTAGGCTAACCTTAGTTGCAACAAAGGCAGGTCAAACTTGATAAAATAGAATAATAGAATGTCTAACTTTTTTCTAATTAACTCGACGAAGAGCCTCTTTCTTTAGAAGCATTTAAGGTAAACAAACATATTTTGAATTTCCTTGTAACAAAGCTTTGGGTTGACCACGGGTTGGCAGCTTGTAGGTCCTTACGAAAACCAAGTTTTTATCAAAAGTGGGAAGTTGTCATCAGTCAAATAATACATGACATTTTTTGCTTTAGGAGCCTTCTTTACGATGCTGCAACATATGCCCAAACGGAAGCATCAATGGAATTCCTCGGTTGGTGTATCGATGCAACGAAATCCAATTTTCCGATTGCCCACATGAGTCTCATAGCAAATCCGTCGCTTCCATTCATCAAAAAAGCAACGGTAAATCGTGGTTCGGTATAACACCTTATAGCCTCACCATACACATGACCACAAAATACTAGCTTTAGGAACAGTACCTATCAGGCGAGTGTTTCAATATTTTAATCAGCATGTAAACTAGATCATCTGATTGTAGCATTTGAACGAACCAGTTCCAAACAACGCTCTATAGTAATTTTTAATTCAGATAGAAAGTTGTCTTTCTTATTTCTCTAGAAACAGGGATATTGCCCACATTTGTACAAATCTTTCAACGCGACACCTCCAATTACCTAATCAACTGATAACGGTGTAACAGTCGATGACTCTCAAAAGAAGTTGCACTCAAATAAGTCACCATTCTTTATCTAACAGCCGGCCGAATGAAAAAGATTGTGGCGGGTAAATACTAGCATTAAATAATGAATTTGGTGCATAAGGAAAACACGAACTAGTACAGGCTCATCAAGCAGAAGACGATAAAGAGCCCAAACGACGCGTATTCAGCTGGCGCTGTTTGGGCCAGGGACCAGGGAACGGGTGGCAGGAGTGTGTGCATGATAATTATTCCAACACCTTCAGTGTCATTGTTTTTTTATAAAAAAACCGGGCGGCACATCCGCAAAGGTATCGTTAGTGCTGTCAACAACGATTTATGGGACTAGAAAAAAGGAATCAGAATGGCATGAGCAGAGATTTTTTGACGAAGTTGCCCATATCGGTTAAGGTAGATAGCTTGGAACGTGGAGCCGAAAGCGATGTAATATGATTGATTCCGCGGAGGACTGTTCTGCCTGTTCATTACTCCCAGAAAATTGGGAATTGTGGGAGACTTTCAACTTTGCATCAACTTACAAATACTTCGAGACAGACGACGTCCAGATTTGGATCCTAGAAAAGTGCGAATAGGATAGGAGAATTCCATTTACCCTGATAGCTTCTGTGACTGTGTGTGCCTCGATGGTGGAATAACCTAATTATGACGACTCTAACCTGTGTATGAGAACACATCCACAAAGGGATCCAAAGTACTTCGAAGACACTTATGGATGTCACCAGAACTACCAGAAGGAAGAATTTAGGGGATTACTTAGGAAGGGGAAAGATGGCATCCGCATTCACAGATTCAGGGTCTGATGTAGAAGACGGCATAAATACGCGTCCAGTATTGATTTCACGATAGCACTTACGAACCAGAATGAAATCGCTCCAGTTATGACATTTTTACTGGGACAGGGGCCCTAAATATTAGGCTTGATCGCGATGCCCACAACGCTGCTAAGTTGAAGAGACCATGGTAGCATAGGTGTAGAGGAACACGAAGCAGACTTGTCGACACGGCCGCTCTGGGGCGAATGGAGGGTGGTTGCATGTTTAGCCAACAAGAAGGCCAGATCTCAGTAACGGAGGAAGATCCATATTGCTGTTGCTGATCATGATCATTGCCAAGCCTTTAGCTTACTAAATCACGTGGGTAGTTCAAAGGTTAATCAAGTAATTCTAAGGGTATCTACCCCAGATACAGATATATGTAGTAATCGAACAACTAATTGGTTGAGGAAACGGAAGGCCAACGTGGAGAACACCTTCTTGAACTGTTGGAGAGGCCAAGACAGCCAAAAACCAAAGTTTACCTAAGTCTTTTTAAACGAGCCCACAAAAAGATTTACATGTTCTTTTCTATTCTTTTTGCGTACATCCCCAATAATGCTTTATTTATTTATTCTAACCAAGGAAGTTCTCGCTAGATCTGACCACAAGACATTTACAATGGTGGTATCAAACCTCCTGCAAGCCTTCTGCAACTCTCATCCAAACTGTGCCACGGAGAAAGATGTGAAGGAAGTTTTGAAGAATCTTGAAAACGAATTAGGCAGCAATTGCCGTTATTCTGGTGCAAGTGGAATGGAGAAGGTAATGAATATGAAATTTTTTAAAACATAGTATCCTTTTTGTTTGTACATAGAATTCTGTACCTTGCTTTTGCAGCTAGAATTGACCTGCTGTCGTAAATGGTTCAGTGAATTTCTTCTTGTTTATCGACCATTTTATTTACGAAAAAAGTGACTAGGGCTTTAGGTGAAGAGAAAACCAACTACAATTATCTTTGTGTTGAATAGTTGTTTTAATACTACTATTCGTTTAATTTAAATTACCGAAAAACCTTTTTTGAACTTTGGCTGTTTTAATCTTTCATTTTAAGTATTTAAGCAAACTATCTTGACATAAGTAGGTAACACAGGTGTCAAATCGTCCTTTGACTTTTCGAGGCGACAGATACAATCCAACTTTATTAATAATGAAAATTCACGTTTTAACCGCCTTATTGTGCAACTTACTGGTGTTTGCGCTTCAATAAATCTAGTAAATTTTATTTGACATTTTTTATCAATGAATCTTCAAAAATAAACCTGTATTGAAATTAGTGGAATGCATATTATACGAACCAAGAAAGCTGGATAGAGCTAAGTAGTCCTATAGGAAACCAGTTGAAGACCTACGGACAAGAATGCAGGAAATCAGATGGATAAATCTGAGTAATACTGGGGTTTCTCATAATCAAGGCTCTCATGATAATTTAAACAAAGAAAGAATTAAATGTCGAAGTGGAGTTTATCGAGCAATTATGATAAAGCAATTTACACAATCCTTTAAATAGGATTTTGCCTTGTTAGAAATACAACACTGCCTTCTGCTTCTTCTACTACCTAAAAATGTTATCAAAATATTTCCACACACGATTTCGGGTTGCAGTTGCAAATTGCTGACCTCCCTTATACTTTTAACAGTAATGTTCGCGATTCAAAACTCTTAAGGTCATCAATTCGCTGAGATCTATAGCGAATCTTGGCTTCGTTAGCGACCCGCCCAAAGTCTATCCAGTGTTGAAGGAGTGTCTGAAACGCCACCCAGCAAGGGACCTCGTCATCCGTGCGTCTGCAGCTGAGGCCTTCCGGAGATTCAGTGAGGATTCAGAAGTTGACGTAAGCAATGTCTTAAGTTTCCTTTCGTCTAGCCTGCTAGAAATAAGTAAAAAATAGTAAATGTACCCAAATCGAAAAAAATTGCAATTTCTGCAACTGCGAGCTGAAAATTGGTTTCAGAAAAACTGCACTTATAAAAGCATGTCAATCATGAAAATCCAAGTGCCGGTTCGTTTTGCACTTACATATCGCCCCCTAAAACTCACCACTTACTAAATCTAGATGGTTGTTCGGTAAATATGCCTTTGTTTATAATGAAACTTTTTCTTTATTACCACTTCAAATCACCCAGCTACCTAATGTCAACTTAGTTAAACGCAGATGTTATTTTCCATTTCTTTGCCCGATGATAGTCTTGGCGCAATTACCTGGATGCAACTGTTATTCTCAAAAAAATATATTAATTTTGGAACTTGATGTAAACACTAAATAGCTGATTCAAAACTTCTAAATTAGGGCAAAATGCTGACTTCAATGCTCTCGGGAAATAATCCATGTCCAATGATCTTTTTGGGTGTTTGAGAGTACTTAACCCGCATTAGATTTACGACTGATAAAATGAAAAGTTCTTTCGAAAACAAGTGAAGGGGTTGTTATGGCCTTTTTATCATTCAGTGATTATGTTGAATTCCAACCGTTTAAACCATTTTAGAGCTAAATTTCATTTTACTTCTCCTTTCGGTAAGGCGTTGCCTGTCTTTTATCACTAATAAATCAATTTCTGAGAAATTAAGTTACCCTACAATTATACGTAGGTAAAGTTAAAGAGTTTATAAAAGTTATCAACTTTTTTTTCAAGGAAATCCTGTGGAGTGTTATCACGGATACGGACGAAGATGTGGAGGTGAGAATCCAAGCCTATCGATCATGGGCTCGTTCCTTTACGCACCAAAAGCTCTTGATGCTGAAATTCCTTAATACGGAGCCTAACAAACAGGTATGTTAATTCTGGGGACTGCCAGGTAGTGCACACAGACAACGGTATATTTGATACGTTGTGTTTTCTAGGTCAAATCTTTTATCTTGAGTCATCTGCATGAAGTCAGAGTCTCCAACGATCGGTTTAAAGAGGCAGACTCTCTCCAGCTGGCAAATGCAGATGCTAATCTGACCAAGATGATAGATGCCTATGAACCTAATCCTTTCGTACTGTCCACCTACAAGGAGAAATTCATTTCCGGCTGGCAGGTAGGTCGGCAAATTGCGTTTCAACACAAGTTCCAGGTTTTCATAGCTACTGGAACTTGCTTTTCGATTAATTTCCTAGTTGAACAAGCGTTCGGTAACCTATGAGATAAGGTTTTAGCTACAACTTCAGCTAAACGTTAATGTACTCTTTGCAATTTCAGTATGGTGGAGGTGTGGATGCTGCGGTGGTCTACGGCCCACAGAGCCCGATTCCACGTTCCATTAACCTCAACTTCACGCTTAATGTTCTGGGCCACTCATTCAATGTTCTCGAGATCGGTTACCGCTCGGTTTACTCGAAAGGTATAAACCGTTATATTCAAGGACTCCAAAGAAAACGTCCCATGCCGTCAATCACTGAACAAGAGGGTCAAGTTAACGCCTTCCCCAACATTAATGCCAAGGTAAGTGATGGTATTTACGGTTTGTAATGAATTCAAATTTTTGAATTTTTTAAATGATGATCTAATTAATTAGGAAAAACAAGCAAAATAGGATTCATGGACTTTCAGTGCGTTTTTCGTTAAGCATTAAAACTTAGACGTACATGCAATGTCATTGAGCAGTCAAATTGTCAATTACATGCGGATGCGAATATGAAATTTGTGCCATTAATGACCAAAATATTAATGTTTTAAGACTAACATGATCAATGTATCGGTCACTTGGAACAAACTGAACGTATTTGGATTAATTTTCAAATGAAATGGAAATTTTACGTGTAAGATGGAGCGCTGAAGGGGGTGAGGTTTCGATTTGTGAAAGCTTGTGGTTTACACTGCAACAATGCTTCAGTTTGCCGACGAACCAATGCTTGACACCAAATCGAGACTTTCACTGCGAATGTTCGGTCGTGATCTTGCCTACCATGAGGACATTGAAAGTACAGATCAACTGGCAAGGCTCCTTGAAACTCGCCAGTCCCTCATTGCGCTCAATGAGACGTTCGCACTTCCGACAATCGGTGGACTCATCGTGCAGTGCAGACAAACCCTGGCCACCCATCAGGACGTTGTTTATTTTGATGGACGAAGCACGAAGTATGGTGTGAAGATTGCGTAAGTCACTCTTGACAACAGTTCGGGGCTAGCGTTTAAGTAGGCATTGATCTAACCACTATTGTTTTGCCTCATTAATACCTAACCCAACGAGACAAGGATTAAATACTTTGGAGAAGTTGTCCCATATAGTGGCACGCAAATGAAAATTAAGTACATGTCTTACTCAGTTTCCCAAATTATCGTACTGAGAGTTCGAAAATTTAGCAGGATATTTTTGGAGGCGAGCTTAAGTGTGGACACTAGACGACTTCAGATTTCAAGTGTCCGATTTTGCGCTTGAAACCAAAGCTTTTTTTCTAAAAAAAAAGGTTTAAAATGCTCGGGATGGAATAAGACCAAATAGTATAAAAATATATCGTCCCATAACTCCTCTGTCATAAGTAGGGCACGTTTGGTGCGTATCCTGCATAATTAAATTAACGGTAATGCCGTCTATCTGAGTGCTGATACTGTCTGAAGTCGGTGTTCAAAACCCGTGTCATTTTCTTGTCTAAATTGTATAAAAGTAACTTGAAAAATGCTCACCACCAGTCCGGTTTAGTTTTAGCCCAGACTCTTAATCAATGTTGAAGTCTGTTTAATACTAAGATGGACTCAGCAACAAAAGAAAATTTCTCCGTTACTAAAAATAGTGTAGCTTTTTTAGTCCCGATGTCCACTTAATGCTTTCATTATCACAGAGTCAGTTGTAATTTAATGCTAATCGTAAAAGGGATTTAATTGTAGGCATCTTTCACAAACAAGCCTTTAACCTGACATAAGGAATCAAAAGTCTGTCATGAACCGCAATTTCTGTATTTAAATTTCAGTGAAATAGATTTTGATTCGGTTCCCCAAGTAAATTCAAATATTCTTCAGTTAATTTACTTTCCATCCCGCCAAAAACTTTGATAACCAAATGGAACTCATTGTAACAAATAAAAATATGGCCAACTTGTATTTATTATTGTGGATTTTTGATTTCAACCCTTCTGGATTGCGAATGTTAAAAAGGACTTATGTCAAACCTTGAGATTGAATATGTAGGAAGGTAAATAACAGTTGTCTCTAAGGTCAATTATTTGGACAGATGAGAGTGAGAATAGGGGAGGAGTGAACCAATAAGCAGTTGGTTAATGAGGCCACCAGGGAAAAGGTTATCATCGGACAAACCTCGTTAGGTATACCTAACACACACTAGTTTAATGTGTCCATGTTTTGACCGTTACTTGAGAGTTAAAGAGGACTGGCATAAATTAGCTATTTTCAATCTCCTATTTTAACGCCTTGTCTCCATAGTTTCGATGCAGTGCATTCGTTCAAAGTATCCCTCAACTCACCTAAGGGACCCTTGGGTTACATCACTGACGACAAGTGGGAGGCGAACGCCCAGCTCCTGTTCACGCTCGACGTCTTGGACAGGATAAGGGAGCTCACCGGATTTGAAGCCGGCATCCACGGCATGGATCCCAAGGTGACAGCCTTTAAAACCAGGTACGACTGTACACACAGGAATTGTCAATTCATGTATGAAATCCGATACTGAACTTGGCTTTATTGTAGTCTTTGTCCGATTTTTATAAAATCGTTTTAAGTCCACCGTCAGTACAAGGAAAAAAAGGCTTTAGAAATGACTTTCAATGCGCAGGATTTCATAAGTCTATTTACTCGAGAAAATAAATTCGAATTTGCTGAGCTCAGAATTAAAAGAAGCACAGCTCAGTCGACACCGACTGAGTTCATAGGGTGGTCTTCAGTGAACAATCGATCCATTAGTGAGGTAGTCTTATCAATGCAGGATAATTTCTACTTAAAGTAGACTGAATCCTTATTTGGTATTCTGACAGTCCCAGTCCTGAACTATCTTTGAGTTAGCTTTGATTATACAGTATCTTGCTAACTTCCTTAAAATGATCTCAGCCAAAACGGTTTTTGCAACTGTAGTCGATCAGTGCGGGGGGTTTCACCAAGCGGCGAAAGTCCCGCTCTCCTCCCGGAAGGACAACCTGAGACCCTGGGCGCCTCCCCAGCCATTCTCGAGACGCTGCTCGGCCTTAAGGCGAAAGTTAACGCCCTCCGTCACCAGCCGTCTGGCCTTCTCACTGGCTACTCTTTGGAGGTGGATCGCTTCGATGGACTGTTTGTCAGCTTTCAAAGAGAAAAACCGGGTTTTTCGAACATGTTCCAGTCAGTAAAATTTGAGGTTAAGCGCTACCAGGAAAAAAGACGAAGCTTCACAACGGATGAGGAACTTATCAAGTTGAATTATCTCACCAGAGTTCTAAAAAGTGGTCGATTTACTTTGGTGACGGTCAAAATGCCCTGGAATAGTACATACAGATGTTCAGGTTTGTTTGCGTTTGTCTCTGTTTAAAACAAGATTTATACATGGCATTATACATTTGAAATGGACTCCTGCAATGTCTACCATGTTTTTAATCATTGTCGCTTGATACAATGTAAATTAAAACTCGAGGCTACTTTTTAGTTGTACCGATTCAAATCAATTTCTAGAGTCACTTTATTAAAAGAATGGAAGAGACTGCGAGATAAACGGTAGGTGGGCAGGATGTGAATACAGGGGTCAAGAATGAAGGTGTCATTACAGTAAGTATAAACATATCCAAACGAAGTTATGTGGCTTATTTGGAAGCCGAATACACCGACTGAGAGGAAAATGGTTTTAGTAATGTTGCCACAAATATTTGGGAACAAAGGCAGCACAGAAAGTCTTTCCAAGGTTGGGAGACTTAATTTGAAGCTAGGGCTGTGTTGAAGTAAAAGATAAACGCCCATTAAGACTCAGTTTCACAGGCATCCTTTGCATAAGACCCCTTCTGGAGGCATCGGTTTCCTTGTGTGTTAGTGCTGTATAACACTCTCAACTCACAGCTTTCGTTTGTGTGGAACTTATTTTACGAATGATGCTCGAGTTCTTGTGTAATAGCTTTCGAATATTCTACATCTCATTACTGGTAAATTAAGGGTTCGTTTTGGAAATTTTGCTCGCATCGTTTTATGGTCACGTGAGTAAGGCCTTTGCGAATATTCGATCAATTTTAGATTTTGCTGACAAGGTGCCATTACCGAGGTTTTACAAGTATATCAGATGAATAGTAAAAAAACTGCTACAATGGGTGGCGAAAATGTTAAACGAAGGTACTTTGATTACTGGAATTCAATCAGAAGTTAAGTGAAGGAATAGTCACAAATTAACAGGACAACACTTGAACATTGTTTCTCCTCAGCACATTCGCTGTCTCTAACGTAAACACCAATCTGTCACTTTTTTACAGTCAACTACAACACCGAAGGGGATTTTACAGGCGAGGTGACCATTGGCAAATGGGAGGCCAACATAACCGGAGATTTCAAGTCAACGGGACCCTCGGATTATGAGCTCTCTGCTCAACTTATCAGTGATGAAATCAGTCTGTCAGCGAAACAGCAAACAAAAACTGGAAAGCGCTATGTACTCGCAGTGGAATCAACGGGCAAAATACTGCCGCTGACGTTTACATGTACGTTTAAAAAATTTCACTCCTACCATTGAGTCGATTAGAAATCTTGCCAATTTTTCTCTACACATGCGGCCACTAATCAATCAGGGTCATTAATCAACTTGAATAAAATTCTGCTATTTATCAGAAGCCAATCGAAACTCAATTTTTTTTATATTTAAGCTTCAAATGTTGTGCACTGATATTTTACACAAAGTAGACTCCATCCACTGCTTTAGTTGATTTGAAACTTTATTTTGGCCACTGTCATAAATGAGCTTGGAGCCGCCCTTGACACGACAAAGCTGGTTCTAAATCTTCGTGCACATCCCTTCAGATCCTTTTTAGAGATAATGATCGGTAAAAATCCCATAAATCGAAATTACCTTTAGTTTAAAGTCAGCTGTTAAAGACTCGCTTGCTTGACAAAACATGTTTTCCTTTTGAAAATCGAAAGAACTAGATCAGTTTTCGAAGTGAAAGTCGTTGACGTCTGTCTGTGACCATCCGTATGCGGTTTGTAAACATGATTATTTCAGTGTTACTGAATTCGCAGTTGACCATTAAACCCATGGCCGAAGGAACTGTCTTTAGCCAATCTAACTAAAGTCGGAATAGTAAACAATTACGAGCATAGATAACAACTGCTAAGCTGTTTAATTGTATACCCATAGCAACCTCTGTGTCTGGAAACTATAGTTTTTTCAATTTTTCGTTCTAGCAACGACAGAGTTTGTAACTCCAAAACAAATGAAGCACTCAGGTGAAATTCAGCTGACCTCATCGAAGGAGAAGATTTGCTTTGAGACACAGCTAAACTGGACCCCTCGACACTATCATGGACTGTTAAGTCTTGCAACGGGCAAGGGACGTTCTCAGAACAAGTGGATGGGTGAATTCGCAGCAATAAATCATGTCGGCGAATCGTCACTTCCTCCGGTTGCAACTCTTTATAACTATTCCTTGTAAGTTGTCGTTTTCCCCTCTTATACACACAAATTAACTTAAGAATATTGATCTTGCCACACCCCAATCTAGGCGAATCGGTTATCAGCAATTCGAAATGTTGATTCATTGTCACGAATACAGACAAATTCGCTGTCCACTTTGGTTCCCTTAAGCAGCCAGGCAAGAGTTGGGCCGTGATAAATGCGTTTTTCTGCCAGAGATCATGTTGATAGTTGTAATTGAGCTGAATATAAAGAATAGACATCAGCACTGGAATTTCACCACGACAAACCCTACAAACATGTGTTCCCGCAATATTTCTGAAATGTGCCCTTGTTGTTATGAGCCAGACCTCTAGTAAGAACCATTTAGATGTTTCGAGGTTAGTGACATTCACTTATTGTAAACATGACGACGCTCTGTCTTTTCGCTCAGCCTCCACGCTCCAAATTATGCAACTCTCTAAAATCTGCCTTTCTAACTATCCCCAAATTTTCACTTATTACAAAGTTTACATGTGCGACGTTTAACAACAGAGAAAACGTGCCCCAATTTGTACCGTATTGCCAAATTGTAAAAAAATATTATTCGTTTCCACGCGGTTTATTTCAAAGATCACTGTCCTCGATTAAGACTTGTGATGTGCGTTCACTGGAAAACGTTGCCTTCGTGACAATTCGGTCTTTGGATCAGTCCACTAAGTGTGGTAAGCTACGTCGACCCCACCACTGAGCAATCGCTTTGGGTCCCACGCTAGTTGGTCACGTGACTTCCCTTTTATTTTCGCATTCCATCTACCTCAAATATATTCCAGGCAAATATCGCGAAATTTCTCGCATAAACATCGCAGAGAATTTGTCAGATCTTTAAAATGTCAGATAATGCTACATTTTTGACCCTTAAGTGTATTAAAAAGTCAAATTGGAGATATCTTTGGCTAGTATGCACCATCATCTTGATAATCCGACTAAAGGTTATGTAGAACCCGCCTGCTTCTGTCATAGAAATCAGAACCAGTTGGTTTATTTATGAGTAGACTAAATGTAAAACTTTATACTGCCTTTATATTTGGTGGATTGCCGTTATTTGGAATAGGCAATGCTTGCCGGCCGTTGGGCATATCAGTTTCTCCGCCAGATAGGGCTTTTCTCTTTGCCTCAGCCAACATTAATGCAAACATTTTCTCCCAACATCTTTCAGCTTTTCAATCGTCGAAAAAGACCAGGCTGCTGATCGGTGAGTTATAGCGTAAATTTATGCAAGAACTAATTTTGTAAATCAAATATCCTCTGATGGCTCTTTTACCATATTTAGCTATAAAAAGGGATTCTTTTTAATTTTTTGGTTGACAGTTTGCTGAATGAAGTAAAAACCTTTATTTTTGGCTGTGTTTGTTTGATCTTTCAATAAACCAGGGTATTGGTTTTGATCAAACGTTCGTGTCCACTATCTGGCCCCAATTCTTTGATTTATTTTTGCTCTTTTCCGGCAAATCGACGACGCTGGAGTACGCAGCGGTTAAAGTGGAGACATCGCTCTCTGCACTAATACTTATCAATAAGATTGTGTCTTAAGTGTATTTTAGCGAAAATTTCTCAAAAAAAATATCCGGCACTTTTCTGTCTTAGCTAAAAGTAACGGAAGCCTTATTTCCTTTGGAATTTTGACGTCTCTTCTTGACTTATGAATGGCAAACCGTTAGAAGAGGTTATTCTGTTGTGGAAGACTTTTTGTACAAATAGTTGCTAAACCTTAATTTAACTTGAATTATACATGAACTTACTCTCCGGAAACCGCCTGCCAAATTGGCCGGTCACAAAAATTCTAACGCAGTAACGGATTTCATCTGAAAACAACATAAGTGCTCAGAGCTCCCGAAAATTCTAATCTTCTTAAACCCTGGTCTTCCCTTTGACAAGCTATACCTTTTATTGAAATTCTTTGTTTATGGACTTGTAGCGCGGATGCCAGACAGTAAGTGGTTGATCTCGAAATCATACTAGAGTTGGTCTAAAACTTTCTTGCATCTCGTTTGCTCAAAGAACTGCGAAGATGGGAGAAATCCCTACTTGTGGTTCTGTGGTGTAATGTAATGCTAACTTAACTCACTAACTAAATGCTAACTAATGCTAACTTAATGCTAAATTCTATTCCCAGCTTGGCCGTGTAGATCAAATTCAAGTTTAATTTTCATAAGTCATAACATTTCCACACTGACCTGTTCATTTTCAAAATGTCCCGTGTTCTTTAACTAGGTATCGTCAATTGTTCTTATTAACTTATTGACACTAATTTCACTGTAAAGCCCCGTGCCCTGGAGAGTCGGTTCGGCAGCCACTTTAGCGTCTAACGCCAGTTCGTCCTGGAGACTGGACACTAGACACTGGCTTAATTCGTATGAAGCAGAGATATGCTACGGCGCCCAGCATCACCTCAAGGCCTCCAATCAAAAGACTTATGCGCTTAATGTGACGTTTAAGGAAAACAAGACGGTAATTCCTATTGATAAACGAAATATTTCCAAGGGTTGCCTGATTTGCGCTCAATTGATGCAATTCAATACTTCAATTTTACCCATAACATTTCCAAAATCTTATGCCTTGTCTCCAATATTCTCCTGATACCAGAAGTTACCCTGAACTTCCCCATGTAATTTTTTCTTCCAAAAAGCTCCAGCCTGCAATTGAAAACGCCTATTACTTTTGTTTGCTGACTAGTTTTTTTCTTTCAAATAAGCATCTTACGCTTCTTAGATGGCAAAAGACTTACTTCCTTCTGAAGATATCGAGGTTTTAGTAATTAGTAAACATAAAGGTCAAATTAGTAAGAAGCAGCAGGAGCATGACTTATAAGTTAACTTTAAATACAGCCTCACGGACACTAACCAAAATCTTATTTAAATTGTCGAACAAATGGAATCTAGAGCCCAGCAATTCTACTCAGATTTGAAAAGTTTGATCTGATTAATATGAATGGTATTTTTGAAGAATATAGTCACTTTATTGCTAAGAGTCAGGTCTATTCATTTTTAGGTCCTGCTGACCACGGTAGCGCAAATGTCTATGGATCCATTCAGTATTGTCAAAGGCAGTTTTAATGCAAGCCTCAGACATTATCTTGTGTGTAAGGGCGTTCCAGGAAGCCTAAATGTCGTTTTCGTGAATCTTTTGCCCGAAATTTCATTGCATGGTGAAGTACTTTGCGGAAGTGATTGGTTGTACAAAGTTAAAGCAATCTCCAACTTCCTCAAGTCTCATAACACGATTCATCTGATTATGGCTCGAGGTGCCGACGTTCGCATCGAATCTCCATACGTATTTCGCGTATCAGATGGCAAAATAATGCTACTAACAAACTCAACTGTTTTTCTTGGAACAAAAGAACTCTATCACGCTTTTACAAACTCAAATTTCAGTTTCTTGAAGTTCGAAAATAGTGCAGTTGTCAAAAGAGTTTCCGACGGTCAGGTGATAGCTTCGGCTGAGTTGGATGTGGCGGGACTTACAGCGTCACCTCCACAGTTTAATTTAATAATCGATCTGCCAGCTCTGGGGAGCGGATTTTTCCTTAGCTCTGGACTTATGATAAGTCACAGCCTAGAACGCATTCTTCTCGATGCTAGAACGATTGTGAACACGGGTGTTACGAAACGTGGGTTTGAAGCTTTCCTTTCTTGTCATAAAAGAGGTATTTCCGTTGCTTTTAATGGCTCAGTGCATGGACTGACAGCCAATAAACCGGCAACTTTGAGTTTTGACGTCCAAAGGAGTCCCAAGGGTTATGACCAGGCGAGTTTATTCCTTCGAACACACTTGGAGGATGAAATAGTACTTAAAGCAACCAAAGATAAAGAAGAGGAACGCCTCGCTGGAGAGTTGTCTCTCTTGTGCTCCCTCCATCCAGGTTCCCCAACGAAAACCTTCACAGGATTCTTATATAAGACTCAGATATCCTGGGCTTTCACAGATGAGCTCTTTAAAGTTGAACAACATGGAGAGTGGAATGGGAAGCGGGCTGTGCCACCAGGGATGCCATTCCGTTACGGAATCACACATAGCCTTCACCCCGATAGAAATGGTGGCGAGATTCACATCTTTGGCGAAGATACTAACATGGGTAAGGCCGTCGGTATGGAGATGCTTGAAGGATTATATGAATATGTGCTGGAAGAACCCACAAAGCCGTCGTGGGGAATGGAAAGCAATATACTACTCAACTGGAGACGGTACCTTGGAAGAGGCGTGATTGGTTCACAAGCTACCATAAAGGCAAAAATGGACAAAGGACTGAAAGATGGGAGTTTTGACATAACATGCACGCTGCCCGACGCCGAACAAACAGTTGCAGAACTAAGCGGGAAGTTTCAAGTCATTGGCAACGAACTTAAAGTAACAACACAAGGTCTGTATGGAAATGAACAGGTACATCAGGCAGAACTGGAAGTGAAGTCTAGCAAACACGCGTTGGAAGTGGAGATAAAAGTGGATGTTGCCCCGCTATTTCTCGAAGCGGAGTTCGAAAGTCGTTTTACTTCAGAACCCTCTACAAGTATTGAAGTGGAAGTCAGTCAAAAAGGAAAAAAAATATGGATAACAGAATTAAACGCCTCAAAGAATCAACGGCCGAAATTTGTTCTCCTTTTTGAACCTCTGGCTGTTTCGAGTGGTTTGAAAAAGGTGAACGTAAGCTTGGAAAGTCCAATTAAACCAGTGGATATGAGCATCTGTAACTTTGCTGTACAAGGTCACTTTAAGACGGAACCAGTTCTTGCTGATTGCGATTTTAATCTGCAGATTAAAAACAGCGAGAAAACAAGCACGAATCCAGAGGGAGGGAGCCAATTAATTAAAGTGGATCTTCAAATCAATGACACAAAGGGTTTAGTACATAGAGCCGAGGGCTTGTGGCGCCTATTCAGGCAAAATCCTAAACTGCCCTTCACTTTTGTCGCACGTGCAACCTTGGACTCTTCCCATTTCCTGGATGGACCTGTCACCATTTCCGCTGAACACACCTGTGCACAAAGCCCAAATGAACAAGAAGGTATCACATCCCTTCACAACAGCAGCCACGATTCCGATATTGGCTGCGAAAAGCCAAGCGAATGCACACTTGTAATGGAGAACTCAAAGTCAGAAAAGAATACCTTCACAAATTTTGCTGCTTCCATTAGTCGGACTTCGATGATGACAACGTCGTTTGAAATCAACATTGACAGAAAGCATGCACTCGAATTTCTTTTGACTCAAAATGGTAATTCAGTGGAGGGACTAAGATTAAACCTTAAAATAAATGGTGAGGAGGTAGCAACGATCGAGGGAGAGGGAAGTCTCAATTTCGATGACACCGGTTTCACCTTTACCCTGAACTCAAAATTTGCAGCGCGAAGTCATGCCAATTCCTCTCTGAAGCTCACACTTCACAACCTTGTTCACCGGCGCGCAATTGATCTAGCACTAAGGTCATCACTGAAATCATTCGGCGACCACAGGTTCAAAGTAAAGGCCAATTTGGACTACTTAACTTGGGTTATTGATCCCAGGAGGAAGGAACAAGGTGCAGGACTTAAGACATACCTTATACAACTCGACGATCATGCAATTGGTCTCGAATTCACCGGCGCTTCCTCCTGTATGTTTACATGCAGTTTGCCCAGCCTATCACTTCCAATCGTGTTCCGCTTTGCCTATGACCTAGACAAAGATTCACGGCAGTCATTATTGCAGATCCACAAACCAGTTGAAATTGACATCAGGGGCCTGCTTGGTTCCGCACCCGAGGCATTCGTGGCACTGTCCAACAAGGCAGACATCATCAGTACCATCGACAATTTCAAACTCAGGGATATTCGATACCCACGGAACACGGAGTTTTACAAAGGCGGATGTGCTTCTCGTGAGCCTGACTGTTTTCTCATTGTTCTCGGCACAAATGTTAGCAGAGAGGCCCAGCAAAAACTCCTATTCACTTTGGTTCTCCCAAAAGACGAGAAGTTTCAGTCATTTAATGTGGAACTTGACTTTGCAGAAATGACACCCAGGGCCCTAAGAGTCACCTCGAGAGATCGAGAAGTTGGAGTAGGCGTATGGTTTGATCGCAAAAATCAAGTATTTTTCACGGAGGTTGCCTGGGATCGTCAGCGAGGAGGCGCTGTGGAAATTTCCTGTGGTCGAAATTTCTTTGCATTGCGGCATCCCAAACGACGTGTCGACAAAACCATTGGTCACCCCGGAACCATGGACTCTGGTGATCGAGATGCCAAAAGCTACCTGCAAGTTACTTTTAAAAACCCAAATACGGTGGAAATTAAGTCTATCTTTCTAAATGTGAGTTACATTCACCGCATTTTCCATATTTGTCTGCAAAGATAGGTACTATTAGTTATACAACCTTAATATAATCGTCAATTGTTATTATTTTTCGTTACCTAACAGACTAGCATAGTGAATGTGATGAATTGAGCCTAACTGGTCGTTTTAAATTTTGAAATAGCTCTTATTAGTGGTATATGGAAAAGTAAAAATGGAAACAGATAATCCTTCAGTTGTCCCAACTGTTTATGATCTTTAATGCCAGAATTCAGTGGCATATTAACCATGGCCACTGATAAAAGTTACGTAATTAGGGGAATAACAAAGCAAGTTAACTGCATAGCGAGATACCGAAACATGAGTAAGTATAATTTGCTTTTTGCAATATATCATACATATTAGGAGCCAATATCGATGGTCTACGAAAAGGAGATGTCTCGTCAAACTTGGAGTTTGCATCGAGGAGCGTTTGGAAAGTTGTCAAAGGCTCTGGCTACATTTTCAGTTACCGGCGAAACCGTAAACCAATTACGTAAGCGCAATATCATTCTCTTCAAACGAGAGGGACGCACAATTGAAATCGATACCTTAGTGGAGAAAAGTACAGCAATGTGTACGATAAGTAAGCCCAAGTTTATACTTAGTTATTTAATCTGCATAGATTCCACTATTAACATTGATGGAAAGAGCGGGAAGCTGATTTTCGAACACATTCCTGGCCGACGAATCTTTTTAAACGTGAGTTTTCTGTCTTGGTGGGGGACAGATGGTTGCTATTTCTTGTTATCTATCCTTAAAATCTTATATTTTACAGTGCAACGATAATGTCATTCTTGAAATAGGAAGCTTTACGCGACCTCACACAGCTGCTGGAAGTTTCTATTTCCAGTATCAGGAAGGAGCACTAAAGGCTGACGCTAAATATCTCGTTTCTATGGTCCCCATGGAGTTATTCGCCAGCATTCAGACAGCCAGAGCAGGTAGGGACGTATCATTGAACAGACTGCGCCGTTAGTGTGCAAACGCAATCGTTATTTATTGTGCTGGCTACTGATCTTAGCACGATCTTATTGACTTCCGATTTTTAAAGATAGCTGTTAAACTATTAGAATAAAACCACTTCAACATTCATTAGGTAGTTTTTCTTTTTATCGTGATCTCTCCAGAAAAAGGACAAACCCCTTCTACTGGGTAGTAAGATGTAAATTAGACCATGGCAAAAATAAACGAATGACTAGCTTGGTGGAATTCCAACTTGGATTCACATTTGATTGGTATTTTTGAAACCAACAGGAGCGGTTTTACGAGGGAATGCGTCGAGTTTGCTGGATTTCTCTGGGACTCTGACACACAACTATAAATCACCTAATAACGTTCTTGATGGTGAAATAATGACCAGTCTAAATGATGACACGGGGATATATCACATTAACACCTTTTGGAGACCCCATGCCTTCGGCGAACTTCTAGTAAGTGATTTGCACTTATCAGTAAGTGTTTCAAGTAAAATTCACCAAACATTATGCATATGACTTAGTTTTTACAGATTCTCCCGCGAGTTTATATAATTTAGAAATTAGGGAATAGCCAACTTAATGATAGAAATATTCTCCAAGTCATCGCCGAATTCGCTTACATCATCCAGCTTTTTGAACTGCTACTCCAATAAGACGTGCTGCATTGAAATAAACAAATGGTAGTCGGATAGGGCCAAGTCTGATGGATATGTCGCATGTGAGAGAACTTCACATTCCAAGTTCAAGAGTCGCGCGAGCAATTTGATGTGGTCGAGCGTTGTCATGCAGCAGCAGCAGCAGTAGTAGTAGTATGATTCGCCTGCTTCCTTGCCCAGTAAATGGTCTTTTCTGATCAAGTTCTTCGCTCATTTTGTTTAACTGTCAGGCTCAGTGTTCCGCAGTCATCGTCTGACGACCATTTTCCACGAGTTCGTAATAAATTGCACCCCTTATGTCTCGCCACAGACATACAGGAGAACCTTCTTCAAGTGGATGTCCTGTTTCGGCGTCCATGTACTGATTACCCGGGATTTACCCACGGCTTTTTACTTTTCAAATTCATGTAAAAGTATATTTTTAATCACAATTTTCAAGAGGGATTCATTTTTTTGCCGGTGGGCAAGCAGTGAAAGGCATGTGTTAATACGTTGACCTAAGTTGATTTCGGTCACCAATTGCTAAGTTTATGACTTTTTTCCATTTGTTGCAAACGTTTGGAAATATCTGTTTGGGTGACTCCAAACTGAACTAGTCGTCATCCAGTAAAACTTGCGATTCATTCGATACAAGATAGGCCCTAAGAAAACCCCACAAGTTGATTATCGTATTTTAGAAGCATTTTTCCTTGTTGGAATTCGGATAATATCCAGTGTTAAATTCGCTGTTTATCAATTGCCATTGCAAAGCCTGCTGTTCTGAGAGGTTGTATAACCCACATAGACTTGTCGTTCGGTGTTCTGGAATAAAAATGGTGACAATATTCCCATTTTAATAAAAAATTTAAGCTCGAAGAAAAATCTGTAAGCATTAAGTCATAGACCCAACATAACATTGCATCTAGCAAATACACTACAACAAACCAGACGAGTGATAGCTGTTCCTTGTGGTTTCGGTTGTAGCTCGGTGGTCTAGACAGTGTAACGGTCAGTGGAATACCCGCATTCATAGCGGAACTGGAGGAAACACTCATTTCCCTGATGACCGAAGAAGTCGGCGAGCTTAAGAAATTAATTAACCAGACTGCCATACAGGAGGCGTGGGTCTCGGCATACCGGTATATAAAGGGACTACCCACATCTGCAATTGCCTCACAAGGCACTATTTCCAATTTCTCAAATCCCAGTTTTTTCAAGGAAGCCGAAAAGCTGCACAGTCAGATCACTGGAGCACTGGACCGACTGGAACAGCTTTTTAACGTATGTCGACTGAATTAAAATGGTTGAAGGGTGAAGGAAATATCTCACGGAATTGCCCAATTAAGAATTCCTGCATAATGCTCTTGCTGATGTCTTCTGTTGTTACAGATTTTTGACACGATGGTGGGTCACTGGAAGGCCATAGCTGTCCTCAAAGACTCAAAACATCTCAGCCATTATTACATAGTTCAATGGCCCATACGTTCAAGTCTTTCCGAGACAAATTTTAAACGTTTGCCTATTATATAATCATTTGAAAATTACCGGACCAAATCGAAATAATAACACAGAACGAATGAATGCATGTGCTATAAAGAGCCAAGAAGAGAGGTTTTATAAAAAGAACACTTGTTTCCCGATGACTTTAAAATTGATATCGTCAAAAGATATTGACCACTTATTTGTGTCTTATTTTCCAGAAAATCAATCTCCTCAATACTTATGATGCAAACAAAGTTGCAAAAGGTCTGCATTTGGTGGAGACTTTCACCAGAGAAGTCATTCAGAAAGTACAGAAGTCAGTCAGATATTTCGCGGACGCATCAAGACCATTCATCGGTAAGATTCGTGTCTCTGTCCTAAACGTAAGCATAAGTATCTCAATTGCGTTGGGGCAAAATTAGTCATTACATGGACCGGACGCAAAACGGCCGATGACATTACCATAGAGAGAAGTTTACCGTTGGTGAAATAAATTTACCTAAATAGAAACAATTTTGAATCAACCTAAATGGAAATAACAGTGAAATAACATTTTGTTCAAATTAAAATCGATTTTGCCCATATTTTGCTTCTAGCATGGTTATTTCCAGTGTGAACAAAGCAGCTAAATTTATGTAATTACCTTAACTACTGTCGGTAAATTAGCCCTTTTCAGTTTTTGAAGTAGTGGCCTTAACAGTTCCCGCTGTGCTAAGATTATAAAACATTTTTTCTAATGGATAATGAGGAAAAACACCTGCACATCTGCTACTTTTAAGTCACAATACCTACTCCATTCGAAAACTATCAATGTTCAGTTCGACATGCTTCAATGCCTTGGAAGATGACCTTGTCTTGTGTCAAAGTGCTTCATCGACTATAATTCACCTGCAGTTGAATTTAAGCACATTGTTGCATACAGCTTTGATCCTACTTAAAACAGCAATTCAACCTGAGTTGTTTAATTTCCTCCAGATCAACCTGTGCAAGAACTTATCAATAACACTTTATTTGCCAAGCACGTTATCGGCAGTGCCGCTGATTTGCTCCAGACTGCCTATACCAAGCTTTCAGTGCATGTTCTAGAATTGAAACATCTGAGAAAAGGTATATCAAGACTTCGTTCGGAGTTGGGGCAAGTGGCGTCCGGAATACGTGTGCGTACCCCTTCTCTTTCCTGCCTAACTAAGCTTTCATTAATCTAACGGGTACAATAATCTTCCATTACTCCTAAATACGCTCTGAGTTCAAATTTCCTGTGTGGATGCCATAAGTTAGATCCAAATTGAATAAAAGTGTCAAATTTTGAAAGTGTAATTTGTCAAAACAAAATCAACATCTCTTGAAATCACCTTATTTAGTCACACGTTCGGGAGAGTAGAGATCGCAAAATGTTAGAGCTTTTATCTGAAAGTCACTTGAGATACTTCTAGAGTATATTGCCACAAATTCTGTTCACGGTCCAATGTGGTCTTTAAATCCCTGCTTTCATTCAAAGCATTTTAAATTAAATCAGAAAAGCTTTGAATGGATTTTGATAAAAACATCGGTCATGACTTTGGAACACTTATTATTTATTTTACATGATAGTTCGATCATAATTGTGATTTAGTTGATACAGCTAACGTGCAAATTTCCAGTTTGAAAACTGAATCATCAAATGTGGGTCTCTTGTCTTTGGCCGAGGCGTCGCCCGACAACTTGAAACGCCCGGAATGTTGGATCCTGATTACACTTTGGCACAAAAAACGCTGTCGGCATCACTTCTAAACTCATGTATCAGCCTGGTGGTTCAACACAATTGCTTATCAGCGAATATTCATAAACATAGTTAGTTAACATGTATTAATTAAAATACCTAACTGGCAAAATGCATGAGAAGTTTTACAATCAAGCTGCTAATGAGCTTATCTCTGCATCAGACACTTACATATGCCTTTGTATTTCCAATAGGATTACTGTGAAGAGATGCTTGGGCCCATTTTCCGATCCTTCCTGGACACATTTTATAGGCCACATTTATCACACAATGAAACGAATGGGAATACCTTCAAGGCCAACTGGAGTGGCATCACAGTAAACTCTTCTGTCTACATTCCTCTTTGGATTCGTTCAACAGTAGGGCCTGCTTCTGCGATTGTAACTGGTTTTCCCCTAAGAAAGGTATGTTTTGATTGTAAGAAATATGGCCTGTAAAGAACGATTTAATTATCTTTTGTGTTTATTATATCTGTTCTTCGAAATATTTCAGTACTAGATCCGTCACAAACTATGCCTACACCAATCATCATATATGTTAGTAGTAATGCAAATCTTCTTTTTCTTCAGAATAATGACATGGAAAAGAGATTAGCTACCTTCTACCCGGCTATAAAGCAACTTGGTGGGACATTGAAATCGTTGACTCTAATTGGACGAAAGCTGAGACAGCCTTGGAACCGTGAGTTGCGTAGCATCGCCAATCCCCTCTGAGTGAGGTGCTAAAGTGTGGCTTCTTTTTTAGATAAAGCTTGGCTCTTTCTACATACCGCTGAAAAATCCCACGTGATCACATTTGACAAGAAACTCAAAAGCTTTACACCGACGTTGGACTCTGTTTATATTTTGGCCTTTGATTCGGCTAAGAGAGACATTGCTGTGTCCGTGGTATTCTCAGCTGATGAGGCGCGCTTCGTCTACCACATAGGCCCCAGGAATATTGCAATCAGCGAGTGTGGAATGGTAAGCCAAATTAGGTAGCATCGGCAGGCAGAGTTAAGTGGATTTGGATACGTGCTTCACTTTACCGTTTTGCAGTGTTTTGAGATTAAAGTCATTTGAGTACGGCACTTGACACCGTCTTCTTTCCCCATAGTTAAGGGTGGAGGTTTGTACAGTCCATTTTGGCAGACAGGACCCTAGTAAACTGGAGTGATTTTTTAAATATTTTGCCAGATGGTAGCTTAAGTTCCCTCCCCCCTCGTCGAAAAATTTTGTATTGTTTTAGCAATGAAATAAAGAACATGAATACCACTTTTCGTAACTACCTTCAAAACAGTTTTTACAAAACCCTGCGTTATTTTAATTTGATTTCCTAGGTTGCCAACGGAGATGTGGAAAGAAAGTCAGGATGTCGAGAGAGAGTTGGAGCGACGAATTTGACTATGACAAGAACTCGCAGACTTTGGGAAATTCATGATGTGAATCGGGATGTAAAACTCACCTTCTATAAGCAGGAACAAATCCTCCTGGTTGAAGTCGGTGACCGATGGTACGGACGTCTGGGCGGAATACTTGGAACCCCTGGGAACGCGGCAGCTGACGACACTATCGACACTTTGATTGCAAATTGGAGAACATCGGAGGGCCGAAGAGAGAAATGGTTGGGTCGAACGCAAAGTGAATGTCAGGTACCAGTCACTCAAGTAGCACCACCCTTTAATATAAAAAAAATAACGTCCCGTATGTTGGACATTTGCCAACGGTCATATCACAGACTTTGAAGTACATTCTAAAATTGGATTAATCTCTAAACTGTACTATCAGATGTGCGGAATGACGTCAAATATTTTTTCCCAAAAGGTCTATTTTCGTTTAGTTTTGGTGCTTAAAGCGCCACTTCGAATTTAAGACGAACTTCTTAGAGTTATTTAGTGTACTTGAAAATTCTTCGGATTTAGGTGGTCTGATTTCATGCGAAAATTATGACACAATTACGAATTATTATTATGAATTATGACACAATTATGAATTATTACCATTCCTCGAAGTACTTCATGTAAGTTTTGTTCTTTTTAGAAGAAAATACTGGGAATTGATTACGTGAATAATCTTTTTAAAAGCTTCAAACTTCAAAAAGAGGATTGTCCCTTGACACCGTTTATTGAATTGGCAATGACTTCAGCGGGAACGCGATGCGAGGCAGAGGACTGCACGTTTTCACGGGACTCAGTCTACGACGCACACGCTGCCCTCGCAAGTTGCCTTCGCAGAGGGTACATTAGAAACCCGTGTTTCGGTGAGTTCATTAAGCCACAGGGACTGGGTACAGTTGTTGCAGCAGAGAAAAGTTATTTTCCGTTTTCGAAAAAAAATTGTTTTCAAAGATTTTAGTAAGTGTAATCAGTAACTTCTGTGTGTGGCAAAACAGGAAGCGGGATTAAGTAAATTACGAGTCCGAGATCGGTATTTGATTTGTAGAAATTTGTCGGGAAATTTTCTGACCGATTTTGTGGTTTGAAGTGCCATTAAGTGATATGGAAATGCTTTGATGCTAATAAGGCGAGCCTCGTTAGCTGCTGGACTTATGCTTTACTGTCACCTTGTTTTTTTTTAATGAGTTCCGTTAAGCATTGTTAAAGAAATAACTTCAGGCACTTTATTGTGTGGCAACACAAATTTTTGAATTTTAACAACTTATATTGGAATAACAAGGACATTTCTGAAGTTCATTTTGAAATAAAATTTTGCTAACTTAGGAGTTTTGTCAATTGATGCAATTGAAGGTACAAAGTGTACCCTCGATTTTGGTGAGATGAACAGACATTTCACCAAGAGGAAATTAAGACCTGAGGCTATCGTAAAAATCAGTTATTTCCACACTTGTGTGACCTTAGAATTTTCGGAGTTTTGTAATAAAAATATACTAACTTGAGGGTTTAATTAGGCGCAATTGTTTAAAAAATTCACTCAATGGCTTTTGGGAGCCGGAGAATCCTACTGGGCGCCAAACATAAGCACAGCCGATTTTCGTGCTTCCGATACAACTTGAGTGTTTGTGAATTCACATAAGCTAAGTGCACAAAATGCTCCCCGTAAACAAAATTTTGCAGCCATTGACTGGTTGACTAAAGGGTAGTCAATGTTAAGTGATGTTTGGTATGAAGGCTTCTGGAGATCAATTTCATCATTCGCTGTTTTAGCCAAGGAGCCTGCGAAACACAATCACCGCAAATGGGGCACCTCTCTGTAAGTTAGCTCGGATACCTTCTAATCACTGAAGATGAGAATGTAGATTTGCAAGGAGCAGGCGATACCTCTAAAGTCATGTATTCTGTAGTGCAATTTTACCACTATCACCGCTCGTCTACGATTGTGTTATTGTAGCGGATAGACATCAAATAATTAGTCTCACGCTAGGGACTGGATCTCAAGCGGTTTTATGCTAACGAAATGTAATAAAAGCCTCAGTTCATGGTAAACCGATACTGGTAGTGGTAGAGAAATCCGTTTGGTGTACCGCAAAATTAACTAAATTTTGTGGAGTATCCGTTTTAATGCTAGTTGTTCCGCTAAGAACTGTCGCAAACAATGCGTCTGATAAGTGGATTTTAGTTGCCTTGCCAGAATGAGGTTGACACGTACCCTTAAGTTTGCGTGAAGACATTTAGAACAAAAGTACGTTTGGTTTGGATATGTTGCGGCACCCTAGTGTGGTTTTAGGAACCACTCCAGGGCCGGCAACATACACTGACAAGGCCCAACCGAAAGAGTGGAAAATGCAGATGGCGAGTAGCTCAACTAATTTATTGATACAGTAGTGGTGTGTGTTTGTATAGGATAACAAGTGCGTTGATATAGCTTCGCTAAGCATCGGTCCTTGAACGAGTCCGCGTTGGCGTGTAATCGTGCCTTCTATTGATGGTTCACGTTGAGGTTGGTAGTCTTGAGTGTACACGGGTGTATACATCTTAAATAGGACACCAGTTTCCACCTCCGGAGGCTCCAGGAGTTACAATTGCACTTGACTAGGTCTGTGATTTGTCGGGTCTTTAGCGGTCAGTAGGCAAATCAGCAAGCAACGCACCTTATTCACCTGAAGCTAACCCAGACCCAGAGTGTTAAGTTTGGTGTTGACTACTCGACACGCACTGATAGCCGCGTCGCGAAAGAAGACAGTGCTGTTTCTTGCCACTAAAAGCTCTCTACCGAGGTCATTGATAGTGGTTCGAGAGGTAAGCAGGGCTGGAGGCTGACCAAAATAGTGTCTTTGTCTGAAATAATGGTGATGCTTGAGACCATTTGTAGACATACTTTACGGCCATTAGTCAGGGTGGTAGAGTGCTGGATGGACTTCTCGAGGTATCCCGTGGATGTTGAAAGAGGGGGGGGCTAAAGTACTGGACAGCTCCACCAGTCCATGTTTATGTGGCGGGGGTAGACCTTCCATGATTCGTCCCGTGGCGCTAGATTTATTCGAAACATGTCTTCGAACCACCGAAACCATTATTCAAATTTCTTTGGATTATCGGCAAACCCTATTTTGCTACTTGTAACGCCGTCCACTGACAGAGTACTGGCTTGGGCGGTTTGTGTGAATGCTGAAGTCTGGCGATCTGCCACCATCACAAGTCGCCCAAGTAGCTGTTCCAACCATGCAACCCTTTGCTTTATACTTAATTCATTAAAACCTGGGAGAACTGCCAGACCATGTTTAAAAGCAAAAATTGCCGTTACGCTTTGTTACCATTAGCACAACTGTTGATGAAAGCTAGTCAACTAAAAGCCCTATCTTTTGTATTTTAGATAAAGTGAGGATTGGCGCGAAACGGACCGATCCTGGTTTCACTTAGCTAATTGCCACCCATTGCCATCCAGGACAATCCGTCACTCAATAGTAATAACACGCACACATCATGTCTTTTGTTTCAAATGCCATAAATTTTTTGGGAAATTAGAAAGGATAATATTCGTACCTTTTTTTTATGGAGAGAACGAGATTAATTACAAAAAGGGTTTTCTGCAAGTTATTTGTATTTCAATTTTGTAAACGGTAATAAACACATTGCCAAGGATGACGCATGACAGCACGAATAGACCAGCAAAAATCGAATAAAATTTGAATAGGTGAGAAGTAACTAAATCAGAGGGAGTAAAATGAAAATACTTTTAACGTGTGCTAGAGGGCATCACAGATCTAGAAGACTTCACAGCGGGCAAGTACACATTGAAATCACATTTGCACACCCCCGACACATATACACAGATTAGAAGTCCAAGTAATCACGATTATGGGGAATGTAGAAATGTACAAGGGGAAAGCTTGGGAGTGAAAAATGTACAGAAGCTTTTAGTTGCCAGCTGGACCTTGTTGCTCCCGCAGCAGAGCATAGCAGTCCGTGCAGACCCGAACTGGCCGGAATATGCGGAGTGGATGAATTTCGCTCTCAAAGCGGCTGCATCTAAACGTAAAGTAGTGCAGAATATTCTATCTAGTAAGGGTTTTATGTTGAAAAAGAGAACTACAATAAGACTTGCTCACACAGTGAAGACGTTAAATAGGCTTAGACTGATTTGAAGTCTTTTTCAGATGAAGTGAGTTACCAGTGTACGCATGGCTGAAGGTAATTGGAGTTCGGTCTATGCAATTGTTAACTTTATCCATGTAAATAGAAACGCTTTTCATCAATTGCCCCTCAAAGCTTGAAGTTATCTAGATTCAGTTGGCAACGACAACGATCAGCGGGGGATTCTACATAACTCTGGTGCACAAGATGAGTGCTGGATAACCAGGTAATGTTTAGGCATGCGCAGATGTTTAATCAGAGTAAATCGTGTCAAGCTGAGCGAGGACAAAAGGGATAACTTCACTAAGAGAAGAGTTTTTTATGCAGAAAAACAGCGATGGTGAAGACGAAACAAGTAAACCCATCCGCTCACCTCGAACAAAACGCCCTACCACAATTGCGACAGTGATGCTTGCGTTCTGTTAGGGAGAAACGCGTTCCACAAGCGGGAGCAGCGCAAGCAGAGACGGCGGGTTCCTCTCGGGTCCATTGAGAGTCCGTAAGTGCACCTCCATCTGAGCCCGATGCGGTGTTACCACTGCCTCCTCCTCCTCCACCCGGTACTGACCAGGCGAAAACCCGACCTTTGGCGTCCCCCACCAGTACCGATCTGTGATCACGTGATATCGCGATAGCCATGAGAGGCACTGAAGGCGAGCTCTCGGAGCGATCGAAGGCCGTGTGCATCGTCAGGTCAGCGCGAAGGCTCAACTGACGGCGCCATCGTTTTTGTTCTTGACGCGGGAAATAGGCACAAGATAGCAAAGTTCACTGATTTAGCTTAAGTCAAATCGATCTCCACTAGATGGAAGCAGCAGCTGGTATACTTATTAAACATTTTTGACAATAATTCACCAATAAATTTTGGAACAGCGCTGACCTCGCATGCCATTACTAAGACTACTCATAAGAGAGGGCAGACAAACACTAAAAGTTCCTTTTCTTCTTGGGACAGTAACCTCTACCCCTCTACGAACGGAATACAATTATGAATCGTGATCTTTTGAACCACCGTTTAAGAATTACACTGTGGTGCATTTGGGAATCCGACTTGATTGATGAACAGACAAGCAAGGGTGTTGAACCTTGGCAACACCCAGCAGCGTGACTCGCCGACAACAAGTGCTCCCCGGCTAAATGACTACAAATGTATCAAAAATTAGCAGTTTAACACGAAGTCACAACATACCGTTGTTTTCACCTGACACAACGAGGGAGTTGGGGATCTAAAGTAGAACAAAAGCAGTTGAAATTGGATCGACGGGGAAAAAGCGTTGATGAGTGTAGCATCTTACCTTTGAGGTTGAGCTGTCTGGCGACTCCTCACGGACATAATCCAGTCCCCATAACCGGACAACCCCGTCTGAGCCACCGGTTATGATCACATGACCGGGGTCCCAGTCACAGAGCTAAAACGGGAATTGAATCAAGGGTGACCTGGCCTGCCCACAATGTCCTAAAAACCACGTGATTATACAGCAGTTTAAGCAGCCTCAGCACACTGTGGGGCGGAAGTGAGTCATCGCCTAGCGTTCACGAAACCATTCGATGCGAAAAAATTTAGACCAGTCGCGATGGTGAGAGAAACAAACTGCAAAAAAAACCGAGGGATTTACAGAAGGTGGACTCTGGGTTGACGGTTGGGTCTATTAACTAGGATGGCGTAGAGTAGACTAAGATGATCGTATCAGCGAGGAAAAGGAGGCAGGGTAAAAATGATAGATCCGATTTAAGACTACTCAACGGTGTTCTGGCACTGGTTCAAAGTCGAATGTCACTTACAGTGCTCATAGCAACGCAGTAGATTTGATTATTTTGATCGGGCGCAGTGTTGAGGCAGGCAATCAGCTCGCCTGTGATGCTCCAGAGATACAACCAGGCGCCAGCACACACCGCAATATCACCAGTGGCCTCGCTTATACAGACAGCCGCAACGGGCGCCTTATAAGCAACGCTGCCTCCCAACTGGCGCAGGAAAATCAGATAGCGAAGGTCCCAGATAATGCAAGTGCAGTCCCGACTCCCGCTAACAATCAGATTGAAACTATCTGACGCTGCCAAGCAGGTAACCACGTCGGTGTGGCCGTACAAGCAACCAGCAAGCTGCAGGCTACTTGGAGTGGTGCCGAAGACCACTCCAGTCGCATTGGAGTCAGAGTGGTTCCAGTCGGTCGGGGAAAACGGCTTACCTTGTTCACCACTTTGGCTGCTGATCTGTAGGGAAAGGTGTGTTTAATATCCCACATGAATTTTGGAGAAAATCACCGCTTTCGTCCGTATGAAAACTTAAAGTCATTCAACACCACGCGCCAATAAGTTTGGGCAGGCATGAAAATGTAACACAGACGAATGTGGAATTGTTGATAGCCAGGTTGTGGAAAGTTGAGATGTGATCAGTATGCACTTTGGCCACAAAAGCGTCAGTCTTGGTACAAATGCTGATAAAAAAACTAGGTGAAACGGTGTCGGTGAGACATTCAGTCAAATGAAGGAGGTAATTACATAGGAATAAACCAGCACCAGTCTAATTCTTTGCCTGGCTGATCTGGCCTGCTTAAAGGCGAGTTGAAGACTGTTACCTTACCCCAGCTGATCGACTTTTGGGCATTAAGGGGACACAGAGCCCGCATAAAATTCTCAATTCCTAAAATGACGTCTTACCTGCCAGACCTTGACCACACCGGTCATGCCAGCGGTGACAATTGTAGAGGCGTTTGGAGCAGCAGCACAAAGGACTTGGCTGGAGTTAACCATCTCGAACACCTGCAGCACTTTGTCGCCAACAAGGCTGCAGATGCGAAAACTATCGTCTGGGTAACCCCAAGCAAGGTAACGTGTGAAAGTTGGGGGCAATAGAACCTAAACGAAGGGCATAAAGTCTTATTAAACAGAAAATCGTCATTTTTAAATGCTGGACAGGTAGTGACGACTCGACCAGTGCAGACACGATCGCATTTTAAGAGGATATCAGTGGATCTAAATACAACTCGGGGTTTTCCTAAGATGCAATGAGCAAACTTCGCTTAAGCAGCCCACAATGTTAAACTCAGGTTCGCAGTGACCTTGTGAGTCGATCTTGAAGGAGATATAAGCATTATCATGAACAATTTACTAGCTTCAAAATATAATTAATGAACAGCTTTCTACTTTAGCAACTCTTAAATAGCTACCCTATACACCGATTTGAAAAAAAAACTTGGATGAGTGAGGTAAATCGACTAAGCCATTGCGGAAGCACAAGCCTGAGTCCAAAAAATATCACTATTAATGTTCCAAAGTCGATCAAACAGCCAAATAAGTCACTGTCAATGTTTGGCCAGTCATTCGGGCTGTCTACCGGTCCTCTAAAATCGACTGCTGAGACTACCTCCTTATCATGTTCCTCTTGGTCAGATAAACCACCAAACTCAGGATCATTACTAAAACACATCGAAGAATGCATGCTGGCAGCCTACCATGTTCTGTTCGACAACGACGATAGGTCCGGCAGCGACGCCGGTAGGGCCTGAGGCTGAATCTCCAACGGAACTTCCACCAATTCCAAAGAAACCCCCCGGTGGCAGTATCAGGGTGGAGAGGCCCTCCGTGGCACCACCGAGCGCTGAGTTGCCGAAGCCGCCACCACCGCCGCCTCCACTGGAGAAGCCTTTCAGGTTGCCCGGTTCTAGTTGGAGTATTTGGCCGACGGCGTGGCGGAGTTCTGTGTATTTAAACAAAGGCAAGTTGGGGTATTGGGGTGCGACCAGAAAAGTGGGTTTAAATCTCATCACTTGTCAGGTATTTGGTGAGCGAAATAAGGGGGAGGAGTTTGTGGGCAAGCGAGAAAACACCAGTGAGCCTAAACGTACGATGATGGAATAAAATTTTCGGGTCAGAGCCCTAAGATCGACGCATGAAGCCTGTGCATTAGAATGGAGGGCCTACATCGGAATAGTTGACAGCTTAGTCAATCATTCAGATTGACACCTGGTCACAATGGAAGAATGAATTTGCTGAGTAAGAAGTTCAAAGTAGGTGACTCCAATTAGTGTCCGACGGTTAGTGGGCTAATTTCACAATTTTGCTGCTAAACATTAATCACTGACGTTTGGGTAAAGACCGGTGCAGATGAGCTATTAGAGTGTCTAAGAGGGAAAATTGGTAACCAACCTTTGACGGCCCCCACGCTGGGCTTCAGAACACCCAAGTTGTGAAAGAATAAGCCGGACGAGGCAGGGGAGACATTTGTTCGTGAATCTGGCAGAAGCAGACCGCTGGCATTCATGTTGCCACTGATACCGAGATTAGGAGGAGGAGGGGGGAGGCTAAGCGTTTTCTTTGCGGGATGTGGCTTGCGAAAGATCTGACGAGGAATCTGACCAAAGTTATTGATAAAACCGACTACAGCGCGTCGTTTCACTGGATCGTCGATGGCATAAATGTCCACGTTTCCCTCATAGAAGAGGTGATGAAAAACGTTGACTGCATGCACGGCTGGCTCTCCGCGTTGCTTGTAGCCGAAAATGAGGTCTATCCAATGGTGGAGGTTGGTCGAGACGTACTCGCTTTCCAAAGCCTAAAATTATCAAGACTACAGCAATTATTTAAGTAACTACATTAAAATTAATCAACTAACAGACTGCTGACATAGGGGTGGTTAACATTTCATCTGGGTTGGGGAAACACTAGGAATTACTCGAAGATGCAACAGGGAAAACTAGAACAAAGTATAGAAATCCAACGAACCTCTCGATGCTGGCGGATGAATTCGCGCGGATCCCCCTTAGCCCAGGGCGGCAGAATGACGTCGTCGACACGAAGACCATTCTGCTTGCGCCCAAAGTCGAAGCGGTTGGAATTCACCAGGAAATCAGGCAGGTAGAAGAACTCGGGTATGAGTTCCCGCACATCCGCCATGTTGTGTTGGCTTGCACTGAGCCAGGCCTCCGCAACGCTGTGGAACATCCGGTCGGGTAGGTCAAAGTGGCCGCCCTGCAAAAGTGCAATTGGATTACACAAGGGATAGGAGCATATGCGAAATTGTGTTGATTCTGAACAATTGGATGGTAAAAATAACCTATTTATTAGGTGCATGACTTAGTGCTTACAGATTTTTCTTTGAGCCTAAAATTAAATTATAAAAGAAAATATTTTCGCGATTTTTGTGGCTTTGAAAGGAAGCTACGCCAAGGTTTCGGAACACTGAACGACAAGTCTACGTGAGTTACATAACCTCTAAGAACAGCAGAGCTTACGATGGCAACTAATGAACAGAACATGAAGCACTGCATCTTTTACGAACTCGAACAAGGAAAAATGCTTCTAAAGCACGGGAATCAATTGGCAGTGTTATTGGTACCATCGTTGTGTCTGTTGAGGTGTGTAATTAATGATACAAACGTTTTAGAGGTGGTGATTTCGACCTTAGTGACCAGCCAAGCCCCGAACAGTAGCCTCGAGTTTGAAGGTACGGCATTGTAGGATCAACTGGATGCAGACTTGACGCAAACGCAACAAGAACTTGCAGTTCACTTAGGAGTCCCCAAACATCTATTGCCAAGCGTTTGCACCAAATGACAAGAAATCAAAAACCTTGGAAGGTGTGTCCCGCATGTGTTGACCGAACACGACCTAGGTCAATGCATTAACGCTTGCCTTTCACTACCTGCCCGCCGGCTACGAAAAAAAGACTTCTTGTGGAAAGTGGTGAGGGGTGATGAAAATTATATTTTCTTGCGAGTATCAGACGCAAAACGTCGTAGGTAGATCCCGGGGAACCCTGTACATCGACACTGAAACCGAGCATCCACTTGAAGAAGGTGAACCTGTGTAACTGGTGGGGACATGAAAAGTGCACTTTATTACGAACGTCTGGAAACTGGTCCTCAGACGGTGACTGCAGAATGCCACAGCGGACAATTGAACAAACGGAGAGAAAAACCCGACCAAAAACGTGGTTGACTGGGCAAGGAAGCAGGCAAATCATACTACTACTACTGCTGCTGCTGCATGACAACGCTCGACCACCTCGCATTGCTCGCGCGACTCCTGAACACGGAATGTGAAGTTCTCCCACATGCGACATATCCACCAGACTTGGCCCTATCCGACTACCACTTAGTCCGGTTAATGCAGCAGCACGCCTTAGTGGACAAGCAATTCAAAACGCTGGAGACGAAGCGCGTGAATTCGTCAACGACTTTATTGCCTCGTACGTTGCCTGAGAGGTAGCATAAGGTCATAGAAAACTATGGACAATATTTCCGGCATGAAGTTCGCTTTGCTCTGTCTTTTAAATTAAATGAATGTGCTGATAACCTGTAAAAATTAAGTCATACACTTTATAAGTGTATGGAGTAAAGGTAGACAGATGGGAACACTGTCTCAAGCGAGGATCGCCCGAACTAACCTGCAGCTTGATGAAGTGCTGTGCAAAAGGCTCCATGCGCACGAGGTACGAGGCCACAATCATGGCGGAGGAGTAGTGTGTCCCGTAGTGGTACGGTGGGGTCTCGCCAGTCGGATCGTCCCACTCCTTAAAGCGACGCTGGAACTGGGCCAGCCGGCCAGGAGTTTGAGCACCCATGGGCTTTGTAAAATCGCGAAAAGTGGAGGGACGCGTGAGGTCGAGTTCAAGGGAGGTGTAGTCAGCCACCACCCAAGGGAACACAGGGTACTGCATGAGATCATTGTAGGAGCGACCAGCTTGAGTGTTCAAGTACATCAAGTACTGAAAATTGCTTATTTCGCCACGCTACAATAAAAATGGATTAGCGACTGTTACCTCGTCACACGTAAGCTTTACAAAGCTACAAAACTAAATGATGCGGCATACATGTTGGAAGAAATTTGCAATAAACGCATTAGTCTGGACAATTCAATACGGTCGCGTATGCCAAAAATTGTAATATGGAGTTATTATTACAACGTTATTCTAATCACGAATTGTGTCGCTATTTTACCCAGTTGATGAATGGACGAATAAAGGTGGATCAAACACTTAAGTACCAAAGCCACAATTAAGGTGAAATGTGAACAACTCACCACCCAACGTTGAGTCACTGTCTTTTCTCCAAGCAAGCTACTCAGTAAATGTGAGGTGCTGTGAAAAAAAAGCAATAAAAGTGACGATATCCTCTGAGGTGGAAGAGGCAAAAGAGCAGCACTAAAATTCGGTCGCATTCTGTGAAACAGGATATCCTAAACCCGATAAAATTTGGTTCGAAAACATGGAGTAAGACAGACAAACTTTAATCCACCGAGCAGCATGATTGGAGTCACATCGGAAAAGCATCAGGCCTAGCTCTCTACCAAAAACCTCAGCTGAGGAAAAACACTTTAAACTCGGGCGTGACTTTTCACATGAACCGATAAGTCCACCAAATAACTGACGAGGTAAAATAAGGCGTTTAATTATACTTTTAGGTTTTCTAATCTAGTTAACAAGGAACTAAAAATACTTACGTTCTCGCCGAGTAAAGAGACGTGAAGCGATTCGTATTGATGGCTGAAGAAGCCGATGTGAAACTAAAAGTCAAGATTTGCGTGATGTTCGGTATTCCCTAGTACTCAACCAATACGTTATAGCCACAAATTTGACCATGACGTTTAGCGATTGTGAAGTCAATTTACATTGATTCGGATGTAAGAATGAAATCACTAATCAGGAATACCAGTTGAAACCAACTTATAGAAGGAGTTGTGTTCGTAATCACTCAGGTCACCAGATCTCTCAGGTGTTAATAATACCTTAGTTGCTAAAATATTTCGAGAAACAATGATCCTCAACATTTCAGTAACTGCCTCAACTACACTCTGCCCGATGTTCGAACTCCCTGCATTCCCACTTCAAAGTTGGATTTTTCGTTCGATTTCCCTTTTTTTGACAGCCCTCCCTTATATGTCATTAAAATTACAACCAATTTACGGATTTATTTGACCTCTTCCCTCTCACGAATTATGTACTAGTAAAGTGCATCCCCTAATTCAGTTTCTTTCCGTTAACTGTGCTTAGAAATTGCAAATTATCTTGCATTAAATTCAATATCGGCGGTGTGCACAGCAGTGATTGAAGCAGCCAATTAAAAACTAACCATTCAAAGACTTTGCCCTGGAAATCCTTGGCGAAGACGAGGAGGAAATTCCGACCATCGGCGTTGAACACTTCCAATGCTGTCTGTTGAAGCAAATAACGGCGACGATGAACTTCGCGGATCTTATCGTAGGCAAACTTGAAGTATCTGAAGTTATTAAAACAATCACTAAGCCTTTAGTTGAATTCTATACTACACAAGTAAACACTAATAGTTAACATTTGTGGCAGTCCATAACCAATTTGAGGGTTCGCATTGATGCTTAGTGCACACAAAATACCCCACATTGCTATTGGTTAAATCGCTTGAGAAAAAAAACTAATGTTTTACTCGCGGTCACTTCTTAAAAAGAGATGAGAATGGGTAGCCACAAATGATATCGAAAGAGCACATAAGTGAAATGCTTACTGATTGCCCAAAATCTGATCCACTGCCCCAGAGCTGGCCAGGTCTGAGGTGTAGGACAACCCGTGACTCTGTTTTCTCAAAATTTTGCTCCCCTCAGTGTGTGTTGCAGTGTCTGTGCCAGTGGGCACAATGGGTTTGTGCTGCATGCCCGGTGGCAACGCCTCGATGTTGACTATCTCGTGAGTGTTCATCAGGGTGTAACCATCTATAACGTAAAAGTGATCCTTCCCAAAAAGCAGCAGTCCCTCATGTACATCAAGACCGCAGATTCGGGCACATCGGTAGATGGAAGACAGGCTCTCGCCCGGCTCGAGAAGACGCATGAAGGCGATGTGGCCCGTGAGCTGATCGAGAGCTGTTGAGCTGCCTTCGGAAGAAGGCTTAGATGGAGCACGAGTGAGCGGCTGCTTTGTAGACTTGCCGCTTGCTGGGGGTGTGGGTGGTGGTAACGGCGCAGCAGGATCATCTGGACCGGGATCAAGGGACTCCTGGGAGGAATGGGGGCTGGTGTCGTTCTCTGTGTCCTCTTCGAGGGAAATCGCCGAAGTTGTTGAAGCATCGCAAAACGGGTCAGCGACGGTATCCGCGAAACTGGCAACACGAGACGCGACGATTTTGCTATCACGAAGTAGGCGGCTAGTACGAAGTAATGTATCTGCAAATTGAATAAACACCAGGTCTTGATGTTGAGGCTAACAAGTCTGGCGCCGACTGAACTATGACGGTAACTGCCATAGTAACTAACACACACACACGCACACCAGACTTGCAGACAAAAATTAGAGTTAGGGGGCTGGAATGGAAAAACCCAAATAGCGTAACGAGAGCGAATTACATAAGAAAGGCGAGATATCACTGTACCGTAATTCGGCATAATAGGATAAAAATAGTGAAAGTATTTAAATGCATTGGATATTATAGCAATGTGATAGATAATTTAAACTCAAAAATGAACCAATATATCACAACTTGCTAACGTGTGCATCAATTTAGAGCCCTACGGCAAAATCCCCTTTTCGGAGACGACAAACTCACCCTCAGATTCACCAATATCAGGAAAGGCCAAATCATCGCTGATGCAAACGTCATTACTAGCTGGCATTTGTGGGAGAGCTGACGCTTCCGTAGACGATTTAACCTCTTCTTTGGGCCTTATCAGAGCTTCGGGTCCTCGTAACAAGCGTCTCCTACGGTGACGAAACACGCAGCCTAGGCTTTGTGGTGGCCTGTAGCCTCGCTTCATTGCAGCAGAAGACATCTGTTCGTTACCGGGTTCCTGAAATGTTTGCGGTAGAGGAAATCAATATGAGAAGTGGCAGATTTAAAAAGTAGTTCCCCTGAAACACCAATGTGTACGCGGCTTGCCAACTACTGGAATTATTTAAAGGAGCGTTTGAGGGCAAAGGCAACCGTCCAGTTCCAGGCACTACGATGCCAAAGTCAAACTCAAACAGTGGCGCTGGTAGGGTCGTGAAGAGAACTACCGAGTGCTGGCCTTGAATGGGCATACATTTTGATCAAGTTTAGTTGGGAGTAAAAAAAGTAACTACTAGCGAGCAGGTCATCTGTATTGAGTCATTCAGATCATAAAAATACCACGAAAATATTATAAAAGTGTACTCGAAAAAAGATGGGTAAGCGATTAATTTTGTTTCCTTAGTCTATCTCAACTGGATAAAAATGCCTACATAGGTAAATATTTAATGCTGAAGGCCAGAAAATATGTCACCTAATTAAAAACTAAGGAATCTAATACTAAAAACTCAAATGAGGAGTGGTACCTCAGGAGCGGAAGAATTCGTGGTTTCCTCGTCGTTAGAGAGTCGGTTGATTGTGGGGTAGTGTCGGTAAAAGTTCGGATTGGGCAGCATTCGTTTGCGCATCCGGCAGGGCCCCTCAGTTGGGTCGAGCTCCCATCTAGCCAATTCGTCATCCGCGCACATGGGGCCCCAGATTGAACGCTCCTGAGTCAACTCGTCCTCCAATTTGTTCCACTCAATTTCGACCTGGCGGCAGAGGAAGGTTGTGTTCTACGAAGGAAGAGAAATACGGCACTAGAAGTTCAATCGGCTGGAGTATAAACCAGAAGCTCATGGGCTACATGGGTATTTTCGGAATGTATATCGGGAACTGCTTCACAAAGTTAGTCCCCCATCTTAGCTTAACGTCAAAACACATGTCATAAGCCAAATTAGGTATTGTTCAACTTACTCTTTCCTGACTTTGCTTGCTCCATTCTAGCGATTCAATGATGAGCGTGATAGGATTCTTCACGCGAGTACTGAGTCGCTACAAAAAAAATCACAAACGTAAATGGCACGGCAACATTGAGTAGATCAATTGAAATGCCGCACTGAATGACTAACCTTCAGCGTAGAAAAAGTAGTGGAGCGTTTGGTTAAAAGAGGTAGTCCAATGGGTATTCGAGGCACAAGAACCCATTCGGCATCGCTACAGCCACTGCTGACAGTATCTTTTGACACAGCACCGGTCCATTCACTATCTACGATGCTGAATTGTCGCCCCTGTTTACGCAGGGCAGCAGCTTTGGCTGAACTAACTTCAGTGACTGCTGAAATGCTTCCACTATTGCCGCTGGCGCTTGAGGCCATTCTCAGCACACTTGCACTCACTCGGCCGAGCTTCTTCGATATCCGATGTGAGAGACCACTTCCAGAACGCAGAATGTGGGGCGGTGATTGGTCTGTGGACGAAGTTGAAGGGGTTCCAGTGACCTTGTTGTTGGTGGACTCAAGTTGTCTTTCGATGGTGGAGGGCCCATACATTGAGAGAAGACCCCACTGCAGAGACGGACTAGATGCGGCACTTTGGGACACGATTCCGCCGCAACCGGCAGCCTCGGAGTCCACATACGCCGTCCATTTCATTATGCAGGGACCTTCGAGTGCACCTGCCCACTCAATCAAAGAGGGGATCGCTGCTAAGTGAGGGAGTTGAGAATCTGGTAGCAGAGCGACGAAAACCTAAGGGCGACAGAACGTTAATTCAAAATGAGATAAAATGGTACAACGATTGAGTGTCCTCAGCACAAGCTATACCCTGACAAAGACCATTTCAAAGTCACATACGTCTTAAATCATACGACTCCCTTTTCAACAAACCTATTCGAATGTGTGAAAAGCATCAAAGTAAGCCAATATTGTGTCCTCGGTGGTCGTAGCAAACCAAATCATTTTCGGAATCCTCCATTACTAAAACACATTTATCTTGAATCTTGAAACAAATTTGTCTGGTCACATACGGTTTTGATTCACAAGTTCAGATAACCAACCCTAAGGATCCGAAGACGACATCAGCATTGGGTAAAAATGATTAGGAGCGACAACGTATTGATTCTGATAGTCAAATTTCACCGATAGTACCTTTTGATTCCACATATAGCAGTGTTCCCAAAGCTTAAGGGCCAACCCTGACAACTGCTCGAATTCTTCTTGTTGTGCAGGCAAATCGTCATTCGCCAAGGGTTTTTCGTTTTCTTTCGGAACGCTCGCCGGAGGTGACCTCTCCTCCTCATCCGTCTCAAAGTCCTCCAAGTCAAACACGGTTCTATACAGACCCGTGTTGGGTGTTTCGACCTCCACCATTTCGTTGCGCACCGTGGATGGGTTGTAGGTGTCGTAGCCGGCCTCCGTCTGGTTTCTTTGGACGTGCTGAATCAAAAGGTGTGCCAGACACACTGGGAACTCAGTATCAGCTGAATTGAAAGAAGAGAAGACCAAGCCGTTCAATGGAGCCTCATCAGAGAGCAGCAACTGTAACATGGAAATTGCAAGCTTCTGGTCTTTCTGCTTCAGCACTGGACGAGACAGTTGGAAGAGAATAGAACGGTTGAGACTGCGATAGAGAGAGGCTCGGGACAGCGCAAGGCTAGGATCCGCTGCTTGTGAGGCGGCAAGATGTGATTGAATAAAGTAATGGCGCGGAGAGCCCAACTGTCTGGAATTCGCCTGAAGGTGCTGCTCGATCATGTTAATGAGCTGGGTTATAAAGTCGATTATTTCGCTTATGGGACCCAGGAAGCATCCCTGTTAAAGTAAGCAGGACGAAGAATATTAAGGTGCAATAACAAACAACTGACCCATTTCTAGGGTCACTTCGAAATCAAGAGGATCAGGAAGAAAAGACATAGTAGTGAGGAGCTAATACAATTTGTTAACATCCGCGTTTAAATATTTACGTGTTCAGAATGAACTTATGCTAACACCACGCAAGTGCCAAAAAGGCGCCAATGAGTGTCAAGAGACAACTTAGTTGTTAAAGAGTCAGAGTAGAAAATGCACAAAAAATATTTTAATAGGCGATTCAGGTTAAGTGGCTTGAGTTTGTCCTTAGATAAGTATCGCCTCTATTCTCAATTTCAAGTTAAAACGGCTGTCTGAGAGACAATACCTGCCAGAGTTTATCGACTAGGCGACAGGCAAAATAAGCAAGGTTCTGCGGAACGTGTTGAGCGTGGCCTTTGGAAGGAAGGAGAAGGCAGGAGTCTGCGAGGAGATCCTTCGCCAGAATGTACTCCATCAGATTCCGCATCAAAACCGTCTGAATCTCGTGCTGCTGCTTTGAGGAACAGCTACTGTGTTCTGACTAAAAAAAGAAAATTCTAGGTAATAGAATGGCGAAAGTGATGGACACATTATATAGGTCATTGAATTAAGCAAAATATGCACGGAGATGAGCAATCGGATACAGACAAGGCAGTTGGGCATAAAACCCCCGAATTTCTGAAGTGTCAACTAAGCAAATAAATCCGATCGTTTAATTTGCTGGCAAAAAGTTTCACAGGGGTTTGATTACAAGATACCTACTCATGGAAGTACATTATTAGCAGGATGTAATCTTTAAGAATTACGTTTACATTTTAATTGATTACGACCCAGTGTGAAACCGACTCAATCGATTACCGTTTCGTCTGTTTCCTGTGTAAAAAGGGTACCTTTCGTATTAATAAATTTCGGACCATGCTGTGCATTTAAAAACCTCATTTAGGCTGCACGTTTTCTGCATTACAGAGATACAAATAGCATCGACACCCCAGAGCGCAGATAAGCCGTCAGCATGTCTACCAGTAAGGATGGACTAGGTGCTGGAACAACAGAGTTGAAGGACGAGTTGGGAAGTGGGAAATGCTGTTGTGATTGGCAAAGAGAAATTCGTCATTTACCTCCAAAACCGTATCGACAACATGGACCGGGCGGTGAGCGGTCGGAGGGAGAGAAAAACTGTCCACAACAATCGTCCGCAGAAAACTCAACAACAGTTCATCTAGCCGCCGCCAAGAAATTTCACAGGCTCCATCTTCATGCCTCACCTAAAATAAAAGATTTGCCATTCAGCACTTTTACTCGCCCAACAGCTGTGCACATTGCCACCAGACTTACTTCGGCAGTACCCTTGGCTTGGGCCGATTGACAGACACCGCTAATGACAAGTAAATCAATCAAGCCTGTAAGAAACTCAGGAGACAGACAGATCCGCTGGAAACCAAAGTTTGATTGATAGAGGTATGAAAAAAGCTGCAGTAAGACAACTGGCATGTGCTGAGCCGCAACCGAGGGCGATGATGTAGACTAAAAACGATGAAAATTTGTGTGCAATCTTAACGAAGGAAGTTGCGTTACGTATGCACAATCGTGTGTAGACTTAGAGGTCCTGAAAGTGCAGAAACTAACAATAAAAATGATCTACCAGCAGTCTGGATGAAACTTACAGAGCGCATTAGAGCTGATAGGATCGAGATGATGACAGTAGCCGCTTCAGGGCAGGCTACCGAGTCAAAGAGGTTGGAATTGTGCATCGTCTGAGGCATTGGCGGGGCGGCGTTTGGCTCGGTGGCCGCTGCAAAATCCGCGACGCCGTTAACCACGCCTGCTGGATGCAGAGGAATTTTCTGAGCAAAGAAGCTAGCCGGGGGAACGGTTTCTTCGCAGAGACCATATTCATTATTTTGTGAAGATATCACATGGGCCAAATAGTTGTAGAGATCATCAAAAGAAAACTATAATGTACAAATTTCAAGTTGATAAGTACGTAGAAAGCATGGGATAGATGTTTAATGTGAGGATAACCAAACGAAAAACTTACTGTTGAGGTAGGAATGTAGGGGGTTCGAACGCCCAACAGAAGATTTATCAACATGACATAAACCTCGGGCATTCCGGCATTATTCACCAGCAGGGCCGAGAGAGCGAGAAATCCACTGATTTTGCCCATTTGTTCATCATCCAAACGGGGTTTGGGCGCATCCGAAGCGGATGTGAATCGAGTTGCAGCTAAACAGGGTAAATAGAGACGTCACTTAAAAGGTGAATAATTTGTGAAAAACGCCAGGTTATATCTGGGTCTACCCAATGGCAACGCCCCGCTGCTGCTTCCCAACTGCCCGCGCTTCGTGGAGGCGCGCATCCATCCGGCGGCGAAGAGGTCCTTCCGAAAGGCAACCAGACCTGGAAACTCCGCCGAATCGAACTCGGCCTCATTCAAATCACTCCCAGTAAATGTCAGAAGGGCCAAACAAAACGCTCTTAATGCGTGCGCCGCACTGGCATCGTGGACTGACGGCGAGAGGAAGAGGTGGAACCAGTCGAATCCCAGGACGGTCACTAATTGATTGCACAACCTAAAATGGTGGGCGACACAGCGGATATAGCTCCCAAGTTGTAAATGATCAAAAACGATTAAAATGTCTAGATGAACTTACTTGGCACAAATAGATACCGGTTGTGAAAGAAGATGCGAAAGAAGCAGAAAACACTGGTTTCTCACGTAGATAAGGATTGAACGTTCTGGCGAGAGAAACAATTATGTTAAAGCAATACTCAGCATGACCAATTCAAGAAACTGACTTGTGTCTAGCGAATCAAAAAAGTTTGCAGAGCAATTTTACAAAGAGGTAGCGAAAAATTCGGTGCGGTTGTAACTTTTAGTACGTCCACTTGGCCACAAATGACCCGCAAATACCAAAGCAAACAACAAATGACAAAACGAATTTCGTTTACGCCTTGACAGTCCATACCAAAAAGACCACGCTATGCTTGGAATTATACCTTGAGCTGTAGATGATTCAGTTTCGTCAGGAATCGGACAATTTCCATCACTTTTAGATTGCTGCCTTGGTAGCGTCCAAATCAGCAGTTGGTTAAACCTACAAAAAAATCAAAAATGTCTATTGGTAAGTGGGAACAAAAGGCAATGACGCGTCAATTCAGTAGATACGTCGTGATCTTAACGTGTGAGGCTAAGAGCAAGTTGTAATTAAGACTATGAATCCATTCCACAGCATCTACATCTTTCGAACTGTCGCCACCGTAGTTTATTGCTAAAGAATTACCAAAGTGTGAAAATTGATGGCATTCTAATGCAAAAAATTAAGTTCAGATCAGTGATACGCCCCGTTTAAGGCGACCTAAGGACGGGAGCCTGTTGCCGATGGAAGATTTCGCATTCAATGGCCAAAGAACTAAGCCAACAACGCAAAAACAACAAAAATAACATACGAAAAGTTCTTACAATTGAATTACACCATACGTCGGGTTAGAGAGGAGAATAATGCCAAAGACTCGCATAGAGGCCACCACCAATTCGACAAAGTGAACAGCTTCTGCTTCAGCACCAGCTACTTCAGTGACGGCATCAATGAGCAAAAATGTGAGGTTGTCAAAGAGGCAATTACTGAACACCTTGGCCACCTTCTCCACCAACGCTTTAGAGGCCTCAGGAGTCAGGTTCGACGACTTTACCTAAATACACATGAGGAAACTTTTGTGATCTTGACAGTTTATTTAAAAAAAAAAGGAGTATTTAAGGGATATTTGAGACAAAACTATGCTAGGCTTTGGCACCACAACGGCTACTTAAAGGTCAAATAATCGCTTTCCATTGATTTAGCGGGGAGGTGTCACTGCACATACAAGACAAGTCACGTGTTGGGTTCGAAAAATAAAGCGGCATAATTACCTCATCAGGCTCATTGGAGGACTTCTGATTTTGGTGGTCAGAATGACCTCCACAAAGCCACGTGAAATGGGAGGCCAAGCGATCTAGGAGATAGGCGACCAGACCATAGTCGGCCGATTCACTTTCACTACCAAGAGGCCTGCGCAGCCACAACTTCAAATCGCACAGGAGATCACGGAAAACATCTTCATTCACCCTGTACTTGTTACCCAAATCTGCAGATACGTGCACCTGGGTGAAAATGGAAGCAGAGACGCACTAAGATTGAGAAACATTCGACTACGTTCCTCCGGATAGCAGAATGCTCGTACAGTGACACCCAATTACTTCTATTATTTACTACTTTGCCACCATGTTCCATCCAATTATCTGAAAAGTTAGTTTAACAACCTTAAAAGGCACAACCTTAAAAAGCATAAACGTCTGCTCTCAAAGTGAACGCGTGCGCACGTGCCCTAGATCTGCAAAAACGTTCATTGTTGATTGGCAAGCGTGACACAAACACGCATGTGAAAACGTGACGCACGATACGGGTAAATCCCAGACTGCTTGGATGAAGGTTCTACGTTCGGTCCCTGAATGGAGTACTTGCTCGCATGTGCCCTCGGCGCTACCGTCTCCATTGGGTTGGGTTCGCATGCGGCCAAGAGAGATAAGTCAACGCAAATTGAACAGTTTCGGGCTGTGTGGTGGCGGTTAACAACCACACGGTGAAATCACCGCTACACTTGTTGCGCGCGATCAACCCCTAGTGTGACTCGTCTGTTACTTATTCGTGCGTGTTCACACAGAGAGAAGGTGGGAACCAGTCGCAGACACGTGCGCACGCACGTTCGGAGAAATGTGGGCGCTCGGCGTAATTGATGCGAATAATGCAGGTCGACATCGCTAAATGACGATAACGATGGATACCTTAACAAATAATGCACATGGAGGAAGAAGTTTATAATTACTCTAGAACTCGATAGACCCATTCAATTTGTTACGTTTAGTTGAAAAAGGGTAGAAAAATCATCGCTGGACAAGATCCGACTGTGTCCCAGGGATTTACCATGGCTTCATGGGGTAGTCTGGGAGCCATTTGGTAGAAGGCATGCTTCATGACAAGGTCAACAACGTCCTCATTTAGGAATTGACTTTTCCTTCGAAGAATCCCGGCCATTAACTAAAAATTAATAATGGACTTTTTTAATGACGGATTGGTGAGATACTAGAAAAAAGAAAATTAATGAAGAGCAAAACCTCCCCTAGAAAACCCGCAAAACTGTAAGTGAACATGTTCCTCTACATAATAGCAAATGGATGGAAAGTTGGGAAACGTGACAGACTTCCCATACCACAACCGCGTTGCCAGTCAGGTAGGAATCAAACCCATGGGTTGGATTACATACGCTCATAACTTTTTAAGACAATGGTCCACAATCATTAAAGAATGTAGGTAAATAACAGCAAAAACAACTAATCAACTTTCCTAAACGTGAGACGATTTTGCAACTACCTCGTAGCCCTGAATGCGATGAATCTCAGAAGCAATGACTTGGCTCGAGTCAATTACACAAAAGACCGCCTGCAGCGACTTCTTCAATTGTTCTTGGGAGTTCGAGAGTGCGAGGAAGGAGAGTAGGAGACCAGCGGGGTTGGCAACAGACGCTAGGAGGGAGGCTAGTGGGCGAGGGCTGAAAACCCGCACACCCTGGTAGCCCACCAGCACAGCGCCGAGGGAGCGCGAGGGACCGGCCAACTGGGCGGCGGTGTTGCGCAAAATGCGGATGGGTGTCAGATTCTCACGCAGTGGCATGTGCAGCTGCAAAACAAATAATGCGCACACACACACACACAATATTCACATGAAAACGAGGTTGATAGGAATCACCGCTTGCAACTTTAGTCACTTGTCGAGTCAATTGGGTGATTTTAATCAGTACTTTGTTTGCGTTGCTGCAAACATTCAACAGCAACAGGATAATGATCGGTTTTGATGATAAAAGTATTTACAAATACACAGAACTCAAGAGAATGACCGAATGAATTCCATAAATAACGAATGCTGCCAGACCAAACTGATTGGAAATTTTGGTCTCTATTTTCAATGAGGACCATTTGTAAAGATGAGTTAACAACACCACCTGCTAAGTAACAATCTAACTCCATTGTGATACAAACACAATGCATTTAGAAAGAGATTAACGATTAACGTCATTCCTTTAAGTGCTTAGACACGTCGAATAGCACAAAGCAAATGATTACCACTTTGGAAATCAGTGCCGCATCTGTGGCGTTGTAAACACGACGAATACGATTGATTGTGAGTGTCACTGAGGTACTTCCACACGCGGCGAAACTCAATTTCTCTTCCGAGAACAGCGGCTGGAGGATATTTTTGCCATCTAAAAGGAATAAGGCTGGTCTGTTCAAAGTTCATAACTCAAGGCATCCCACCAAGTCACGCGCACGAGGTCGTGAAATTTCCCGGCATAGCTTCGATAGAGCAATTTAAAATGATTTTATCTGTATGAAAATGTGCCAGACCCTCTTCGTCTATGTTTATGGGTCTTGATCATCTGCGAATTAATAAAAATTGCGCGCGCACACTATTTACTGCTTCTAATATATGCTCAGAACACGAGGTATCCTAACAAATTAACTTGTTTTGAAATTGTAGACCTAATACTTGGGCCGTGCGCTAAACACCATTTTGAAAAGCCTTGCATGTGTAAGACTGCGAAGTTACACACACACACACACTAAGGCTAGAGCCACAGGTGGGGAATGAAAGAGACCTCAAAATTGACGTGGAAAAGTAGAGGCAACACAAAGTGGCACACGAAAGACCTTGAGACCTACCAGGGGGCACCGGGGGGGCCTGGAGGCTGCCGACGTACTCTGGCCCGAGGGCGGCAATCAAGGCGACCTGCCCGGCCGTGAGTGGCTCCTCGATCAGCTGGAAGGGGCCCTGGCGCCAGCGCAGACTGCAGGGCTGGTACTGGCAGGGCGCGGTGCCCACGAACGCGCAAACCGAAGTGCTGATTGAGCCCGAACCCGGTGGGGCAAATAAGATCTACCAGTGTAGGAAGTCAAACGTTCAGAAATCTGGTGCTGGGCATAGCACAGGCATAAACTAAGACGATGCATCAGAGGGTCCGAAAATTTGTCCCAGAAGGAGCGACGAACGTACAACTTAAATCCAAGTAAAGCTAATATTGCAGGTGTAGTTTCAGTGACTGCTGAATTTTTTTTATAAAAGTCTGGCAGATGTCAGTCCTGTTGGATACGTTAAAGACACACCAGCATCGCCTATGTAAGCCATTAATGCAGATAATTAGATGATTTGTAAAGGCAGTTCCACCGAAAGAATACTATGGCACGAAGATCAACGCTTATGAACCTGTATAATTTGAAAGGTATCTGGATTTTGCAACGGGTTTCGGGGGAGACAATGTTACATCGAAGGGTTCAGAGGGTGGAAAATACTTAACGCGAAGTAAGTTGTTTTTCTTTTCATTAAAAGGAAGAAAAATGACGTGAATTCTGGTGTTAGCAACGCCCCTCGGAGGTCATTTCTGATTGACAAAAACTAAGCAATAAAAGATCGACAGCATCGTAAAGAAGTCTTGTGGCAGTGCGAAAAACAGCACCCAGCGCTCATGAAAGCTGGGCACAAATGAGAGAAGCTGATTGGGAAATTGTAAGGTTGTTTGCAAATGAGATAAATCATCGGCTCAAAAGAAAAGAACCATTAAAATTGGGGAATATTCGCAGTCCACGCAATTCAAGTCAGTGGTAGGTAATTTGTCAGAATTTATGCATACAATTCCGAGTCCAGCACATTACTGCCAGTAAAGTTCCGTAAGTGCATAGATTTCTCTGGTTTCGGATCAGTATTACTGAGAATTAGACACTAGAAGTACACGACTACAATAAGTATCCTAATAATTAGCGTAGGAGACGAGCAGGAAAATCACGTGGTAGTTTATCAGGATATTTTAGGTTTAACTGACACATTTTTGTCTGTCAAAAAGCCTGCACTACACTTCAAGCGCCTTTACTATCGCAGTTTACGGCGAACAGTCTTAGCACCCACTTTGTTGACTTCGCCACTGTTTCACGCTGTTTATTTTTCGAGGTTAAACACTTGCTTTTATAACAGCTACCAACTTGCTTCGCAACAGCTTGTATCCAGGTTAATGTCGCCTCTATTGCCGCAGTTTACAGAGAACACTGGGGTTGGTATTCGAGTATAACAAGTTACCTGACCTTTTTTTCTACATACGACCTTGACATGAATGAAAGGTGCTTCAAAATTGAGAAAAAAAACAAGTGTATAAATGAAAACCAATCGAAAACGCGTAATGGTGTGCAGAGCAGAATCCGGTCGGTAGGTTAATTAGGTGCGTCAATTATTATTGGTCGATTGTCTAACTTGATGTCCGTGGACGAATGCGGGACTACCATCATATTATGCAAGATCTAGTAATAGCGCCGCTAATTGTTCGCCTTAAATGCTACAATCATCGGTCTGCAACACAGCAAAACAGTACGGAGATTAATGATTTTATAACGACATCCCTGTAGCCCAAAGAGAACCCGAAGTTTAACCATCCAGCGATGTGAAAACGCGTTTCGATGCCAAGGTTTTATGAAACTAAATGTAGGTACAGTATTTCGTAATTAACGACGAAAGAAAACCTTCTTTTCTGGAAGTAATTAAAAATTCTGCGTGCGCATGTCTATTTGCAGTTACACACAATGGCTCTGGTGAGAACACGCGATACATGAGGAATTAAATTACGACGAAAGTCTGGTTACACACTGTATCGAGAAAATTTCCGGCAATTGGAAGGATTAAGACAATAGCAAGTTGGTACACGTCCTACCGAAAGCCGTTTTCATTCATGCATGCATTGGATACACATAAATAATAAAAAATCGCAACTTGTTCAAAACCTTAGGAGCAGCAATGCATAGGGTGTCGAAAAAGTGGGTTGAGGCATTGAAATTAATTTAAAGAATCACGCAGCCAAACCTGTTGAGTTATCAAGCATGCGAACTTGCAAAGTTGGCGAAAAATCGGTGTAGTAGAGGGACCTGTGAGTGCCAAGGCTGAACAAACAAGGAAACGCAAAGCCAATCTAGCGATAACTTCTACTACCAACTTAAAGGAAAAACTTAAAAATGATTTAACATAACCATTAGAAGTTAGAATGGATAACTAATCGAGTTAAAAGCCAATCATGTCGAGGCTAGGCCCGACGACATACACAACTTCACGTGTCTATAAGGAAGCACAAGGCAGACAGAAACAGCCAGTCTGTGTAAATTAAATCACTCCTGTGGAAAAATCTGTGCCAGAAATCGCAATGAGCAAACCTTTTGTGTGCTAATCAGTGAACCGTCTAGGTAGAGAGTGCACAGGCTGTTCCTCAAAACACTGGCGCGGGCAAACACAAGGACGACATGGCGCCAGGTGTTGACAGACCATGGCGATGAGTCGGAGAGACGTGGGTTCTGGGAAGGAAAAACAATCGTATAGACATCCTCACCAAGCAGGTCGCTTGCATCCAATGACCGCGTCTTGGAGAGCTGCTGACTTCCGTCTACAAAACAGGAAACAGGTGGCATTATGGCAAAAAAAAACTTACCCATATATTGTGCCCGTTCTGGCCGTGAATATATTGTCTCCGACAGCTAAATGTGACTAAATTGAAGCCAGTTGCTCAAGCCTACACCGGGCTTTAAAGCTTATGAGGACAACGTTATTTGATTCTTAAAACGGAAACGTAAAAAGAACGGCAAAGACCTGATTTAGGTACAATAAAGTAACAAAACAAGGGCGATTTGTCGTTTGCATGGAATTGCTGTTAGGAAGATCCCAGATTGGTGTTTACTTGTCCGAAACAGGCAGGGCAAGAAAAATGAGAGAACCGTAAACGCAACATGCCTGTTGGGAGTAATCGCTCTTTGGAAGAGACGATGAGTGACTTGGAGACAGGATCAAGGTGGATTGACAGACAGATGAGCTGTTCGTTGGTGCCCTGAACTCCCCTGAAGACTGTCAGTAGACGCACTGGATGGGGGATCTGGCAGCCCGAGAGTTGCGTTGAACTTGTTCCAAAATCGTCAACGCACACCCAGGAGCAGAAGGTGATGCCACCGGTTGGCGGAAAAACCCGTTCACCTAACATTTGTGAAATGACAGGATGTTGTTAAAAAGTTGCTGAACACTGTGAAGGTTAGCCAAAAGGGATTTTGGGAACAGTAACAGTTGAATTTCGCAGACAGTAAAACCCCATAATTAAATGAAGGTAGGCACTAGGGGCTTCATCTATGCTGCAGCTCTGTGCGAATTTCTGAAGGACTCAATGGTCCTACGTATTTTTAAACGGTCACTTTAGTCAAAACTACATGAATAACAAACACATCAATTTCTTGCTTTTGTGGCTCACAAAAGACTTTGTCGATGTGCACTTGAAAATTACATCACGGTATAGGTTTTACAAAATCATGAGCCCGCATTTTAAAAATTCCGGTATCCGTGAAGGCAATGATGGGCGTACGAACCTCAGCTAGTGCCTTTCCATAGAGCCACACGAAGTTTGTTATTTGTATACACCACTTAGGGAACGGATCTCATTCACGACGGCATGAGATTTCCTGAACTATAAAGGGCTCATGTGTGATGCAATTGCCCAAATGTTTGTGTGGAAGGCTAGAATATTAACGCACATGTGTAACCTGAAACGACATCAAATGGACGCACTTTGCTTCACAGTTATACCCCAAAATGAGCTCATAAACACTTAGAGTAGATGGTGTTGAAAGCACAGACGAACTGAGTGACGTTCAGTTTGGAGGAAACCTACCAACTCCAACGCCTCCGACACACGTGGAGCTCCCACCAGAGAGGGCCCCATCGCCAACAAACGAGACAAACGAACCACCACCACCCCCGGGTGTCGCCGTGACACGTTGTGGAGCGAGGGAAGGCAGGAACAGACACCCGAATCCCTCAACCGACATGTCGAATTCGACAAAAGAGGGTAGGCAAGACTCGGCACGAGGACCAGCAGCACCACTTCGCTGGCGCCAGACTGTCTCCTCCAGGAGATCGGTGATCGATGAGAGGGCAGGCAATTCTAAGAAGGGGGCCTCTTCGGCTTTACTACACGGACTGGCACCCTGGTTTACTTGGTCTGTGGTACAAAGACCGCATGACGATTGCTGGTGGTTGCAAAACTGACCAGATAGCCTTAGAAAGTCCCTAGGGAACAAAAAAGTCAGATAAGACATCTCGAGATGTTTGAGGTTATTCATTTCGACAAAACCGGGCTTGACGGCGCTCAACCAGTTAGCAGCTTGATTTTAAAAGTAAATTAATTTTATAATTCATCGATTGGAGGAACAGAAAAAAAGGTGTATTGTCGAGAATTTGAAGACAAATTTTTGAGCGGTCAAACATAAAACGCAAAAAAGTGCTTGGGGAGGCAACTGCCACTTTGACTGCAATTAAAACGACCGGGAGAAAGACTAGGCAATTTTAAAAGCCCCTGGGTTGATGAAACGTGGGAGCTGGATAGCCCGTGAGCCTCAGTACTATTTCGTGATGAAATCCATTACCTGCATTGAATGCAATAATACGACAATGGGTGTGTTAAACTCATAGGCAAAAGGTCTCCGTATCAGCAAACTAATGAACACAGGAGCATACCGGAAGTCCTTCGGTGTGAGGGAGTGGGCTGTCAGCAAACCGAAGAGCGTTGCTACAGGTGCATGAAGGGGGTGATCGACCCAGGCGAGAGCAGGCCGAAAATGAGTGAGCAAGGCCCTAGGCATCCCAGTGATCCCAAGACCGGAGTCGGTAATGCTTCCACCACAGAGGAGCTGTTGGCTTCTCTCCGACTCTACCATCGCTCTGAGTAATTCCAGACTGAAGTACTGCAAATAGATAAAAACCACTTCGTTTTTGACGGAATATCATACTAAGGCTTCGTGGGGGAACGAATGATTTTTAGGTTTGCACGAATGGAAAACCCCAGAGGTTCATGGCAATTCGGCAGTTGGGGTACAGCTAGGAAACCTCGTCAATTGATTATCTTCCTAATACCAAAACTGCGGTCTGAAAGGCATAACACGAAAGTCAGTGAGAGAAATGTGTTAAGTTATTCGCACTAAGTTGAGTAATAGCAAATATGGTGGCTAATTTTGCGCAAGAGAACTTCACTGCAGTGGCTGAAACTAACCTGGAAAGTGAACGTGGCAGCATGATAACCCGGCACTTGGATTACAGCCGGTATAAGCCGGAGTATCACTAAGATTGCTCCGGTGTGCACCAAAGAGGGGGGCGAAGCAAAGAGGCGACCTTCACTGCCTCCTCTGGCTTCACCCGTTGGAGGGGTATCAGGTGACGCAACAGTCGTGGGTTGCTGCGGTTTCAATGACGTTCTACAAGCGGAGATAACTTCTACATAGTAGCGAAAATGCGAAACACCTATGCTACGCCACAGCAATTCAGCTTGCCCAAAAATCAATTTACCTGTCGAATTCATCAATTGCCATCCCAATAAGATAGCGAAAAATCAAACAGGCGTCCAGCAGCGCCACTGGTATGTCACCAAACTGTTCTAATTTCACCTCCTCTAAAGCACCAGGTTGCATAAAGGCTACGCGGATTTTGTCAAGCAGGGTATGATCAATAGCGGGGGGTGTTTCACTCAGGAAGTCACTATTCGACGATACAGCAGTGTCATTTGATGACGCCTGGCACTGGAGACCCTGGTTACTCGTAGGTGAGGCGAAAATGACGGTCTCCTTTGTAAAACAGCCAAGAAGTCGGAGGGTCTGCTCCAGACTCTCGAATTGCAACTAAAAAAATAATAACGCGTAAGATCGACAGAGTGATTTTTATGCTGTTCACCTTACAATGACATACTGCCCCTGTTGACCCATATCAGGAAACCCAAATTCTCTTTCGACATGCGTCCATACACGCCTCCAATCGATTGGTGGACTTTGGTTGGTTGGTCGAATGTGTGCAAGACGTGAGCCCGATCATTAAGGAATTAGTGTAGTGGTGGCGGTGGTGGTATTTCTTTCAAGTTTATCACAGCACCTTACAACTTCTTTAACGTAAGGAAAAACAACAAACAACCAAAAAGGCAATTGTTCCGTCTTCGATGAGGACAACAAAAAACACCTCAAAGGTCTCAAACAGATGCGAATTGAAAATGACTTGGGATGAAACCGAAAAGGGTACTGAAATCGCTTCGACAAAATTATGTCAGCCACAATTGGAAAGAAGAAATGTAACGTTGTTCCCCGATTTCACCACTCAGAGAATACGTGCTACGTATTAAAGGGAGAAGGAGCTAAAGGAAAAAGCGAATTCACGAAACACAATCGACTGGCGAAAATGTCGGGCACGAAATGAAAAGGCTAACCAGGACCGAAGGTCAAATTGTTTGTCATTGTTGCTAAAAATACCACTAATATTAGCCTATTATTGGGAGATTTGGAAATATGAAGCTTTATATTTCAGACAGCATTATAATCCAGTAGCTATTATTGTAAAAAAGATTGCCAATAGAATGGCAAGTAGTATCCAAGTCTCTGACTTCAGACATTTGAAGGTGGCGAGAAGGATTTGATCAGAGATAAGCAGATTTTTCGAAGGGTGCTTAACGTAACTCGAGAAAGTTGGCATATTCTAGAGAAGCTTTAATGGATACCAATTATAGTGACAGATGATTGGTGCAGGTAATGTTGAGGATGAAGACGTTCGGGAAAATCCACGGAGCTTTGCCATGCGACCTCGGTAGCACAACGCAAACACCTGCCAACAAATCTATTTAAATTAGACCAGATTTACTCCTGACGTTGGTAAAAGGCTAGTGACTTCAAAAAATAACCTCGAATGCATGTAATAGCGAATTTATAAACTGGATGACAACGAATGTTCGCCAGGGATTTGCTAAGACTGCACTGGCAAAAAACGGTGTTGAGAAAACGCAACTTACCTCCGAAGCGAAATGCTTTGCGCTCGCTGGCTCAAACTTCATTGCGACGGTGATGACGGCGAAGATGCCTTTGATTAGTAGAAGCAACCGCTGTTTCTTGGCGGGGTCGACGACTGGCTTTTGTTGAGCGTCGCCGGCCGCCTTGTCGTCGGGTGACAAACACCCGTTCAGGAGTACCAGTTGATTAATCATGCGAATGAAGCCATTGCATTTGCGAAAAAGAGTTCTGCACCGATGCGAGTCCCTCAGAACGTTGCACAGTAGGCACATTATCTAGGCGGAATGGATTTGCCAATAATGTCAAATAATAGGTAAATAAAGTATGTATTAACCCATCTTTAAATACATCGTTTGTAGACTATTCTTAAATGTCAAAGGTCAGGAGAAACAATGAGGCACAAGCCACCACCAAGATGCACAAATTAGAAAGGAAAAATGACAAGTTTGAAGCTGGGATATTTTAAATGTAAACTATTGAGTGCGAGGGGATGTGCTGCTAAACACAATCAGCTTGCAACACCGTCTGGTAACTCACCTTAACACAAGCTTACACTGCTCTTTAACGGATATTTTTACGAGTTTATAAGGTGATGCGTGTACCTCTTAGTAGCTAAGGCGAAATTTCTATCCATCGGATCCTGTTTATGAGGCTTACCTCGAAGCGAAGGCCAATATCAGCAGAGGGCAAAACGTCTAGGAGACCAAGAAGTTGGTCTTCCGAAGGCGTAACGACGAACACTTCGTAAAGAAGAGCCAAAGCATGCTTGATTACTTTGATCGGCACGGATGATGCAGGAAGGAGCCTTGTGAGCAGACAATGGATGCCCTTCAGATTGGAGATAATGGCTACATCAGGGTTGGATTGAGAAACGGTCGCCGCAAGAAGACGCAGAATTGTGATAAGGAGGTCGGTGAGACGAGCCTCTGCATCGTTAATGGATGCCCCATTGTCTCCAAATATATCATAGCTCGATGGTCTGTGGTCCTTGGGTGGCTCAGTCGAGACTTGAGAAAAATTTAAGGCAATTTTCAATTGAAATATTGCAGAGGCGTGTTAAATTAGCTGAGAGATCAAGGACGCTTTGTGCAAATAAACTATGACTAATGGACAGAAATAATTTGTTAATATATGCTGCTACTGCTTGTATCAAGGCGTGAAAGACAGTCCCTCAGAAGACCTTTGTTTAAATTGATTACAAAACCGTTGCCACTTATACACTATTTTGATTGGTTATTTGAGTCCAAGGAAAAAATAGCAGCCATGCGTTTAACGAGTGAAGGTGGTTGTTTTCGTACTGCGGGTGCCATGACAGACGGAAAACAAGACAAAACGCCAGTCGACTCAGCCGCCATTGGAGTGGCAAATGTTTCTGGGTAGACGGTTATCTTTGAAAAGTTACGGAGCGATTAGTCGCCAAAAAGTCAATTCTGTGAGTGAAATCTTGCGATAAGGACCCAGACTTAGACGGTTGAATCGCCGCTACAGGATAACACTTAATCGGGAATGTTGGTTGCTTGAAATTCCGCCCATACAATTTTAATCGTCGCCCATACAATCTGTAGATTAGAACGCGCCAATGTAGACCAGATTGAGAAGGGATGCCACACAGCAGTCACCATCAGACGGTCCAACTCTATTGTGTTGCTGTCGGTGTGTGTGTGCATGCAATTTGGGGGGTACGAACAAACGGTGAATGCTCAGATGAGCCCGCGAAAGCGATGAAGATGCTGAAAAAAGAGGGGTGATTTGGACACAGGGAAGAGGTGTCTCGTCATTCATGTCCATCAACTCTGTCGTCGACATCTCTAACACACAGTCCAACTTTTCACAGCGTGACCCTCAGTCATGCCGAACCGTCTGCCCATACACTGTTGTGAATCGTGTTTATTAAACCCCTTAATCCGATCGCTTCGCCTCCGATACAAGGCTCCCCTTCTCGCAGAATGGCGACAGCCGCGCAAATCCTCAACTCCCCCTTCATTCACACGTATCTTGGATTAACCTCACACCTAGGTCTCGATGTTAGCGTATCTATGACTCACATATCCAAGGTATAAATACACACGCGCAAACCCGACGCGACGACATCAGTTCGGTTGAGCTCTGAAGTAGACGATTGTCTCGTCATCTTCGGTCTTCTTCTTCATCGCGGGCATCAGGCAAGCGTAATCGGGCCAGAGCTAATTCCGTGGCTCCGGCGTGGTCCTAGGACCACATGCTGGGGCCCACAACAACACCTATGCGCGTGTGTCCTCCGCGATACCCACTTCACTCCTCTGCTCACTAGTTCACCCATACCGTGTTGGTCAACAGCTTCATTAGTCATGCACGAGTTCCAATACACGCACATAACTCAACTGGGATAGGCCATTTAGTAAACGATTGCCCCCGCTACCCCCGTTGATATCAGTGTGGCGTAATCGATCGGCACAATGTGGTGGCCCCGATTCGGCTCTAGACGACATGCCGGGGAATTCAACATGCTCAAGAATAATAAATCTACCTTCTAGCTCCCTTAAAAAAAGAACTCCGTCGTCATATGAAAATGTTAATGTCCCACTTTTTACAGCATCGACATAGGAATAAACGAAACTATAAACTTCAAGAAGAGGTCATGGAATTGTTCGCCAACGCATCCACTGGACGTAAAAGTTCCCAATCGATATGTCAATAGTTTCGTGTCAGGGGATTTCATCTCGTTTGGAAGGTATTTCAGTAATGGTTATTTCTCATTTTACGAACAGACGTTTTCTTAAAGCAGCATTTGGCTTTCGATATCGTCAGATGTCTATTTAAGAGAATATGACCTCTACCATACTATAATACGCGGATACCACTATCACTTCGCATTTTGAGTAAGTGGTGAATTGTAAGGATATTGAATTGAATGATTGTGAAGGGTGTGGCGTTTTTTAAACCAAAAACTCACGCTTCTAAAAAAATAATTCTAATAGACCAGGGCTGGCACAACCGAACGGAATACATACGCAAGTCTAACCTACAAAGACATTCGCCACTACCTAAAAAGTATCGGTGCTACTATACTAAGGTGTCAGATGTGGTTTGTTCGGGACGCATGTTTACTGACTTGCCTTGAAAAAGAACAGCCAATCAGAACACTGCATGGATAGGGATGCTTTCACGACGAGGTTTGCAAGTCTGTCCGTGCAACTCGATAAGTAACCAGGGCCAGAACTGAGTAATCTTAAACCTTAGGATAGATTTAAAACCTCTAAAAGCCTATGAAAATAAAACCTAATCTAGGAGACCAAAATTCTGGAAGCATAAGGGCGCTGCGACTTTACCAGAAACGTGAATCGCTCCGCATTATTCCACATCTACTCACAATAAGAGCAATCGGAGTAGGGTATTCAATGTCTCAATGTAAAACTAGTTATATTATGACAGGTTGTGTTGTAACTCATTACGTGGACAATACACGAAAAGGTAACATTTATCACAAAATGATGTTGTACGAGTAGTTTCCAAAAGTTTCAACATTTGTAAAAAAACAGTCTTATTCTCATACATTATTACATGAGCCAGAAAAAGTTGTTGGTGCATAAACATACAGCCAAACAGAACTATTACAAATTATCGGATTAACTAGGTATACGGCTGTATTGAAAATAACTTTCGCATGCACTTGGGCGTAAGCAAAATAACTAGATATAAGTAAACTAGCCTATATTGGCAGTTACAGTGTTCGAAGCATACAAGCGATATCGGGTGGCAGAACAGGTGACCTGAAAACGACTACTTACCAGTTTGACGATCTAAGAGACAGATTAGCGTGTCAACGCACTTTTCCAGGTGCTGTATAGTCGCCTCCAAAATACCAACGTTCCGATAGAACTCCTTTAGGGTGGGAAACTTGAGCACCAAGCGAAAGAGGCAGGAGAAGGTGAGTTGTAAACACGGGGGGTACCTAGGATAAAGGGCCAAATAAATTTTTCATTTACACAGGGACGACATTGGCTACAAATCGATTCTCGTGCATACTTGCAACTCCTTAGTAAAAGGGCAACACTATTAATCTCCTGTAGTGGGACATAGCGCAGGTTCTCAATGAGAGAAGCAAATACGTCGAAGAAGGTTTCCTAGTGGGGCAAAAAAGTGAAGGTGATTATACACTTTGAGGTATTAAAAAATGGGACAATATCGTTAGTCATGCCTGGACAGAATCCGGCTTCGTGGCGATTACTTCGATGATGCTGCTAATCAAATGGTGCTTATCGAGAATGAAGTAGTTGCCCGGGACGCGTTCATGAATACCCCGAACACGTTCTAGCAGGGCGTTGCAAAGCCCCGCGGATCGTGCCTGAAGAAACGTTAGCTGCAGAGTGTCAATCGCTCGGATATTCCTAATAACCTCACCTAAAACAAAGAACTTTGCCTTCAATCGGCACACACTTTGGTCTAGTTAGTTCAGTAAAATGAAACGTTCAACCGACGTTAGATTGGATTTACCACGACTTATGTTCATAGACCTTCACGGTCAATAATCAGACATAATTACGTAAGAACACGTTCACCCACATAGCCAGCAATCACTTCCTGGGGTGGTTCGGTTTCCACAAACTCAACTATCAACGTGTGAGAAGTTTATAATGTTACAGAAGCCCAGTTGGCTAGAGTAAAATAGATTAATAATGCGAACAGACAACACTTCCAGTGGTTTAGGCTCTGTTGAAGCATCCTAACAGATAAGGCAAAGATGATGCCTTTTGATAAGGCCTAGGGAGAAATTACAGTCTTCAGTACAACTCTATTAAATTATGATCAGACATGTTTAATTTGATGACTTTATTAACATGATACAAAAACAGTGGGCACTTTAAGGCCAAATTTCCATAACACCACTTAAAGAATCGGTTGTTTAAGTGATCGTAGTGAAAATTTAGACATGCCAAGAGAACAATCTGGAGATTATGGGTGCGGGACATTTTACCGACAGGAATTAAACATTAAAGAGCATATCACAGTAAGAAACAAATATTTCGAGAAGAAAAGTTTCGAAGTGCGGAAGAGAACACATTTTCCAGAAATAAACCTTAATCAAACAGATTTTTCCATGTTTTGCCCGGTGACCCGAACCTTCCATTTGCGAAATTATAACTTCTGGCTCATGTCTAAAATTTACTAAAGTATGTGATTCGTAATCATCATTTATGTACACTTTGTCATTCAGGGAATTTTAAACTTCGAAATGGTATTAGTCAGGGCTATTTGTATGAAGAAATATATCGCTGCCCGTCCAAACTCCAGTCGCTTTCTATGAATTAACAAGCATGTGTGAAGCCATGCATTGTGGAGGGAGAACGCGGTTCCTTCGCGGTTTGCCAATTCTGGACGGATTTCTCTTAGCAACAAATTATTCAGTTTCACTTGCTGGTAATAATAAACAATTCAAACCATCGTTAAGTTCTTCGGAAGCCCTTTAAAATACACAATACGACATGTTGGGTGTCTCAAAAAATTTCCGATTTTGTTCACTCCATGCTTAGATTCACCTTTAACTACCATCCGTAAGCAAATCTACGACTAATGTGCTTTAAATGTAAGCTAACACCAATATCTTTTAAATATCAAAAGGAAAATCGTAACGCAGGCAGATGCCCGTCTGGACAAACTAAAATTTCTCCGGTGCCGACTCGCTACGACAGTGCAGTCTACTCTAGCCCGTCAGGTATAGCAGCAGACATTCGTTTGGCAATATAAAACACTAGGTATGGTTCTCATTTAAGTACTAGATAGCAAATGAGATCTAGCCATGGCCATGTTTATAATTACGGCTGTGGATGGAACGCAGCACAAAGGCAAAGTCCATTAATGACCGATTGGAAACACCAGTTCGACCTTAATAACGCTTCTGCGCGACCATATAAATCTGATAGTTTAAAGTGTCCACTTAAGAAAATATCCCCCACCTACAACCTAGGAAGAAAAAAGTCCGCTCAAAATACCAAACAAGTTTAACACAACAAAGCAGGAGTAAAAGTGAGCAGAATATTCGACTGAGGGTGAAATGTGGCGTTTCAGTGAAATCACAAAGCTACAAACTCCACCTCTGAAATGATATTGTTTAATCTGCATAAATTATTCCATCAGTGACCTCGAATTCACATGTTTCGTACGATTCCCAGTAAACAGAAAACACTACTCCACGGAAAACACGAAAAATGATTGTTCGTAAAGGGGGTAAGGAGGAAGCAATGGCAAAGGCCTTTTTAAAACTAGGCTGTCCGGCAAAAATTAGGCTAAGAATACCTAGAATTACGCAATTTACGGTAAGCTTTCAGATAAGTAATTCGAATTGGGGAAATTTTTGGCGGGAATAATAACGTCTTCAAAAGTATCCTAAGTTGTTCTTCCTGCTTCGCAAGTTTACTGGAAATTATCTTTGTTCATCTCCTCGCAGCTCTTACAGAGGCAACACAAAAATTACCAGGCATGAGAAGAACACTTAACGGCACGCGAGGCAATGAAAAAAGGCAGAGACGAACTTAGCCCGGTCCCGAGAATATCAAACTTATACGATTCGTGGACCTCTTGAAAAGCGAGTGGATTTTCAGATTTGATTGAAACTTACACTCGCATATTGTTGGCATATTTTGTGCCGAGTGGTATTGAAAGAAATTGTTAATTTTTATGACCACTCCTCAAAGCCAAGTTTGGGAAACAAGTCAAACAATTATTGTATAATTATCTGAACTGAACTAAAATTGCATAAGAGCAATAAAAAAGAGGTGTTTCAGTTTAGAGAATGCGGGTCTACGGCAAAGAAATCCAAACGCACGATTTCAGCCAAAAAAACAATAGGTAAAGCTATAGTAAAATTAACGCGTAAGTCTATGAGCTTGGTTAGTGCTGAGGACAAGTCACTAGGACAAGGCAATAGTCTTTTCTACAGCTTCGGAATCCTAAAACGCACTTTTAGCACGAAAACAAAACATCTGTCAAAATCATTCAATAGCTTTTTAATCACCTGGTGTTAAGATCAACACAAAACAACGTCAACATGTGACAAGTAGGTACAACGTGCTACTTGAACAATTAAGCAGTGGTTCGATTTAAATGAGACCGGCACAGTCGTGTCTAGTTAGACTGACGACAAGCTAAAATGGAAACTTACCCTTGGCCTTGGGAATGCTGAGTTTAAAACCAGGAAGTTGGAACACCTCAACAACAGCGCCGTTCTTAGGACGCAACTCCTTTGGTCCAATGTAAATGAGGTCACCCAGGAGGCGCACCAGCCTCTGACAGCAGGCCTGGGCCTCTTCGCCTTCCTCCAATTCGTACCTGCAAAAATAAAATTATTCTCACTACTAGCTTTTTGTTACAATACCATCTATAAGTAAAACTGCATGCTCAGATAACCTATACAGAAATCCCTTGCTCAAAAGCATGCCCCAGTGCCATAACAAAGACAAACTCGTGAAGGGAGGTTTAACTATCTCAACTGAAAGCCGAGTGACATGTCAAAATGGACGAATCAACCTGGGGAAATGTTCGCCAGGTTAAAATGTCCTCGAAAGTAGCCTGCTTCTAGACTTTTCGTTGACATCCTTACGCCAGTCCTAGGGTTGAAAAATATGAGTTTAAAAAATATCAACATCGAAAGAACCCTGAAGTGGTTTCGGCAAGATGTGACGAATTGAAAACCTCTTAATACATAGCAAAAGGCCGAGTTGTTCAATTCATGCTTTCAGATGTGGTAATGGTAGAATAAGCTTACATAACCACTACGCTTCACGAGAGACAAAAACCTTTATTGAAAACAACTGGGCACACCCTGAAACGCCTAATTTTAAGCACCCCCGACCAGCAACAATCTGTAGCGTACAGACTCTTTTAAGAAGTTTATCTCGTGCTTATAGGACCATTGCCTACAACTACAAAGATTTCCGATCAATAGCTGTACTTGATGCACTGGTGGAGTGGATTTGTGTTCAGGAAAAGCGCAGACCACTAACATTGAAATAAATTTTACACGTGGGTGTTAGGTGTCGGTTGGTCTGGTCGAAAAAATGATCACCTTGCCAATGCGTTTTAAACTACGACTGATCAAGAGACTTTTCTCATTTGTGAACACATAAGCCAGAAACGCTTTGCCCATACTTATGACCGCTGTGCTACTGATTCTGTTTATCAGCAATGTCATCCCTCGATTGGGTTATAAGACCTTTTGCTTTTAACGGCGGAAAGATAATAATGAATGCTGTGACTGAAGGGGGGTTTAGTGAAGAAGGCAGAGAACAGCAAAATTTCTGTGTGTCCACTTGCCGATTCCACAAATTGTAACTCAAACGCACAAACATACATTTGCGCAAATCGAATACTTCAATTGTTGACAGAAGAATCCAGTGAGTTAAATGTTCTTTTTACTTGAGCTTAGTATAGAAAGTGATGAGAGTCATGGCAAATCCAGCCCGTGCATCTCGTAAGTTGGATTTTCTTGCCAAAATAGAGCGTCTACCGTGTTTAGTAGAGTCAAGATTAAAATACTTAACTACAATAGTTACGAGTCCTTCGGTACTGATCTTAACAAACTTGAACAAGCACACAGTATGAGTGAATAACAAGTGTTTCACTTGACTTGAAGTATACAGTATGATCACGGCGACTTAATTCTCCAAGTTTCGTGGCTTGAATAATCATGAGAACCGTTTTAGAAAAAAAGAACTTGCCACTTGTGCGAATGACATTAAGTTAAGGTATGCTGATATTTCCAAAGCAGTTGATAAAAAACCAGAACCCAATGGGCCAACACAAAATGAGGCTCCAGGTAAACAGCGAAAAGAACAATCTTCTAAATATCACCAAACCAACCGTATCTAGAGGTAAAATCAACGCGTTCTAGATCTAACATCCCAATCACTATTTTAACAACTTAGAGAAGCGTACACATCAGGAATTAAGGTGAATCAGTTACTCGATTCCTGGCATTACCAAAAAGTCCATTAGGATAATGAAAAACCATGATCAAACACCTAACTACAATGCTTAGATTCGATTTTACATTCGCATTAGATTAAGCTTTTAACAATTGAGTGAGTGATAAAGCTCGTTTCCGGTTTGAAACTAAATTAAATGCAACACTTCCATCAAGAACAGGACTTATTAATCACTAATGTTTTCACCATCATCTCTCATACCCCTTTCCAGCCGTTATGCAAGTTTTTGGATTCCTTCTTTGAAGTAACTACGTGGTTTCTCTTAAGAAATTCGCAAGGTGGCTTCTGACCACTTCTTTCAAATCAAGTCGTTTGGTATTTAAATTACTTTGCAGAGAACTAAAAAGATGAGAATCTGGTGCTGGAGGACAGGGCGCCTTAGTTCACTTAGAATTTTTAGAGCCTATTGTCTCCATAGTGTTAAGTGATTCCTTTTTGGTCGACCATATTTGCATTTTTTGCTGGATTTAAATATTGATTTGGGTGAGTTGCTTACATTAATATTCCGCAGTTATTGTTTAGTCATGCGGATGAAGCTCGTAAAACAGTTCTCTGCAATCCTCCCGCCAGACATACAACGCTTTCATTGGATGCGGCAATTCAGACTTTGATCTTTCGTTTGCACGATTCCACGTTCTTACAATGCTGTCATACACAAACCCCTTTCAACTGCAGTTATGACTCAATTCAAGAAAAGTTCGGCTTGTTGGCTAGCAAGATAAACAGCTATGGAAACGCGGTCATTTTTTGCGTTATATCAAAGTATGTGGAGCCCAAATACAGCGTTTCGAAGTGCAGCCAAGTTTGTGGTTTAGATTAAAGTCACCGTATTGAAATGAAATAAACCACTTTTTTACCAGACCTAATACCAGGGCCACGACCCAAACAAACGTCTTGAATATGTTTATTTGCATTTCCAACGTTCAATCCGTCTTTTAAACTCATTTAGCAAAACATGACATAAGTGTAACTTTTTAAAAAAAATTATGGCAAAGGAACCTTTTTAAGATTAATTTGACGCATCAAGATAAATGCCAGTTGATAGTAATTAATACAAAGGAAACACCAGTACAGTCAAAAGTGGATGCTCCCGTCATCTATGAAAACTGGCCAGGAACTAATATAATCACCCCAAGGTATTAGAAAGATTGATTGACAATCAAAGCAGGTTTCGGGAAAAAGATTAGAAGTCACCGGCGTGTTTGACTTATTCAACAAAAAACGGTAGCAACCTCACGTGATTATTTAGCTTTCGATTAAATACTTGGAAAATGAAATGTAACTAATTCAAAAACCAACAACATAAGACTTTTTCATGTTCAGTGAGTAGCGACACGTAAGAATGTGGTTAACACCAGTTTGAAGCGTTTAACAACGAATGTCTTACAACTGTCAACGTCCGAAAAACTAGCGATTCGAAGCAGCTGATTTTTAAGAAAAGGAGGGCTAAGTAAACATTAAGCGTGTTGAGCTAACTCTTTTTAGGTTGTGCAGTACTGGCCTTAACATTTCACACTGGCTGGTGAGGAAAAACAACGTTCACATGTATGCCTTCGAAATCATAATGCTCCTCTGCGTAAAACGAAACATGCAAGTTGTGAGCAACCATGCGCTAGGTGTAGACAGCCTCAAAAGAGCGGGCGTTAGGGATATCAATTCTTCAGGTCAAAGTTGAAATTGCGCTCCTTCTGGTTTGTACGCTAAATGGATTGCAAAACTAACGTTTGTTCGTTTGTTTCTAACAGGTTAGCCAAACTGATTTACTTTTTTTTGACATTATCCGCATGCTTAGGTTAATTATCCACATTAACTGTGAAATCCATCATCGCATTGCTACCACACAAAGTTGACTGGGGGAAACAAATTGGAAACTGTCGATGAATCGATGTTCCGTTGTTTCACAATATTGAGGGAAATTCTCATTGCAGTTACAAAGATCACCAGCATAGACGTACGCGACATTTCATAATGATACGAGTTTGTATGTACATGGGTAAAACGGAGAAATTGTGCGGATAGGCGTGAAAATCACGAACAATTCTGGCTAGGATGTCGGCGGAGTTCCACCAGTATGAAAAGGCCACAAGCGACATAATGACCTCCGAATTCCTACTACCAAATTCAATCGTAAAAAAAGAATATCACTGGCCCCCACTGCCAAGCCCGATCTACGTCGCTCATTCCCTATTATCTACAATAGTGAAGACGTCCACTGATGTAATCCTTGGGGTAAACTTTTTCTGCTTGACCCCAACCAAGGCGACAAATTGATCAACGAGTTAATCGATTTAACAGTTCACACCGGCAATGAATCAGGATAAGTACCTGGTTCTTCACTAATCGGTAGATGTGCGGGTCCCTAATCTTAAGAACTTACAAACTACGATTATCTAACTGTAGCTCGAGTAATTGTTTGAATCACTGGAGACTGGTTTCAGGCTGGGTGACAATAAAATGCAGAATCGAACATCTACAGCAAACTAGATACATCGCAAAACGAAATTTAGAGGTTGACAACTGAGTGACGACTGCTAGTTTGCATAATCCGATACGATTACAGATTCCTAATCATTTCCCCGCATTAAAAATCATGCATCCTTTTTGTTTGACCGCTCCGTTTTTGAGCACGCAAGTGTGCCCGCAAACCACTGCTATTGACGACTTTCACTACTATAGGAATTTGTGCTTAGTGTTAAGCTGGTTGGCTTTGCCTGGTTTTAATAACTTATACAGACACTACAGACCAATAGTATAAGAACAAATGGAATTTAACTGTGAAAGGTAAGGCACAAGTACTAACTTGAGCAAATAATCCGATATTAAAGTATAGCCACCGGCTGCATGGAAGTCGTCCAGCAACTGTGAAGAAGTCGACGACGATTCGGAAAGAATATAAAATAGCGAAGTAAATGCCTCTGTCAAGTCAGTTTTGGGCAGCTGCATTTGCCTCAATCGCTCTAGGTAGTCGATTATACATCCAGCATCTTACATAAAAATGACAAAAATCACATGAGAAACGTTAGGCTTTAAGGGATAATAGTACGTAGAACCATACCATGAATGTACTGGAGCGTAAGCGCCGTCAGACAATTTTGAGCTAGTGTTGTTAGAATCATGCAACTGCTTTTACGCCAATGTCCATTGGCCGGTTGACAGGGGTCAACAGCAGCACTGAAAAGATGTCGAAGAGCATCCGCGTTAACCACTTCTTCAACCGCCACTGACGATAAGCAAACACGCTGCAGCAACTTTATCAAAATAGAGAAACGAGTTAAATCAGAAAAACAAAATTAACCAAATAAACATAAATTGAAAGTTACTTGAGTAAATTTCTGGTGAAAGTGGATACGATTTTTCAGAAAATCCGCATTCGAAACACATGGCAGGTCAAGAAAAATGTACAAGCACTTGACGAGAGTTGATGGAACACCAGCTGCAGACATGCATTCCAAGAGGCTTGCACTGGAGGAAAGTTTGTCCAAGGTAAGTAATAAAAGGTTGCCGTGAGACAATTCATTAAATTGATAGGTGGCTGCACAATCGGCGACTGGCACGGATTCTGGCAAACCAGTTTCCAGAAAAGCAGCGATCAATTTACTTCCATCCTCTGTAAAATATTTAAAAATTATTTGGCCAAATTTTACCAGAGGTTTGGTCAATTGCACGGACTCTAATTTCCCTCACAAATAAACCCGACACAAGTGCACAAAAGACATGCACGTCCGGAAAACGCTCAAAGATTTCTTGGAACGACGATGAATGGAAAACCTACAGCTTTATAAGTTGTTAGAATTAAGAAACAACCTCATTAAATAAGGGAAGTGTAGTATATATCAGTTCTTCCTGTTTCCTGGAATCACTACACTTCTTGCACGAAGAAATCAACCTGTTTAGGGTGCAAATTTTTATCTGGGTTTCCTCCGAAATTGTTTTACTTTGTTTCTGCATTTCTAAATGAGACATCATTTAGTAACCCGACACATTTGTTTCAGTGACTGTTACATGGGATTACTTTAAACACAAGCCGGTGTCAAAACTGAAAATTTACCTTATATAACATTCGTGATACTAACTATGCCTTTTTCTAAAAGTGATTGGACTTCGGTTTTTATCTGCAATAAATTGCACATTTTACATAGCAATTAGCTTCTTGGAACTAACTAAAGTAAAAGTATATTATAAATTTTTTTGTGAAGTACGTGTCCGCACCCACAAGCATAAAAAGGATAATTGTGAATTAGATAGAATGATTAAAGAAACATTTTAGCATGTTTACCCTCCGAGGCCTTAGCTTAAAATTATACAGTTATTATCATTTGTAAAATTCACATTTATTTGTTGAAGCCCTTAGTCTTCGATAGAAAGCAACCTAGATGCACATTAGGAGCTTTCAGGTACTCAAAAAACTGGATGCCTAAAATAGCCGTCAGGGGTCACAGCATAAAAATGCCGCGCAAACACAGGCATTAGGCGTCAATGCTCTTAATTTATGAGGTATAAATTCGCAAACTGTCAATTTATTTAATGAAAAATGCGGACATTTTGAGTAAGAAGGTCTTTTCATTTAATGAGAGTGATTCCCAAAACTCGGGTAGTGCAATACACCATTGTTATTTTGCGACATTGGCGATTATTTGAACAAAGAAGTTAGGGAATAATAATACTGCCATATTGTGTTAAAGAACAACTACTTGCCAGTGTGCACAGATTGTGAATTAACCGTGATTAGTTTCTATAGCATCAATTTTGATTTACTACACAGTTTTAGCTAGAATTATAAAGTTTATACATAAGATAGGAAAACGATCTTGCGTAATCGAAGTTACTGACATGTCTTAACACAAACTCATCGCAAAAAAAGTAAGCTTACACTTTTTTCCCAAAATTCATTCATGTGCTGATGAGTTTTAATATATTTGATTGAACATTCATATTGATGAGGATCGCGAAACTCAGTGCTTTCTTTACGGCTCCTAAACCTGGCAGGTTTAAACTGACTCGAAGTTTTCTATCCACTAGGTGCAGTGTATAATTTAAAATGCAACTGTAGTAAGAATTTTATGCACAAGTCGGTCCATATTTTCGTTTCGATATCAACCTTCCAAATGCAAGTAATCATTCCTTCAAGAAAAGCAATTTACACAGTGATTTAGACTGAAAACAATAATATTTGATCACAATGTTTTAGTGTATGCTCTTTTCTAGTAACAATTATTCGTTGAAATCAACTGCAAAGCCGTCGTCAATAGTGCGATAATTATTAGTTGCGAATTGCAGGCGCATGAGGCAGCGCTCACTTATCTTCTTTCGCGAGGGTGCCTTGAAGGGTGGCACTTGTTTGTTTAAGCAATTTTTTTGAGTTTCTTCAGTGTGTTTGATGTAGTAGTCCGGTTTTCGGTATACAAAGTCGTTCAGAAGACGAGCAGGATGTCTTTCCCAAAAATCTGTCAATTGTTCAGAGCGCGGAATAAGATTATGATGATTTTCACGGTAGTAAGCTGTGTAAAATCTCTGCAAATAAAAATTACGCTCCTTTGTAACGAAACGTGACGTAAATGAAAGTGATTTACGCTGATTTATAAACATTTGGTGTCTTGTGTTTCTTTATTTAGTGATGTAAACGAGCAAATGTTGAAATTTCGCCTACTTGTTTTTTCAGAAATTTTGCAATTGTTTTAGCCAAAGATATAACGATTCTTTGTACTGTTAGATCGTAAATTTCATTTGAATCTCCTGATCATAAAAGCAAAAATAAGCTCAAATATCAGAAATTTGTATTAAAAGTAAGCTAAGTGACATATAAGCATTCTGCTGGTTTTTTCCAAAGTTTGGCAGCTGATTCGGTCATTCCATTTTACAAACACTAGCTCGTAAGATGAAAATTGTGCAAAGAATGATTTCATTTCTCAACCACCGAAAAGAAACTTAGAAGGGTCATGCTTGATGGTAGATAAATTTGGCCACTATTACGGAAATGCGTTCTTAGAAAATTACTTCTGAAATGTCACCCAGCAAAACAGAAAAGTACTGAACAAGTTATGACTTAGCCATTGTCCAGCTAGGATTTACCAAGCCCGACAATATCAGTGCCGAACAATTTCCGTAAGTTGAAGGATAAAACTGTGCTACCTGCAACGCAAATACATTTACCCAGGTGTACTTTACTATGATAAAAGTGTGTCTTGCCTTCTCATTCTTTTCGAAGCAGTCATTGGGTGCATTGTACCAATCATCGTGGCGGAACCCTCGCTTATCTATCTTCCAGATACGGTAGGGGTCTATTGGGCCCCTGTTTGGCATATAAAACTTCCAGTGTTCTTTTGGTCGATTCTCAAAAATCCGGCTTGGGTCTTCAGTCTAAACAAGTTTAGAATAGTCAATTAAAGTAGGCCTTCTGCCTTCAAACTAAAATTTTACTGTCAATAGCTAACGTTGCACCAATTCATGAAATACATGTTATTTTTAATTTTGTGATGGATTGTAACGTTATAAATGCACAGTCAAGTTACTGGTATCGGGAACGTAAGCTGGTTGATAGGTCTTACAGATAAACAGGACGGAATGCTGACGTACACTGCAGACACTACCAGATTAAAGCCATCAATGTCTTCCACAAGAAGCGTGAAACCATGAAGTTTGCCACGAAAAATTGATTTAAAAACCTTTCCTGCAGGATGATTGGGAAAAACCTAAAGTAAGTTTAAGGGAAAGGCCTGAAGCAAAGATGTCAATCTTGGTTCGGCCAGTCACAAGGCAACGGCCTCATGCCACTCAATTACATTTTACCCGTAATTTCAAATTTAATCATAGTGTAGTTGCTTTAAGCATAATTGTCCATTTCTAAAGTTCTTGCCCTGCTAATATCATTAGTACCTTTTCAGTAATGCAAGTTAAAAGAAAATTTATTTTTCTAAGGAAAAGTACTAACCACGCAGTAGTTTTCAAAGTATTCGGGGTGATGCGGCCCAGGAAGACATATCCTAAAAGAAGGTTAGCTTAGACGCAATGTTACTGAGCCCGCATACCATTTGTTGCGACGCTCTTCAACGCATTCCTCGTCATCTTTCACAAGTTTTCGGGTTTGCTCAACTATATTCGCCATCGCCACGGTGTCATCCGTCAGGACTGCTAAACCACGTGGTTGCGATCAATTTTAACCACGTGACCACACAACAGCCCATGCGTCAAACCTTACCGCTAGCAGCCGTCTACTACGGGGCTCCTATAAGGCTTGTTAACGTTCAGTGTCTAAGTGTCTGTATTCATGGCAATTTGTTAGCCATTACCCCTCATCCCACAATCGTTGTTAAACGTGGAACGACTCGAGAACATACTCCAGGTTTGTATTGATCTACCACCGGTATCCTCTACATTTGACCCGCATAGACGCGTCACTTCGTTCAAGTCCCTCTAGACAGAAGATAGCAATAAAATCAGCTCAACGACCGAATGGGCATAAAAGGTACTCATCGTGTCTGGCCTCCTCACTACTCTGAGTTATTCCCTAGTCTTATGACACACTAAATTGGCAATCAAAGCCTCATCCAGAGCATTTTTGGACCGAAACGCACCTGGCAACTCCATTGAGAGACGTTGAACTTAGCAAAAGCACATGACAAATTAATGGTCGACTGTACCAATGTAGGCTTGATTGAAGTGTTCGTTAACCATTTTGCAGCTTTAGGGATGAGATGTGAATTATGGAATTATTTGAAACACTACACCCTACCGAATAAGGATGAAACTAATTACGGGGTGACGATAAGGCCTCGTAACACAAATTAAAACCACCCTCATCATTGTGCACGGAAAACAGGAGTCTGCCACAAGGTAAAGTCTTTTTTTTTTTCACAAAAAAAGTCTGCTAGAAGTTACAAAATCGGAAATGAATGAAGGGTTTGGACAGATGCGCGAAGTTAGAGTGGGAATGGTTAAGCGGGAGTCAGACACATCACGAGGAGAGGGATCGCCAGATTGTCAATCTGCTCAGTGTACGCCTCTGCTAGCACGCCGATCGACAAAGGCAACAATCCAGTCGTCCATGGCCAATCGTAAAGCACGGAGAGTGCACTCCATAATAGGATCTGTAGGGTAAACAAATCCCATGAGGGGTCGCCCAGATTTGTGCCATAGGTTTTAACCAAAATGTCCCCGACTCTCATAAGATCGAACCTGTTCCAGAAAATAAACAAGCGTGAGCTTATTTGGAGTCCAAAAATGAAGAAACCGGGGTACAATGTCACTCAAGTCTGTCGCACCACAGAGGTACAATCAAAATCAGAAGAGACTGAAAGACTCGAAAAATACGGTTCGAACTATTTTTCAGACTGAAATGTGGGTGTGTCCGACACACATCAACAATCAGCTGCGCAAAATAGCAAAAATGTACATTGAGCATTATTTAGGCCAAAGAATATTACAAGCAACAGGTGAACTAAAGCAGAAATAGTACTGCACAAGCTTATGTAAACGGTCTTCCACCTTCGAGTAGATAACATTCTTCAAGCTATCTGATTTAGTCAATAATTTGAGTTTTGATGTCAAAATTACAGGAAGTATAAGAGTGCTTCCGAATTTATACAAGACATGTCTGCGTAAATTACACATGGGATGATAATGTGCCATGCGTACGAAACGGATGTTAAGGGGGAAGACAATGACAATTAATCTTAAATAATGCAACCTAATCTAGATGTTTACCGACTGCAACGCTCTGTGGGTTCAAATACTTCATAGGACGATGTGGTGAATTCCCACAGACACTAAGACAGAAACCCAGTTTTCAGTATTGTACAGCCGATCATTTGTAGACGGAAATGGGCAGAAAATTATGGCCAATTTAATGGAGTTAACGCACGACACGCAAAAGCACTATTCAGACTTATAAAATGTATTTAGTCAAGTTTGAAAGTTAGCTAAATGTAGAGTTATGCCCTTCACCGGGCAAACCGGTAGTTACATTGTTCGTACAGCCCCAAACAGTGGTCGCAAGCTTAAAGGTCAGACAACGAAAAAAAAATAGGAAAAGCTGGTTAGACAGCCTCAGGCTACGGCAGAAAAAAAGCCACATAGTGCGCCAGCATGCTTATTCAACTAATGATTCAGTAAGCATGATAGCAATTCGCCTTTACTTAAAGACTGAGATTTTATCACCAAGAGAACGAATAACAATGGCAGGCGCAGGAGCAGATTTATCATGCCAAGCAGACGCGTCTTATTAAAGTTATGCGTAACAGTACCTGAGAAGCAAATGAAGCGAGAGATCCGATGAGGGTTCGGTGGGTGCCTGGCCAGCGGAGCCAGTACTTGCCCCAACGGCGGCCAACCAGGGCTGCGATGCTGTCACCCAGCGCTATCGTGACTACGCCACACCACGCCCGAGGGGACACTGAAACCGTAAGATGCCAGCGCTCACAAAGTGCAGGAGAAAACTAGGTGTACACACGAGATGGCGCAGTCAAAACATGATGAACACACCAAGCTGCGAAAAATTATTCTTTCCAAAGGATGTAGTCAAAACCATAGGCCAGATATAACTACAGAAAACTGCAAACGTACAACACACAAAATTAAATGGACGCACAGCTCCCCGTCAAGGAAATAGATGAGGGAAAAAAATACTTCGACACAACTACAATGTCCTGAGTATTGTCGAACAATCGTGGATACAGAAGCTGATCCACAGTCGAGAATGGACACATCTATTATCGCCACACGAACGGTACATTTACCCGAATAGCCTTCAGTGTTGTCGGAAGCTGGATGTAGAAAGACAAGTAAAGAGTTGAGTCTCGAGGGGGTCAAGGAAGGGACGTAGAGGATCACAACTATTGATCACTACTTCGTCCTTTCACTTCTAGAAACCAATCAGGAGCCAATGAGCAATGCGAAAAAAATAGGACCAACATATTTAGGGAGGTCCTGACTCCCCCCGATGCAGAAGCTGCGTTCACTACAAATAAACACTTGTAACCTACAATTCGTCTTCTGACCGTGCCATACGCCGCGTCCATGTAACTTTTAAGTGCCTCCCCTTTACCGCAGGAACCCTGACCCAACTGCCGGGGAAGGCTGACCCGATGGCGCATGGCATCGTCAGAAGACGAATAGACAAGTAGACGGCCCTGGTTGCTTGCTTCGCTCATTGACTCCTGCTTGGCCTCTAGAAACGGGAGGACTTGGACCTTGGCGCACTATTCGGTGACCCACGCCATGTCATGCAAGAACACTCGGCACTTCATGCAGCGCTTGATTCTCCTGATAACCTTTTTCTCTCCTTTTACCTTTGTAGACCTGCCAAACCTCTAGCCTGCGAGATTTATGTGATAAAAAGAGAACCAAGGGTCTCTCCGATAAACATTTAACCTTATTTGCGCCCCATATTTGTCGTCTGGACAAACCCTTTGGATGTCGGACGTCGTTCGGCGTCTCGCGAGGTTGACTGTCTGTGCGAAGGCTGAAAAGGTTTGTCGCCATTCAGACTAGTCTCCCTTTACTCCTAGGTCTGGCGGCGTGCTGCTCGCTCTCGACCAATGACTGGGCGGCAAGGTTGACGACTCTCAACCACGTGGCTAAAATCTCTTTACATTTCAAAAACTTGCGATGAGGGAAAAAAGCGCAACCATTTGCGGGTTCACCAGGCGTTGCATGATTAAAAGTTCAAGCACGTGAGAGACTAACAGAGGTGCTGGAGAGATTACACGACACTAAGGAAGGTGTGAGGGATTACGCATAGTTGGAAAAGCGTGTGTATGGTCAGTGAGGGCCAAGACGAGATATTTACACAAACGGATGGCTAAGGAGTAAGTCGGATTAGGGAGATACACAAACGGAGTGGCTGAGGCATAAGCTGTGGTAATAAGCGTAATTTCATGGACAACGGGGACAGTCGGCTACTACGCACCAACTTTATATTAACGCATTGACAGTTGATGCACGATGGACGGTACATACCAGTGGAAATACTTCAGTCCGCCACAATACCCCCCTTAAGATTGCTTCCACCTATCGTAAATGTGGAACAATCGCGTAGAAAGGACACACTTGTATTGACGACAAATAGGAGGATTGCCTCAGTTTTGGTAAACTAGTGTATGAAGGAGAGTCTAGGGATTCCAATGAAAATAAAATACGTCTCAATAAAAGAAGCTCACCATCAGTTTGCGTTGGTAATGGAATGCAGAAATTCCAAATTGGCAGACTCAAACCGAGAAGAAGAGCTATGGGGGTAAATATGAGTTCTCCACTGTCACGTGAATCGCGGAATGGTTGTAAGATATCATTCAGGATTGTGGAGACAGGTGAAGGCTGAGGTAAAAATGCATAACTTAGGTGGATGCACGAAAAGCTTAGCTTATTCGCTTTGCCGCAGTACAAATATCGTCAATACCAGGAAAGGCGAGACAAAGGACCGATCATACGCTGAATAGAATGGTTCTAAATGGACTTGATCCAGTTTCTTAGGTTGTTTAACAAATCCATTCGAAATGATGCAAATTTAGCCATAAGATTTAGTAATTAACGATGGAATTGACAGATTTCGAGAGATTGTGTTCTTGCGGAATGCATGGGAAGTGACGATGGGGAAAACTCAAAAAATTAAGCAAAAACATCTTTTTAACTTATTTATCACTACCGAACCCCAAGCATATAGATACAGATTGGTACAAAATCAAAGGACACATAAACACGTACCCCTTTTCGCCGAACCCATTCAATCAAGCAGAAAGAGACTAAGACGAAAGTTGAAGCCACAGAAAGTAGGTAGGGGGACACCAATAAGCCCGTGGAGTAAACTATGCCGGCTAGAAAGTGGAACAGCTTGCGCAAGTTAAACATGCTTCCCTCCACACCAATTTCTCTGACGCATGCAACGACCAAAACTGCAAGTATACACAGCGGTGCCCATAACGTTGTGACGAGTAGGATGTTTAGAGGTTTGACCAATTCACGAATCAGTGATGAGGGATTTAGCTGAAGCACGGGGGGATAATATTCACCGTTCCCTTCATATTGCGCACGATCGGCCAGGTCCGCTAAGAGAGGCAACAACCATATAAAGGCAGCAAATAAGGTCCCAAACGTCTCGACACTCACCACCATTTTGAAACGCTCCACTGCATAAAAGCAGAGAAGAGGAATTATGAATAGAGATGTGTTAATGTGGAAGACAAGGCAGATCTGGGTGAGTAAAATAGCTTCCCACAAAGTCAGTGAGCCCGGGAAGTCGGCCAGCAGTTCAGCAGATAGAAAAAAGAGAAATACACAAATTGCGAAAAAATATAGACTGAAGGTTAGGTTAGTTAAGTGAGCACAAATAAACCAGATCGCGGCGAAGGCAACAGTTGAGACACTTATCTCCAGCATAAAAAGAAAAAGAACGAAGGTGGTGAATGAGCCACCGACTAGACATAGTGCAGCATTTGAGTCATGAGGCAGTAGAATTGTGGGAACTAGAGCAACTAGCCAAGCACCCGTTGGCGGTCCTTCACCACGCGAACCTGGAAGTTTGTCGATTTTTAGGATAACGCCGAGTTCGACAAGTAGGGTGCCTAAGAGGAATATCCATACACTAGGACTAGAACCGGTCAAAATGAGAGCAGCCAATAAGCTCCAACCGATGATAGGTTCTGCTAACAATGTTGTGGTTGATTTTTCGGGTGGTATTTGAGCAGACACCTTTTCACTCATATGAGGACGAGTGATCTGGAAAGCAAAAAAGTAAGCTCACTCAAAATGGACGCATGACAAAATACAACTTGCAGATGCGTAACTACATTTTACATAAAACTACGGGAGAACATTAATACTCAGAATGGGGTGCAATGCACCTTTTCGATGGGACACGCTTCAAGCACAAGAAATCATCATTCAGACACTGGACGTAAGTGGCGTCAGGTTAACGAAGTAGTGGCGCTTATGGTTAGCAAGTATAAAAGAAAACATGACGAAACGTAATCAGTCTTTTCCTTATCGCGGCCAGGATTAAAGGTAAGAAAAATTACAGGCCGATCAAGTTGAAAGTTTAGTGGCGCTGACGAAAGACGGGGAATTCTGTTGAAACACAAGGAGATTAGAGTAATTTAATTTCAGGGTGCTATGATGAATAAAACGTTGAGAAAGCACCTAGAGTATTGCTACTCAGGGTGTTCGGAAACCAATAGATCGGAGGTTGGTGGGAACAAAGAAGTATAAGTAAAAAATCGAAGACAAATTTAAATAAATACAAAAACCAACTTATCCAGGTGAAGCCATTAAAGAATTAGCTAATTACCTATATTTACAAAGGGAATCGGAGGGCAGAAGTTGTGAACTATTTACGATAAAATATCATAGCTTTAATTTTTCATAACGATTACCGATTTAACGAAAACGTGGAAGTGGACGAGAGGGTCCATTCGTTATTTTAAAAGAAATAAACGGACACAACCCACAACATTAAGGTGTAGCTCACACACACGACATGAAGACGAACGTACCAGATATAAGCTGTATTCTCGACTACCAGATACAAAAGAGGTCTCAAATACTGGAATATGACTTTCTGATGGTTAAGGGAAGAAATCAGAGGGAAATTGAGGGAATAGTCGAAGGGCAGGATGTGAGGGATTTGAAGGTCGGAATGTCAGTAAAGCCTGTAGAAAACGCGCAACGAATCATCAAAGGGATCATTCCTACATGTAACCCCCTCTAGCTTGTCTTTTGAGCACAGATAGATATCCATTCTTGATTGGTAGCATCAAGTTTTCGTCATACACCAACGGGTGAAACCATCATCCACAGTAAGTACTAATCAAAGAATATCCTCCATTCATTACACTGAGTTGTGTAGTCTGTCTAACAGTTAGTTTCCAGCGTGTAACAATATGCATTAGTAAACAATCCTAGTAGATATGTTCATTTTAGGTCCAAAGTCTGCTCACTAGCTACATTGTCGTGGAAACAGCTATGCCACAAAAATGTAATACTAACGTCACATTTCGGCAGATTAATGGAGAATTTGGCAAGAGGGTTGATGATCAAATTGTAGATGTTGAATAGCTCACAGGACAGATGGTGTTTTGATAAACCAATTGTGGTGTGGTGTGCCGTCGGATTAGGGCGCAGACATATTGGACCACCTGGTCTCAGCCAATCCTGTGTCTCTCTGCGTTCCAATGGCATGCCGGAAAGGAAGACAGCCAACCAGAGAAGGACACGACTGAGGTGCAGTATATAACGAGCTGCGTGGCCAGCGTGGCCGACTCGAATGGAAGGCGTCTGACGTGTGGCTCTGGCTTGTGATTGGTCAATAAAGCCTGTTCTGTTGTACCGATCTTATTCCTATTAGGGCTCTGGTTTTTTTACACTGGTGGCAGCTGACGCG